CATTTATATTATAGTTACTAGCTAGTATACCAGTGTTGCTCCTTGACTTCTTTTGCTTTTAAATTTGTTTTGTCACTTTGGTTTGTATTGCATTTTATTTTAATTAAAATTGCGACAAGGAACTTTAAGTTTGCCTTGGGGGTCTACTATTTATAGGTCATTGTTATTATTACAACATTTTATATTTTACATGCTAATACACTTTGAATTTTGCAATTATTTTACTTTCTTGATGTTATTTTAATTAATCACGCAGTAAATCATTTCTACACCAAACTACCTTTATATTAATGTAAAAGTTAGTTTTTTGTACTTTGTTATAATTAAAAGTTAATCGTATTAGTTGTTGTTACCGTACTCTTAACCGTGTTATGCAAATTGCGTAGTGTTTCTATCTAAAACGTTTTTCTGTTAAGGAGTAGTCTCCAGACGATTCTGACCTCATTAAAGGCATCTAATCAAATACGACTATTTCTTTTGTTTGTATATCTTGGACTGCTTGATGGTAACAGCAGGAGTCTATAGTGGTCTGGGTAGTACTACTTTTTTAATATTATATTCTACTTTTTAAACCATTTATAGCTTGGGAACTAGTTGTTACAGTCCCCTTAGATTAAATTATAGTATGATACTAGGTAGTCGATGCTATATTTTGATACCAAAGATATTATAATACATACATATAGTATCCTTAACTCTGTGTGCAGAATTAGATTGTTTTTAATACCTTGGGAATGGGATTACTTTCCTGGTTCTTTCAACATTAATATTTCATAAGTTTCGAAAATGATTTGCACTTAATCATGTTATTTTTTATTGTGCAGTTTTTAAATTTTAAATTTTTGAAATTTGAGTTAAAAAAGCTTACATTAATCATTTTTAATTTGGGGATTTAAAAATGGAAGTTCAAAACTAGGCTGATCTCTTTGTAACAAGGTCATTATACTTAAAATGGAAATACGATTTTGTTTTTATATAATTTGAACTTGTCTGGGTCTGCACTTACTATGTATTATGTGTTAAGTAAGTTGTTGTAGACCTACTACATATTTTAGAAATGGTTTTTTCATAAAAATGCTCTTTTCGTTTATGTTGTTGTACTATATTATTATGTCTTTTGATTAGCTTTTACAGCCTGTAATTACAAACTTTTATGTGGTGTAAGTGCATTGCGTGATACTGTAGATACATGTGTATAGCCATGTGGTTTACTACGTGACTTCTGTTATCACGTAATTCTTTATCAAATCTTGTTACAGCAAAATCTTGATTTTTAAAATTTATGATGCTCTTTACAGTACGATATGATACCGTCTTGGTACGATTTATCAGCTTTATTTTAGCACTTTTTTATGTAATGTCTCTATTGCGCTGTAAACCCATAAAATAAAAATTGATAAGGTTGCGATACGTCTCATCAGAAACCATAGTAATCATCGGTTTACCGTGTAGTTATTTGTCAAGTTTTGCAAATGAAATCCCATCTAAAATGACTTTTAATTCACTTATTCTAATCTTGTTTGTGTCTGGCATACAAAGCCCGTCCTCTTTATATGTTTTGTTTCATAATTCGCTGATTAAGTTATAGTATAAATATGGCGGTGGTATTATATTATAGTAAATGTCATCGTGTCATGAACTTGTCGTGTGAAGAGAATATTTTGAGCATATTAGTGTGTAATGTGGTTAAGGGTCGGAATTTTTATTTTGAGGAGTTTTTTGTGCCATATATATAGCTATGTAGTTTTAAAGCTTTTTGGTGATATTTTGAGTATTTTAAGTGGAAAACAAAGATAAAAGTACGCTTCTTTTGAAAATATCGAATGTTGTTTTCTTAGCTCTAAAAATTAGGTTTTTTGTTGTTTCTGAAATGTACTAGTAAACCCCAATATAAAATAGTAAACCCGGATCTACAACGAAATGCCTATTCTAATTTTGTGACAAAAACACTGGTATGGCACCGACAAAGCTGTCCTTCGTTCTGAGAAGTGCAGTAGGTCATTGATTGGTACGCACTGTTATTCCAAGAAAAAGTTTTTAAAAAGGCTTAACGTGCTATACCAATCTTTTTTTCTACCAAAGAGATGGGTAGTAAGGGATACTTTTGATCTGGGAAGGACTAAAAGTTGGCACAGGTATGAAATTTAAGGGGTTGTTCACGTTATAAATTTTATTTTACGTTCATAAAATGGTAAAACGTTGTTGTTTTCCGTACCATTTTAGTATGTTTTTTGACATTTCTAAAGAAGATTTAGATACCTATAGTCTTAATGTAGATACGTATTTTCGTTACAAACTGTGTGAGAAGATTTACCTTTGCACAGCCTTGATGTATGTATGTATTTTTGGTATATCAAAACTATGTAAACGCGGTTGTAAAACGTATAGATTTGAGTTCTTTTTACAAAAAGCGACATTAACCTATGGCTACGATTGTTAAAAAATTATTTTAAAATTTTTGATTTTTTTGAAATTTAGTGTTAAACTTGATAAAATGACTAATAATACCCTCGAGCACAGAAACAGTACAGTTCCTGTTACGAGTATTGTAGTTGTAATCTGCGTCAAGGTTTTATTACAACTTGATTTAATTTTGGCAGTAATTAAATCGAAGCACGGATTCTAACACCCTTAGGGCCCACATACTCAACGTCACGTTGTTTTGCGATACCAAAGTAAATAATTGCTTTATTTACTGTTATAGCATTGTACTTGCTGGATCTTTGGTACTCTTGTATTTCTGTTCTCGTACCTGTCGGATTTACAGTCTTTTTGCTGTAAAGTTCTGGATTTACTGACTAATTGGGAAGGTTTTGTTGACAGTTGTAACTGAGAGGATGTACAATAATTTTTTTTGTAATTTTTTTATATAGACTCTACAGTAGAACAATACAATGTAAATCTTGTAGTTCAATGTAGATGTGTTTGTTTGTTACTTTACAAATCTGGTCAGAAAGTTCACAGATTAGGTAGAGGCAACAGTGTTGCGGATAAGCTTATTTTCAAGTGGTATTTAAAATGGTTTTTGAGACTTTGTCACTTTTCACTCTTAATGTATGTGGCTGTTTGCGTAGAGTAAAAGACCAAAAAGATGCGCTAAATTTACTTTATCTGCCGTTGACTATATATAATAGATAAATATAAGTATGTAGCTGTATTAAGACCTATTTCTAGTCTGTATAACTAGCTACATTATGTCTTTGCAAAGTCATAAAATGATAAAATAATATAGGTGGTACTATCATGAAGCTACGGTCTTAACTTTAATTTATTATGACATTACGTGTTTATATCGTCTCACATATAAACAGTCTATTGTACTGACATTGTTGTTTCATGTCAAAGCCTTCATGTCATCGTATGATGAGATTACAGTGATTATCTGTTTGTTTTGTGAAGACGTAACTCGATTACCGTGCATTTATTCTGGCTTCTAGAATACTTTGTTGCGAGGTTAGTGGAATTGCAAAGATTACAATGTAAAGATGAAAATACGATTGGGCTTTGTAGTCAAGTCATAACATATTGTCGTAGTATTGTTGTTTATTCCGAGGAAATCTGAAATTGTGGATGTATCGCAATTTATAGTTTTCGGAAATTGAAGAATTTTTTAAAAATATGAGTCTGCTCCTCTCCCACGCCGCTCGGTAAGATAGTGAAGGTTACTTAGAATATAGTCGTATGTTTTACTACAATAACTTACTACTCAGTAGCTAGGCTACAATCTTTTGTTCATTTTGTAGTTTATACTATTCTGTACAACCTCTTTTACTGTGACATTTCCAACCGTACCCTTGTTGTAACACCAAATTGGCCACGTATATTTTGGAAGTATATGGAAGTATTATAATTAGTTACTGCAAGTTTTGTTTTTGATGTTCGGACACCTGAGTAGGTGGAATGACAATGTTTTTGTAGCAAAACTGTTGAACCTACTCCTTAGAAGTAACTTTATATTAAAGTTGCGGTAAATGATTACAGCCCTAAACGCAAGAAGTTGTACTAATAAGCAGGTTGTTGTTGTTGTTGTGCGAGGACATTTTAGGAAGTTACTTGTTATTCTCGCTTTGTCAAAATAACTTGGCGGCATACCTTTACTTTGTTATCATAGCATAGTAAAGGGAACATTGTTAAAGTAAAATAGTTAGTGCTACTTTGAATAACTGCACTTTTCGAGTACTCATGGATTCTTAAAGTACTGTTAAGACAAGTGTTCAAACAGTACTGTTAAGCATGTTGTTCAAGGCTGTTTTTCATCTTGAAATTTGTTTTTACAGCCTATTAGAAGGCTGTTTATCTGTCGCTTTATAAGTTTGTCCAATAAAACATGTATGTTACTATTGCCATATACTATTGTGTTAACAGATCAACGACTAACCCCTACAACTACTACCTACTGTTATCAACATTATTGTAGTCGTAATCCAGGTGTTTTTAATGTTATTGTAAATACTTCATGTCCTGGTAGTACTGTAGTTTTATTGTACCGTGAAATTGTTTGTCTGATGAGATTACAATCACTGTCATATCACTTGTTTATTGCGATAACACTCTAATCGCCTTTGTTTTACTGCAGAATTCAGAAGGCTTTACAGTTCTGGAAGGCTTTGACTGTGTCTGCAATCTATTTACATTGATGTAGAATTACATGCCTTTCCTGCTTTTTACATTGGGTATTACTGTGGGTACAAAATGTCATAGATATGACGTTCTTTGAGTACAAAATGACTTCAACATATTGTAGTATAACTTATGTTAATATTAGTTTTAAACTCAAAAATAAGTTTTTTACTTTAATACTTGCCCTGTTCACAACTATTTCTAAGCTTTTGTTTACTTTCCATTATGTTAATTTAAATCCAGTAACTTTGTGCTACAGCGCCGCTGCTTAATAAGTGAACATTAACATAGCAAACATGTACATACTCATTTCAGCCTCTCCATATCCAACATAATATCCGAGTGCTGGATCTTTGTTCTCTTTGTACAGTTTGCAAATTATGCAAAATTTCTCGGAAAATGAAGAATTACAATTGGAATTACACCCGCCGACCTTGATATCACCCCTTCGTATCTTCCTCATAGCCACATGTGTGTTTGGTATTGCCTTCAATATACTGGTGTTTTGCAAGAGAAATCGACCAAAGTAAGTGGTATAACATATCTTTATGAACATAGTACATTAGCTTTCATGCCTAAAGGGTTATGTTACAGTAGCTTTCACTTTATTTAACCTTATTGTTACGACAAAAACCTTTAAAATGTCATAATATGCATATTATAGTACATTTCATATGAATTCTGAGCACAAAGCATATGAAATTGACCTTTAATGTTTTCAGCAAGCGACAAGCCTCAACGACCAGAATCTCGCTACGCTTGTTGGCCTTCATGGCCGTAGCTGACACAATTTCCCTGGGGGCATTGTTGTTAATGCTCTCGATTCAGTATTTCGGTTTGAGGAATCCGAATACGATGACAATAATATGCAAAGTGAGTTTAGTAGGAAGTACAGGATGATCAGAGATTGAAACTATTTTTAAAATATTTTTGGAATTTTAGGTAACAAAACGAAACTCAAGGTTATCTGATAAGCAAAGATGATTATAAAAACAATATCACACCTTTTCCTTGTAAATATTGCCTTTTCCAAGCTAAACACATCTTATCTGGACCTTATTTTAGCTGGATTTGTTCTTAATCCACGCAGCGTCAGCCTTCTCCATCTGGTGCTGGTTGGTGATGTCAGCGATCCGATACATCGCCATCTACCGACCCTACACTCACCTCAAGATGAACAAAGAGCCCATGCTGGCGGTGGCTACGGTCGTCCTGATGTGTGCCTTCTTCGAGACGTGGATCCTCTTCGACGTCAAGTTCGATGTCCGAGCCCGTGGCTGCATCGAGACATTGCCAGAGGAATGGGGATTCAGAATCCAAATTGCCGAAATTACTTGGAGCTATTTCCTGCCAGTCGTCTTAATTACCGTGCTGGACTTCCGGGTCTTGTGCTGTCATTCGGTTTGGAGCGGGCGAGGGCCATCCAGTATCAGCGACTTCGAGACGGCCTTCAATGAGTCACAGAATCATCGGAATCTGAAGCCAATTATCGTGAGTTTTGAGAGTTTATAAGGATAAGAATCAGAAAATAGGACGAAAAGCTGGATTCTCAAGAATAAAATGTCACAAAAAGCTGGATTCTAAACAGCTTTTCGCCAAAAAATAGTTTTTTTATTTGTGGACATACTATACGGTGAAAAGTGTCTTATTTTCTGAATTTTCATAAAGTTAATTGATCAAACAGCCAATAAAAATCTTGGAAAGGGATATAACAGAATTTATTCTTTTTTCTATAAAATTTTTGGCTTAAAGATGCATTTTTGTCACAAACTTATATCAATATACTTTTTAGACCGATGAAACCCAAGCTCTGTACATAAAAACTGTCCAATCAGCCGATTCAATACCTAAAGATTCGTCTTCCAACAACTCTCTGGACAAATGTGACAGTCCTCAAGCAGTTCCTCAACCCATACCCATATGTACACCATCTCAGTCAGTTAAATCTAAAGGATCCTTATCAGCCAGACACACAAAGCCACGATCTTCTAGAAGGACGCAGCAAATCAGAATCCTGAAGCGATGTCTCTGTATCTCGATCCTAGACTTGGGAATGAATCTGCCCAACTATCTACTACGACTTTACTTTACATTGGCCGATGTCTCGAGTGTGGAGAGTATCGCCGGGGAAGCCTGGTTCGCCTTCTTCCAGGATCTTAGCCAGATGCTTTACTTCGCTCAGGTGGGTAATATAATAATATTGTGTTATCTTTTGTCAGACAGTTTAAATACGGTCTAGTAATTCTTGTGAACCCATTTTAAAGTGACGTACATTATATTATATTAACGTACATTATCAAAAAAGTTTAGTCTTTATATTATTTTGTTTTCAGTTTGCTCTGAACGCTGTATATCTGATGGGCATTATATATCAAGCACCAAAGAAGAAGCCCAAAAGTATTAATGGTACCATTCCAAGTGGTATTTCAAAGTCCGGAGTTTGGCAGTAAACAACAGCTATCAACAAGTTGTCTACTACAATATTGTGCTTAATATCTACAAAAATATGATGCTTAATGGGAGCAGATGGTTGATAATCAACATACGACAATCATGTTAGATCAACTACTGTGATACGGCAAGAAGGATCGATTAAGAGCTTGTACCAAATGTACCTACAACATGTCCAAAGAATCTCAAAATTCAACAGAAACCTCATACGAACATTTCAAAGTTAAAACGGGAATAAATTTTATTACTATCAGTTTCAGTTGGATTATGAGGTACAATAATATTATTCAAACATATCACAATATCAGAGCTCCTGATAATTTAGATACAAAAGTTAATTATTTCCTTCAAACCCCAAGACTTGAGTTAAAAATACCATTTTACGCCTAATTTCATTCATAGTAGTACAATAATACAAAGTGGTGCGGATACAACTTGTTAACAACGTCGGCTTCAAGGAGTAATGTGCTGAATGTACTTGATCATGTTATTCTCTGGGTTTCGGACGTACTGCTGGACTTTATTCTGAGATCTCTGGCCAATCCCACGGTTAAGCGATGTGTTTAACAGTTTCTCTACTCTGAAAACTTATTTTATTAATGTTACCCTTCAAAAATAATTTTTTAAATACAATTTGATCGTATAAAATGGTCTCCGGCATGCGAAACTATTTTCTGACAAAAAACTGTCTGAAAACCTGTTCCGAATACTTTTACCAATAAAAAGTGGCAAGACTTACAGATTCCTGAACTGGGCTTGAGCTTTCCTTATTCTGTAAACCATCACGCTAACAGAAATGAGCAGACCAATGTTAATCAAGATGAATACCATCGGAGCGAATAGGGCGAAACTCGGTGGAGAAGACTCAGATTCATTTTCGTGCAATTCACATTCTCCATCAGACATCACGCTGAACAACAATCGACCGAGTGAGTGAAGAAGGCTAAAAAGTAAAGGAAACGGACCTTTTAGGTAATGCTGTTTTTTGAAATTTCAAAATTAAAATTGCTTCGAAATTTGTTTTACAATTGAATTTTAGAGTGCTAACACGAACTAAAACTTCCTAGTGGATCATACGACATTTTGGGAAAGAAAATATTTATTTAGGTAATTGATTCTTCAATAATGTAGCCAGAGGTTCACGGACTTCAGAGACTTTCATGCTGAAGTAGAGGATCACCTTCTTGATCACCCAATTGTACTGTTCTGGAGTTGCGACAAGAAACGGTCTTTGCTTTCTCATCTCCTTCAATATGCTCTTCAACTGTAATTTTAATTTTAGATAATAATTTTCAACTTTAATTTCAATTTAGGCAATAAGTGACAGAAAAGACTAAAGATGTTGTTTTAGTCCCTAATTAAACGAGGATTTTGCATAAAAATTTGGGTAAAAACCTCGGTTTGATACCCTATAAACTTCAAAATAAGTTAATATTGGTGTTTTAAAAGGTAATACAAACTTACATCGCATTCTTTGCCTGTAGCGATAGCTTCGACTGCGGCGTGAAGTAAGATGACAGCTCCACTGCGACCTTGGCCCATACGACTAGCTACAGCGATTGGAGCATCCACAAACAGAGTCTGAAAAAGATCATTTTAAGTTATGAATTTCACATTTTGTAAAATACGCTGACAGCTTAATTTAAAGAATTAACGAAGATTTTTAAATTGGTTTTACCTAATACCACAACTTAAATACGAAACTTACGCGAGGAATTTGCTTCCAGCAGCGAAGAAAGGCGAGGAAATGCTCTTTTGGGGCTTCTTTCTCGCTCCACTGGGGATAGTGGACCAAGTTGGCAATGACAGAGTTGGAACAGCCGTCTGGTAAAACTTCGATGGCAGATACGGTAAAGTCATCCAGTTTCGTCACTTTGCGATTATTCACAAAAATGTCGCCATAATTCGTGTGATCTCCTGCTTTTACTGGCCAAAAGTCGCCGGTGTCGCTTTCCTTTGTGTCGCCCAACAGAAGCACTACTGAACAGGCTTCTTGGAACACTAAAATAATGTTGATAAGTTATACTATGCATTAGAATACCTAAACAACATATATTGTACTAGGTATTGTCTTTGAAAGGCTTTATAATGGTGGTTATGTTGTAAATTTTACTGAAAAATAGTTGATGAGATATGTTTAACGAAACGTACCAAGTCTCCAGAAGTCGTTTATGGTATTCTTCATTGGTGTTTGAACGGCCATAAATGGACGATCTAGTTGTGGTATCCTGATGTGATTGCCATTGTAGTAGTCAGTCGCTGGAGGAACGTTACATGTTAACACAACGCTGCAAGTATTATGTCTACTATGCCAATGAAGTGTAGTATTAGGTGATTGCGAAATTATCCCGCCAATTTTTCAAAATTTTTTTTAAAAATTCTGGATTGTTCTAGAACTTTCGGTTGATAACCTATATAAAGAGATGTCCAAGCACTAAAAAATATTGCATGTTCAAGCTTTCTGTTGTTTACGGTGGTTCAAGAAATCAAGATAAAACATGGTCATGTTAGGGCAACGTTGCTTCGCAACTTCCGTGAGAACGGCAACGCAACAAGAGCAACGAAAAAAATATGCAGTGCTGTAGGGCCTTCAGTTGTCTCTCACGACACCACAAAAATTTGTTTCCACAAATTCAAAAACGGTGGCTTTGACATGTCCGAAAACCGCGATCAGGTAGACCGTCACTACTTGAAAAACCCTATCTTCTGAAGCTGATCGAAAAAGACCCCAGACGAACCTGTACTCGTTTGACTGTAGAGCTTCAGTGTGATCCTTTTTCCATATTAACTAGACTTCAGACCTTTGGAAAATCATGGAAATATGGTCAAGGGGTTTCACATGATTTCAACAGCGACCAGCTGAAACGCTAAGTGGAAGTTGCCCTTATTTGTTGATGTTCCCAAGTACCTTTGCATGGCTTGACAATTTGGTTACTGGGGACGAGGAGTGGGTACTGTATGTTAATCACACCAAGAAGAAACATTGGCTTTTACGTGGAGAACAGGGTGGATCAACTCCCAAACCTGGTCTTCACCAACTGGAGGAGGTGAACAGCGTTAGTTGGAACTCAACATGTATTGTGTACTGGGAAATGGTACCAAATGGAACTACGATCCCTGTGGATGTGTACTGTAGACAAATTAAATCTGTTGCCGTTGCATTGCATGGTAAAAAAGACCGCGTCTTCTTCATTCATGATACTGCTCGTGCCTGTGACAAAGTTGACCCAGCACAAGCTGAAAAGGCTCGGCTGGGCTGTGATGCTACATTCACTATACTCAACTGATGTTACGCCTACAGATTATAATATGTTCTACTCTCTTCAAAACCATCTGAATGCAACACGCTTTGACAACCGAGACGACCTCAAGCGATGGTGGACTAACTTTTTCAATTCTAAAACTCCAGGTTTCTACAGAAGTTGAATTCAAATGCTGCCAAAGGGATGGCAACAGGTCGTTGATAATAATCTTACATATATTTGTTAATTAGTTGTTGTTGTTTTTTTTAAATATTAAATTTTGGTAAAAACAAAAATTGGCGGGATAATTTCGCAATCACCTAATATATATGCTATAGTAACTTCACGGTATAACATTACTTACCGAGTAGCATCAGGGCAGTTCTCGACAGTATCCTTGTTTCTGGCGGCATTCTCTTTGAAGGCTTTGAACTCTGGCTTCTCGAGTGTAGCACTTTCCTTCTGAATCTCTTCGAATTCGGCTACAATACCAGCGTATTCAAGGTTACTGTACTTTGTCGTAAACTTATTCAAATTTGACAAAGCAGTATCGTTCAGTTTGCGACGTCCTAGAGTTGGTATTGTTGCTACTTTGTCGCTAAAATAATGATTTTAGAATTTCAAAAATTGTTTTTATCTTCTGTACTGTTCAAGCTACTGTCTTGTTTTGTACCAAAAAAAAAATAAATTTTAGTCTGTATATTTACGATATCATCAAATTGTATCGTGACAACAAAGTAACTTACCCCATCGATTGACTGTAAAAGCTTCTGAATCAGAGTCGCACCGACCGGTTGATAAAAAACACAAAATGACGCAAGAATTTAATCCAATTTAAAAAAATAATACTGACAGAATGGTAAAATAGGTTTATTGCATGAATATACCAAAAAGAATACATAAATATACCCGTTCAAATCGTATGTATAACAACAGGTTCACGTTCGGAACCACCGTCCTCATCCGCAGAATTCACGGCGGTCACAGAGACCGACCGGTCGATTTCCGAATGAATGATAATACCCTCTTCGTCATCTTCATCTTCTGGGAGCAGTAACTCTTGATCCAAGAGGTCACGGTTCCACATTGGTCGTAGCAGACAATATACGATACTGAAATGGATTATTACAGTATGCTTATAACATTTTACGGTATATGTTGGCAAATACAGAAAATTTTATGATAAAAATCTACATCAATTTGTATTTATTGTTTAGTAAAACTACATGCTGCGGTACTCTTAAAACCTTACCATAACCCGACTACCACTCCCAAGCACAGTAACCCTTGTAGGAAGAATACAAAGCCAGGCCACGTGACCATAGTACGGTTGTAAATAGTGTTGAATATCATGGCCGAGAACAAAGGTCCAATTACCATAACCCACGTTACCATAGCAAACATACGCGATGTCTGTTGTTGAGGTACCAACTTCGGCAACAGGATTCTGAAGCCAGGAGCAATTGCTCCAGTTGGGAAGGCAAAGGGTAAGGCTGAAGTGGCACACGTTACTTGGTATTAGTGCAATAATATTTCTAATGGCATCACATTAGAAAAAGATTTATAGCAAAGCTAATCAGAAGAATTGCCATTCTTTTTGCAACAAATAATAATTATAATAATTAATTTATAACTTACTCCACAGTAACTGGTTGGTATTCTTAGCAAACGCCATAATCATGTTGATGGCTATGTTACTGCCAATGCCGAATATTATCATGTACAACTCTCTCCCAACAAAGCTCATCTTTCGTATAATCAGAGGTAACAGTGCCATACCCGCAGTAAAGAAGATGAATCGGATCAAGAAAAAGTTGGTAAAAGTAGAATCCGACCAGTTGAAAGGGGGTCGTTTTATGAACAAACAGGTTATTTGGGTATCTGAAACCAACATTGTAGTTAAATATACAGTAAAAAAATTTTACAATATCGCACATAACTAATCTCATTCAAAGACATACCAAACAACATCATCTCCACAAAGATAGAAGCCACGATGAAGTTCAAGCAAAACCTCAAGTATCCTTCTCGAGGCATGAACGCGACCTCAACTAGTCCTTTTATTGAATCGACTGGACTAAAGGATCGACTTCTAGGCTCCTGATTAATAACCAATGTTGCGTTAGTGTTGTGGTCGAGTACTGAAATTGAATTAAGTTAGTATTGTCAAAACAAACATCACAATTGCCTTTTGACTCGTACATGAGTACCAATAGTAACTCTATCAATAACTTTTAAGTACTTTTTAAGACTTTTTTAATACTTTAATTTGGCTATCTAAAGACTTACCGTCCTTATAAGTGTCCCTGAGAAACCATAACATATAAAGGAATGCCCCAAACGCTGCGCCAGCAGCAATACCAAATGAAAACTGATAAGCAAACACTTTTTGTTCAGGGGTCTGGTACTCCAACATCTCGATAGCTGATACTGACACACTCCCAAGCAGATTCCCTATAGCTTGTACTGCCGATGCTATTGTTATTCGAAGTGGTACAGCATGAGATTGCTAAACAACTAAGTTTAGAAAAAGAATTTGTTAATATTTTCAGTTTTATATAACAACATATGCTTATTATAAGATTTTTCAAAATAACGTACCAAACAACATCAAGTAAAAGCGGCATTCTACTTTTATCTCTGTGGCAAATTTCCTACAAATAAAAAAAATTCAAAACTCACAAAAGATTTGTCAGCTCTGGCATCGTCAGATACTACAGCGAAGCTCTGTGCCATTAAAGTTGGCAGTCCACCGACCAGTCCACAAATGATTTCAGACGCAATCCACATGTAAAATACATTTATCTGCTCAGTCAGAAAAGTGGCAATGAACTGTAGAGTAACATAGATTACAGCTCCAAAACTACACAGTAAAATAGGAGCACGACGACCAGAGTAATCGGCCCATGCCCCTATTACAGGTGATGATAAGACTACGGTAGTTGTCGCTGATATCTAAAATAATGGTACTATTATAATACGGCAATATAAACATGATATTAAAATCTCCTATTTAAGAGCCAAATGTAAAGTATACTATGATTACCGTAATTTTTTAGAATACATCCTAGAACAAAAAATTCGTATTTTAATTGGTATTCCAGTAACTAATCTAAAAACATAACAAAATATATAAAAATGATTACTTGAGTGTATATTCTCCACTGAGCGACGTCTGCTTCTACCATATCCATTACTGTGGTATCATTGAGCTTGTCCAGCGATACACACATTCTTGCTACGGTTGATTTGTCTACTGGCATCTAAAATCACGGTAATTTATAGCTGTTAAAATAAAAATTTAATTTCAGATATTTTTGGTCAAATAGTAAGTAGAAAAGTGAAAATAAACTCGATGGTTAATATGTCAATAGTAAAATAAAGGTATACCTACTTCCAAGCAAATTTATGAAAATTATTATTTAAAAAATAACTTGTGCCGCCTTACCTCGTTTTCAAGTATTTCAACGCATCGTGCATAAAACAGATACAATGATGATATTGGAATTAAAATGCCAGCGGCAAAGCTGAACATGAATAAAGCCGGCTCAATGTTCACATTCCAGAATCGTCGATTTGACTGACTGGAATCCGTCGACGACTCCGGTCGATGAAGCCGGCTTTGATTGGCCTGCATGATTTGTGGTCGATTACGACGAAATAGTGACCGTAATCTCCATTCGGGTCTCTAAAGTCATCATTACTATGGATTAGGATGATAAACTTATAATTATCCGTAAAAAGTTTTAGAATAATGTTATAACACCAATTTTAAACAAATAATTCATAAAAACAAAAAAAAGTCAATTTTTATCAAATTTTCAATATTTTAAGTAACAAAGCAGAGAAAACAATCAAATTCTCGAATTTCGGACTGTTTATATCTGTTTCGATAAGCACACATTTATCAAGGTTAAAACCAAAAAATGATCCGAAATACAAAGTAAGTTATAGACATAGAGAACACCCAATCAAACGTTATTGAGGCTAATTACAAACACCATTAACTCTGTTGTAAACATGTTAAATGCTCTATTTTTGCAAGTATAGTCAACATAATTCTAGTATAATAGTATTACCAATATTACTTGAAGTCGTCAATCTTATAGTAATTTATATCAATCGTATATTAATACAAACCAAAAAACATAAAAAACATGACAACTCAACAACTTACAGTAGCCCAAACAGAATCGTTAGTAATGATTGACATAGAATCAATACTTGCGTTAGTAATCATTATATATTATATATATTAACCAACTTTAGAAATAGAAACGCTTAATTTTTCACAGTTTGAATTCCAAAGTAGGTGTTCAAGATACGCATAACATGACATATGTTACCTGTGGCGTTAATTAAGCTTCGAACAAATACAAGTACCCTTTAACCACTTTATTTTTGACACCTTTCCTATTTAGTCAGTCTTTAGTCACAAAACATATCCAATAATAATAATCCGTTACTTCATAAAGTAATCAGTTTTTTACCACACGTAATTTTTATTATATAGTGACTTATATTTAAATACAGCGTTCAAATCTCCGAAATGAAGGCTTATATTTGTACAAAACGAGTGTGAAAACAATAAAAAAGGAGTTCCCGGATTAGCTAAACCATGAGTATGCCATATTATAAAACAACAACTACGTATATGACACATAACTATTGTAAAATAATAAATTTAACCTTTAAACCGCAAAAAATCATCACTTTTTAAGAACTACGAGTTTCTGAAAACTTTCCTTGTTTTTCGCTTTATTTTTCCCTCCCTTCACACTCGTATTTATTTCCCCACAGTAAAGACACCGTATATAAGAGAAAGCTGTAGAAAGCTTTTTTGCGCAGACATAAACATGGAAACGCCTAAGAAAAGGGTATTCTTCTATCCGGGAACAAGGAAAAGGGCATTCCCGACTTTTTCAAATTCTCGCTTTAAATCACGCTGTTTTTGTCGTCCAGACTACACTCACGTGACCAGCCTAAACCATTTACAAATCTCTATAGTTAAAGGGTACTTGAAAATGTTTGAATATCAATCGAATTAAAATTGCTGGTTCTGTTTTTCATTGTTTTTGTTATCAGTACAATTCCTCGTGAGTCTAGTTTTTGTTGCATTTAATGTCTTGGAAGAACAGATTTCTTCGAGAGTTGATTACAACAAACGTAAATCTGACATATTTTAAAATTTATATTTCGACACAATAGCAAAAAAAGTCAACAACTGTAACAATTTTGCTCTATAAAAATTTTATTTTTGAAAATTTAGTTTTTTAAAAACTAGTATTATATGCCACTTATAACAACATTTCCTAAGTTTCCCCGAAACTAAACAAAATTCACTAGAATTCATTCCCTTACCTACTGCAACAGCTGACAAAACTTTCGAACAAAATTATAAACTCAGAAATAACCCTAACAAAAAATCCTATCATAGCCACCGCAAAATCTACCATCAGCATGTCAACAAAACAATTTATTCAATAACAAAAAAACTTGAACGCTTATTTCTTCTCAATCAAAGTCTGGTGGCATCTGCCGCAGTAAAGACGGTCCTTGTGCTTGGCCATGAAGACTCCACCACCGCATGAGACAGAGCTGCATTCGGAACGAAGTCTTTGGATCTTGTCATCGTCGTCGATTTTGTAGTACTTCAAGACGGAAAGTTTGACCTTCTTTCTCTTGTGCTTGATCTTCTTTGGAGTAGTGTAGACCTTCTTCTTTCTCTTTTTGCCACCACCGAGAAGACGGAGGTCAAGATGGACAGTAGAGAGGGCTTCAACTCCGAAGTCGGCCAAAGTCAATTCCTCATCCAGCTGTTGTCCTAAAATAGCAACCAATGAATTTTTGATCTAGCCGGGTCCGTCCTCAAGCTGTTCGATCCCAAAAAGACGAATCGAACTGCTCTCGAGAGTCAGCTTTGTATTAACTATAACAAAAAGTACAATTATTTAAATTTTTAACTCTAAAATTCAAGCGAAATAAAAAAAAACTTACCGGCGAAGAGAAGACGTTGTTCTTCAGCAGAGATGGCTTCGATTTCTTCGATTCTAGCCTTAAGTTCGGCGACCTTGGCCAAGGGGCTCACGTCAAAGGAGACGGTTTGTCCCTGGAGGTTTTTGACAAACACCATGGTTAAACCTGTAAAATCAATTATAAATAACAATATAATTATAATAATACCACGAAATACATTAATAACATGAAAAACTACGAGTAAATCACAAAACTTTATGAAAACCTAGAAACTTTAGGAAAAAAGTAGGACGACAAAATTCTGAAAACCTTCCAAACAATTTTCAACGAAAAATATCGTAGGATTCCTTCCCTGTTTTTCCTTGCAGGACCCAGGGTGGAAAAAAGTGGACGACGAGTTATACGACCAAAGCTGCAAAATGTAAATGGCATTTTTGGGAGAAAATAAATTTATCGTCAAAAATCAGTCAGCAAGAGGTGTTACTTTTTTCTGATATGTATGTTTATGGTTTACAGATTTTTTCTTTTGTTTATGTTATCCATAATATTTTTTTTTATTTTTAACGGGTTTTCTAACATTCTTTTGCCGATAAATATGAGTTTTTGAGTTTATATTAGTATGATTTTAATTTTTTATTTATATCACGTTAATTTTTGGTTCGTCTATATTTTTTATGAAGTTCTTGAAAGTTTTAATTTATGTTTTGATTTTTTTATTTTAGTTTATAAATTAAATTTTAGGTAATTATTTTATGACAAAATGTAAAGCAGTGTAAGTGTGTAAAGAATAGTTTTTATATTGTATTGTTGCTTTTTAAAATAATTTTTTGTATTGTTGTATAGTTTTTGAAAGACGATTAAAGGGAAACAATATAAAAGTTCAAAAGATTAGTTTCCCTATATTATTGTATAGTCTTTTTTGAATAATGGATTCGATTGGTTAAGGACACGTTCTGGATGTTAAAGCAAATACCACAATTGTACGGGCAGGGTGTTATTTGCATAATATCAGCAGGTTTCTCGAAAATTCTTCAAAAACGAGCGTTTGCGGCGTGGATGTGGGGCGGGGTCAGGGGGTGCAGTGGCTTGTGCGGATTGGCTGGCTGGTGACGTGGACCAATGGGAAGGCGACCACGTCCGTTTTACACACACATCTATACACGTCGGCAGTGGAAAGGCGAGGGCGCTTTTTGAGGGGGGAGCGTCCTGACATAAGCACTATATTATAGATGAGGTTCAACGCGATTGTATCGGTTGTATTTGGAGTGTAATCAAGGTGATAGCGTTGTTTTTCTTTTCTGAGGACTGACAATGGTTTTTATCGTCAGTTTAGTTTGCCGTCTTATTTGTAGGTTAGTAAGACAATCATTTGCCTCTGATGATGACTTTGGAAGGTGGTTATTGTAAAAAGACAGGGTTAATCGTCTTTAACTGATACTTAATAAAAAGTACGTGTGTGTTGATTCTCACATATTGCTACTACATTTTCTACTTAATGTCTACTTTATCTTGTTTTTATGTAAGAGATATAAGCCTTTAAGTGTAATATAATCAGTTGATCGGTATATTAAAATTTCGTTTAATACCTTTTCTTTTGGTTAGTGTACTTACTGGCCTAGTTTCACCGCAACACGTTACCCGTTCCTCTTTTTTACAAAAAAAGGACTCGTGGCGGCCGGTGCGAGCTGACCTCGACCTTGGTGGACGTCCGCCCCTTTAGACGGTCCGATTCATATTTGTTGTCGCGTTGGCTTAATTTTGTGATTGTGTAAATTAGGATTGTTTGTAGGTTGGTGTACCATGCACAAGCTCACTGTTGGGGCTTTGTTGGCCCTCACGGCTTTGACAGTCGCCGAAGTTTACTTGAAGGAAGAGTTCGGTAAGTGTTTTGATTAATATTTCCGCGTTTTAGTTTGTCATAAGTGAAAGTGCGAAATTTGCTGCAAAACAAAACTATTAGGGTGCTGATTATGATAAGTCAACTGTTTTTGCAACGGTTTTGTTATTATCAATTCTTAAATATTCCTAAACAAGTAAAATAACATCAAGTTTTGCAGGAGATGGATGGGAAGACAGATGGGTCCAATCCAAGCACAAGGATGACTTCGGTAAATTCGTAGCCTCTGCCGGAAAGTGGTACGGTGACGAGAAACGTGACACTGGTATCAAGACTTCTCAAGATGCTCGTTTCTACGCTATCTCTACCAAGTTCAACAAGTTCACCAACAAGGGCAAACAATTGGTCGTCCAATTCACCGTCAAGCACGAACAGAACATTGACTGTGGAGGTGGCTACGTCAAGATCTCTCCATCCGACGTCAACCAAGAAGATTACCACGGTGAATCCGACTACGTGATCATGTTCGGTCCCGATATTTGCGGTCCATCAAACAAGAAGGTCCACGTCATCTTGAACTACAACGGAAAGAACCACCTGATCAAGAAGAACATCTCCCCCAAGGACGACGACCTCACTCACTTGTACACTTTGGTTTTGAACTCCGACAACACCTACGAAGTTCACATCGATGGAGCCAAGGTTGAGAGCGGAGAACTCGAAGCCGACTGGGACTTCTTGCCGGAGAAGAAGATCAAGGACCCCGACGCCAAGAAGCCAGAAGACTGGGACGACAACGAATACATCACCGATCCAGAAGACAAGAAGCCAGAAGACTGGGACAAACCACAACACATTCCAGACCCAGAGGCCAAGAAGCCAGAAGATTGGGACGATGAGATGGACGGAGAATGGGAACCACCAATGATTGACAACCCTGAATACAAGGGAGAGTGGAAGCCAAAAGAGATCAAAAACCCCAACTACTCTGTAAGTTTATATCTACATTATTTTGTGTTATTTAATATCTAATTTAATTGATTTTATAATTTATTGACGGTTGGTTAATGTTTCTTTCATTTTAGGGCAAGTGGATCCACCCTGAAATTGACAACCCAGAATACAAGCCTGACGATGAGATCTACAAGTTCGACGACATCTCCATCGCCGCCTTCGACCTCTGGCAAGTCAAGTCGGGTACTATCTTCGACAACCTCCTCATCACCGACTCGATTGAAGAGGCCCAGTCTCACGCTGCCGAAACCTTCGAGCCATTGAGAGATGCCGAGAAGAAGCAGAAGGAAGAATTCGAAGAAGAAGAGAAGAAGCGATTGGAAGAAGAACGCAAGAGGGAAGAGGAGAAGGCCAAGGACGCCAAGAAGGACGAGAAGGAAGACGACGATGAGGAAGAGGAGAAGGAACACGACGAACTCTAAATTATGGGTCTAGCTAGATGTTCAGGTTGTACATGTTGTTGTTAGTTTGGCACTGTGTAGCTTGACGTTACACACCACTGCCAAGCCAATATTACTCCAATTTCTTATCTTTCCAAAGTCGCCTCAATCTCTTTCCCTTTATTTAGTCGTGTAGATCGTTGTTATTTTGTGTATTTGATCTATAATTTATAATAATTATTTATTGTAATTGTTACTGCTAATACGAGTCATTTTGTCGTTTAAAACAGTAAAGGAATAACTGATATTTGGTGGGATTTTGTGAGTAATATGTTTAGATCTCGTTATCTATAAAAAAAGAATGATTAAAAGCAATAATATAAAGTTAAAATTTTACTAAAAGATACTTTATGTGTAAGTTTATATAGAAAAAGAAAAGTTGAGCCATCTGAAAACGGCGTGAAATTCCGTCGAAAAGCATAAAAATACGTGCAAAGTAAAATCGAACAAACAGAAAAAAGTCATTTTCGCATGGACATTAATTATAAACTGATCTGGCGGGACTCAGTAGGTAGTTTTATAAACGCAGTTATTCTGAAGGCAAGTACTTGAAGGTTAGATAAGCAGTCGATTCTTAAAGTAAATTTTTTGAAAAACCCGAACTTGATAGAAATGCCTTTTTAATCGTTTTCGGGTTTTAATATTTTTTGATTCCGCGTATTTTCTACGTGTTCCTGTTGTTATCTTATGTTAGGTTTCTGTTTCAGACCATGCGACTGACAAATAAAGTGTTACAGTAAGTGAAAAAGAATCTACACAACAATCTTTTTACAGTACTGCCCTTAACTACGACGTCGCCGTCGTTGGTGGAGGTATCGTGGGATGTGCTACAGCCAGACAGCTCAAATTGGACAGACCTAACTTGAAGATCGCTTTATTAGAAAAGGAAGATCAACTGTGTAAGTATTTCTTTTTTGTTTATGTTTAGGTGTATAATAATAGGTGATTGGCAATGAAGGTTTGAGGTTTCTTTAAATTAATTAATTCTAAATTACAATGAGTGGTGTAACATTATTCACATATCAATTGTTGAAATTTAAACAATCTAAATACGTTTTAAACCCTATTTGTTCCTTTTTCCTGGCCAAACGCACTAAACTGGCCTCAAATGTTTATTCAGCGCTCCGCTGAATACTAAATTATGGGAACGGGATACGTAGAATAATATTGTAGTAAAATAAATTTAAAATCAAATAAAAATGTAATTAACTTCAGCCAAACACCAATCAGGAAACAATTCTGGAGTTCTCCACGCTGGCATCTACTATCAGCCAGGCAGTTTGAAGGCCAAGTTGTGTGTCCAAGGAATCGACTTGGCCTACGATTACATCGAGAAGAAGAACATACCTCACAAGAGGTGTGGAAAGTTAATTGTTGCAGTCGATAATAGCGAAATTGCCAATTTAGATGTAAGTTTTTAATTGATATTATAATTGGTTTTGTAGTAATACAGTAACATTGTATGTGGTTAATTGGCTATAAATGAAATTATATTGAAGAATTTTCTATTCATTTGTATTTTACAGTGAACTTACAGTAATCTTTCAGAAACTGTACGAAAGAGCTCAACAAAATGGCTGTAAAGATATCTCAATGGTTGGTCCAGACAAAATCAAGGAAATCCAGCCAGCTTGTAGAGTAAGTACATGCCAATTACCTTTAACCATACAATAAGAGCTCAAAGACAACTCTAGCATGAATAACATATTATTTATAAACAACTATAATAATATCGTAATTTGCACGACAGACCTGACACTGTCCCTTATAGGGAGTAAAGGCGTTATGGTCACCGTATACGGGTATAGTTGACTGGAAAGTGGTTACACTGAGCTACGCAGATGATTTCGTTGAAGCTGGAGGGTCGGTCTACACTCCATTTCCATTGACCGACATCAAGGAAAGTGGAGATCCAAAGTATCCGATTCGGATCGAGAGTGGCAGAGATGAGGTAGGTTCATTTATAGGTGTTACCTTTCGGACAGGTAGTTCTTAGAATCCTTTACTCAATCAGTTATCAATGATTTTACTTAACGACTAGCCATAGTGAAAGCATAGTTTTAGAAGACAATCCACGCTTCCCAAGTCATCACTTGTGCTGGACTTCAGTCCGATCGTGTCGCTCAGCTGACTGGCTGCAAAGCGGTACCAAAAATAGTACCATTCAGAGGAGAGTATTTGTATTTAAAGCCGGAAAAGCATCACTTAGTTACCACAAATATTTACCCTGTAAGTTCATGACTGATATGAAGGGAACTAATAACTATAAATTATTCATTACCAATCGCATGGTACTTTACTACCCATTTAGGTGCCAGATCCAAGATTCCCATTCCTCGGCGTTCACTTTACTCCCACCATGAGAGGAGAAGTACTACTAGGACCAAATGCTGTACTAGCGTTCAAACGAGAAGGCTACAGTTACTTTGACTTTTCGTTGAGAGACTTCATCGATGCTGTGAGCTTCGCGTAAGTTTTTAGGTTAACATTGTTATGAGATTGATTTGCATTTCTTTGTGATTCTTATATTAACGATATACGTAAAGTATGACTAAAATATCAAAAAGGCAAGAAATATTTAAAAATTTAATTTCCAGAGGAATGCAACGTCTGATGGTAAAATACGCAGGCTTCGGAATGGGCGAAATGTACCGTGGTATCTTCTACAACGCCCAAGTCAAGAAGCTACAACGTTACATTCCCGAAATCTCGCACAGTGACGTTACCCGAGGTCGTGCCGGAGTTCGTGCCCAAGCTTTAGATGCTACTGGAGCACTGGTCGACGATTTCGTATTCGACGACGGTGTAGGACCTCTGGCTCCACGCCTACTACACATTAGAAACGCACCGTCACCAGGTGCTACCAGCTCGATGGCTATCGCCAAAATGGTGGTCGATAAAGCGGTCGAAAAGTTTAGTTTGTAGAGAAATAAATTAGTTGTTTTAATCTTCCAGATCCTACTTTTAGGTGGTATGTACTCATTTTTATTAAAAACATGGTTACAATCAATATCGTTACCCATAATAACATTGAAAGATCAAAATGGCTTTAGAATCACGAAGAATCCAGTAGGTCTGCCCTTTAGCAGCATTAAAGTTTAAAGACGGAAGAACAAGATGAATTGGTTAGTTAAATTCTTTGTACAATTTTTATCAAAGTTGTTGGCCAACTGATTATTGTCTGACCTGACGTTGAGAAGCAGTTCTCCAGACTAGTCTAGCCAATCTCCATCGGAGAGAGTAGAACAGAGATCTCAGACCTTGGACTGGCCTTCCCCATAAAGTCCACCACAAAGCTCCGTGAACCCAGATAGGTCCTCCCATCCAGAATAAGGCTACATGAAGAGAATAATAAGCAGCTGTACAAGCTACAGCAAAAGCCGCCGCAAACATAGAGGTCTTTACCGCATCGTGTCTAAAATTATTTTGTTTAGATGTTAACGATGAAAAACAAGTAATTAATTCTGTTCAACTAAGCAATTTTTGTCAATGAATTTATGCAGAAGCTTTAAATTACCGTCTTTAATTCCTAAATAACAAAGTCAAAAGTAAAACAAACTTACGACACCAACTCCCACTCTTCTTCATTCTCAACTTCTTCGTGTTTATTCATACTCGTATTTTAGGTGAAGACCTAAAGAAACTGTTTATTTTATTGTTGTGAACAACATTTGGCGAAAATTATTGTCAAAAACATGGTTTTTGATCAGTCAATCACGAGAAACAATAAAAATATTTTTTCTTCGGAAAATCGAAATTACACAGAAATTATTGATTTTGAGAACAGTCGGCCAATTTTTGACAAAAATTATTTTTTCGGAGATTCTGCGGATAAAATATTGTACGAGGCTTTTGGATTATAAAACAGAAATGGTAAGTTATAGGTTTCAACAAGTATTGGGATTGAAATTGATTAAAAATTATCATTAAAGTGGTAAAATATTGTAAAAACTTTGTACGAAATCTTAAAAGAAACTAAAACATCAACGCAAAGTCAATGGATTGACGTTTTATAATATAAAACAAGCATAAAGTAGTAGACTTTGAGCTTTTCCAGCTGTTATAACGAAGCGAGCGCGTCTCGTTCAGCTTTCTCTCGAAATGATGTTACCCACGTGAAGAGAAGAGAAAGCGAAGGCCTCGTGACCTGAACATAGACAACCAGTTCGCCCTTGTCTGATTTTGATTATAATTTGAAATATTATCTGATGATAACATAGATTGTTGTTTCGTGTTAAAATATACAGCAAATTTCAAAATTTTGAAATTTTATATATAAGATTGTTTAGGTTAAGAAAACGTAGTTTAGAGTCAAAACGATACATTATAATAGTATTATTTTTGGTAGAAATTACTTTTACTTTTTGATGTCCTTTTATTACGTCAAAATGGTACACAAAAGCGAGATTCGTTGTATCGTACATTATGTTTGGTCATCTACCAAGACAAACGATGCAAAACGCAGTCGATAGTCCTCCACCTCCATTACCATAAAACGGATTGTAAGTGGGCTGATAAGCTGGATAGTAGTATCTAAAATTTAATTTTTCACGTTTACTAATAAGATGAAAAACTTTACGTTGGCTGCTGATAGTAAGTAGGATAGTAGTAGTAGCCTGGTTGGTACATTTGCCTTGTGCTTCTCGTAGTTGGTACATCAGCTGACTTCATATTGGTTCTAGGATCTTGTAGCCGGCGGCTTCTCGATCTTGTTCTTATGACCTTTGTACTATTCCCTTCAGTAGCATCAGAAAATATTATCATAATCAATATCATGATAATAATGGCTTGAAGTTTAGTCATCACTACCTTTTCTGAAACTATGTATTTTTTTTACTGTACAATCATAGTACTATACAAAAATATAAAACATCCAGAAATCAGCGGTAGTGTAATATATAATGTCATAAACATGAATTCTTAACCCAAAACTTACCTGAACCAATGTCCTTACCTCTCGAAAGATGTCCTTTATAAAAAGCCAATGTAACGACAATCTTGGTGTAGTTTCATGGAGCCGGTTTTGAAGCCGAAAAGCCATTTGACAAACTTACAATTCGATCTCTAAGGTCATACTGTTGTTTATTCAAATAGTCATGCGTCATTGACATTGAATGGAGCTTGCAGAGTCAAGGTTACAAACATGTTTATTACAGAGTAAAGCGTTACAACATAATGTATGTGCACGATATTATAGGCAAGATATGGCCATTGTTATATTAGGCCAAGACACGACGGTAGTTGTTACATTAGGCAATATAAGGTAGTCTGTCTCGGTAGATTTGGCACGCTTGCAACTTTGAATGTTAATATATTAGGCTGGTTCATTGCACTAGGTTAAACTAGTCGATGACGGTATCCTTGGCTCTTTTCTGGGCATGGGCAGTACTAAAATCAGATTTATATTATGTTGCAGTACAAGTAATGTTTATATTATAATTATATTAAAATAGATTGCTTTCATAGTATTATTATAAAAACATACGTTAGCGTCAGCTCCCGGCTGACCCGGCTTTCCTGGTGCACCAGGAGTACCATCTTCACCCGCTACACCATTCTCTCCAGCCATTCCACGTACTCCAGCTACTCCTGGAGTTCCAACTGGTCCAGTCTTCCCTCTGCCACCAGCTTCACCTTGTGGTCCTGGTGGTCCAGACACGCCCTGAAAGTTAGAAATCTTGTACGGTATTAGATAATAGGAAACACAAGCATCTTGTATGTGGTCTTTTAACAAATTATAAACAAAACTCGTATTTTAGCCTGACTTACACGTTTTCCTTTTATGGCGATCATTCTGATGCCATTCTCACCGTCAACTCCCTTTGGTCCTCTTTCTCCGTCTTTTCCTGATTGTCCCAAGTCTCCAGAATCTCCTGGATGACCTTGTTCACCTGGTGCTCCGGGTAGTCCAGGCGTACCACGCGGTCCTCGAGGGCCGCGACGACCTAAAAGAAAAGATGCTAATTCACAAAAATTTTAGATTTTTTAAAAATGTTTTACGAGTTTAGTCAACAAAACACATAAAACAGTAAATTTAAAAATTTATTTTTAGGTTTTTTAGACCAAACTAGTTTTTTAAAAATTAATAACTGATTTACCTGGACGTCCATCTGATCCAGGCGCTCCTGGTGGGCCAGCGGGACAATTATAGCATCCTTGTGGTGGCATGTCTTGTCTATCTGAAGCATCTTGTCCATCCAATCCTGGAATTCCAGGTTTTCCTGGATACCCATTTGGTCCTGGTTCTCCAGGTGGGCCAGGTTGGCCTGGTGGGCACTTGTTCTTCGAGTTGGCCGAACATTCTGTAATCATTTTTAAATTACATCCTTGTAGCCTGCTTTCAACTTCTTTTCTATCATAAAAGAATAGGAGCCCATGTTTTGATGAATTTCTCATAAAGTAACAAGGATAACATACCACAATGTCCGATGCCAGTTGGCGGAGCGTAGCTAGGAAGGAAGAATTGGGTTGGAGCGGCTCTGGCTAAAACAATATAATTGTAAAAGTGACAAGTTGATGGTACGATATGAGAATAAGTTGCTAAAGGTATGACTCAACCCACCGGCAGTCTTCTTCTTCAGCCTCTTGTTGTTCTTCTTGTAGTAGTTGTCGTGAGCCTCCTTCAACGACTTGTACACAGCTCTTCGTGTTATGATATGTCCTCTCATTCCTTGTGCTTGTTCCTTCATCTGTTCTGATAGATGATTCATTGAACTCTGGAATCAATTACTTCGGAATGACGTCATTTTAAAAACAAATTCCAAATTATTTTGATTTCTTACCGCGATATCTTTCATGTCGTTCTCCAGGTACATTGTCATGTCGCTTACATCGTTTACAATGTAACGGACCGTAGTAAATGTACCAACCAAGAACAAAGACATAAAGGTGACAAAAAGGTGGACAAAGGTCGTGTGGTATTTAAGATCAGCTGAATGTATTTTTAATTCATGAACTTGGACCTATCAATTTTGTAGTTTAATATGATACTATAAGTTCAAATGTGTGATACTATAAAATTATATTATTATACGAACTTACATAAGTTGTCATCATGGGTGGTCTTTTTGGTTTTCATGGGAAAACTTTGGTTCTTAGGATGATCTTTGTAGTTTATTACCTAAAATATGATGCTATAAATAAAATAGTTATCATAAAAAATAAAACAAAGCTTTAAAAGGCAAAAAAGCAACATAAAAATGAAAAAATGATATAAACCAGGAAGAAAGCAAGGATAATATACCATAAACAACACGTCACACTGACAGCCCTTACCGTGCCTCCTCAGCTAATTTGCATTCGACTGATTTGCGATGATTATCAGCGAACGCTGTGCCCGCCTTCAAGAAATTCAAATTCTCGAACATGTTTTTGGCTTCTGGAGGAGATGGAGCGATTCAGGTCATCGAACTTTTCCCGCAAACAGAACCTGAATGTCGCGGAAGGCTAATGTAAATCCAATTACAATACACTTTTATCGACTGGATTTCGGTGTTGGCGCCATTTCTGACGGCTTTGAGACATGATGATATTATAGTAGAGACAAACATATCTGTAGTTGCGATGGGATGCAGTAATGTCGCAATGTTAATAGAATACGTTAATGGATATTAAGCAAAAACAAAATTTTTTCATAAGATATACTCTTTTACAACATTAAAACCCTTAATTCTAACTCATTTATTTCAAAAATTTAAATTTCATGAGCCGTAATTTTACAATAGTAAATATATAAAATATTACACAACGCTTTTTCTATGTGCAGAAGTAGATACATAGTAAACATCTGACACTTTCTCAACCGGCTTCACAAAGTATTTAAACACCCTTCGTCTAAAGGGTCCTACTAACAGTATGGTACTAGTGGAGTTTAGTACAGGTATCCAACTTGTCAGATTACCCAAAAGAAACCAGGTAACGGAACCTCCATCATTACGTAACAAGGCTATAAATGCCAATCCAATTAGCACGGAACAGTTAAAGAACGGTATCAATGCCTAAAAGCTTCAAAATCATAAACACTATAATATACACTTTATGTACAAGAAACATTATACCAAGAAATTTTATAAAATGTTAAGATTATTATACGATATATACTGCGCTAAGTAATTAAAGTCAAATTTCAAAATATGCGAAAAATTTTAAACTGATAGTTGTAAGTTCTCGCCTGTACCACCATAACCTTAGTAATACTATCTTGTAGCTTCCTTGTCTTTCCAGATACGACATGTTGATGCGTCGATAGATGGACATAAACTTTTCGACCAAAAACTAGAGCCCCCAAGTAACTGCCAAATACCAAAACTGAGCCACATCCCAATAATATCAAACATCCGAATGATTTCTGAAGATAATGCGATAATTTACAGTGTAAAGCTCAAAATATAGTTACTAAAGACTATTTTAAAATCTGAATCTTGTTTGAACCAGCGAGACAAGATACCACCTATATAACCTTACAGTATTAATTACAGGAGCTGCCAATGGTTTTCCATCTTCATACCATTCTGGATGACCTACAAAAAGACGTTCTAGTATCAAAGGTTCGTCTGCCTTTGTCTCGATAGCACCATACAGAGTACATAACGCATTAAATAAAGCCCAGAGACCAGCCAATGTCATGAACTTTACAATTTCTAAAACTGTCATTGTGTGGTTTCTGAAATGCACAGTAATCTACATAAACATACGTATAAATAATATCTATGTTTCGCTTAGGATAAGCAAAAACATTCGAAAATACTTTAAAACCAAAATTATTTCAAAGTTTATACCTACTTGCAAATCATCTGATACCGAAAGTAGAATATCAGCAACATAGATGTAGAAGCCAATCCCATCATGGTTATGTTCATTACACTCAGAAAGTAGAGCCAGTTTAAGCCTAGATGTCTCAACGGTGTAAAAGTGACGAAGAAGGCATACCCTTGAGTCTCGTATATACTTGGCTTCTTGTTGAGATATAAACATGAAGAAGGTGAACATGAGATCATTGATGCATACTGTAACTATCATACGACGATATCCTCTCAAAATAGTATTTATCTCCCTCAGCGATATTATCAACAAAGTTATGTTGGCTACCATTGAAATCACAGCGCACACTGTACTGTTGGTCACGTGGAAGTAGTAGTTGTACATTACCGTATACTCAAACTTGAAAATCAAAATTTATGCACAAGAAAAATAAAAGTCGTAACAAATAATAAACATATAGTAAGCAGACTTTGTCAACTCACGTAGTAAAGTTGTGATATACCTAGGAGTTACCACCTCTTTTACAAAGTAATTTCGTATCTTATTGACTCCAATAACCTGTATTGTAATTGTAAAGACAATACAATTGTAAATGTCTAACTTTTTTCATTTTTATTGAATCTCATTACTATTATATTAGAGTAGTCATTGTAGCTTCAACATAAAATAATATATCTACTTATATGTCATAAATTTTAAATTTTCTAAGGGTAGCCACATTAATTTGATGTAAAAAGATAGTGTATACATATATTTTATGTTATCCTATTTTCTTTACGTATCTTAAACAATATATTCAATTTTAGTTACAACAAACTGTTTTTGTACCTAGATTGTAACAATAGGTAACAAATATTGTAAGATAAGTTCCTTGTTTTCTAATTTCTACATAGTAAACCACGTTTGTTTTCAATTACTTATTATATATTTAAATATTCTGTTCACAATAACCCATTAATAAGCTATTAATACTAAGATAGGCACGTAAGAGTTCACAAATGCAATATCAAACAGCACTATTTGCTCACAACAAATGTAAATTATTAACATTAAAAAGGGCCAATGTTTATCACAAAATCAGATATCAATAACTAGAGGTAAGTAACGTCATCTTGGAGCAGTAACACTCGTTTTGTAAATGTCAGACGTCTTATTACCATTAAACGGTCTAAAGTAGTAGTTAAACACTTTCCGTCTGAATGGCCCCACTAACAAAATGGTACTGGTTGAGTTTAGTACAGGTATCCAACTAGTCAAATTACCGAGTAAAAACCATGTTAAAGGAGCATCATTACTCCGTAAGAAGGCTATAAATACCATTCCAATTGGTACCGAACAATTGAAAAATGGTATCAGCGCCTAAAGCAATATATCATAAAATGTTTTTCTTAAACAAGACCAAATAATAAATGATTTTTAAAGTTTAAGAAGCTTACCTGTACTATCATGACTTTGGTAATACTATTCTGTAACTTTCTCGTCCTTCCTGATATGATATGTTGATGCGTAGAAAGATGGACATAAACTTTTCGACCAAAAACCAAAGCTCCCAAGTAACTGCCAAAGACTAACACTGTCCCAAAACCAGTCAACATCAAACAGCCAACTGATTTCTAAACAGTAAAATTATTTTAAAAGTTCAAAGTATAATAATAAAACTCTTGACCATGAACATCAGGTTGTGTTTAAAACTGCACAAAACATACTCAATCGTATTTTACAATTAATCAACGAAAATAAAGAATATAACCTACTTTGTAAACTATAGGAGCAACCAGAGGTTTTCCGTTTTCATACCAATCTGAATGTCCAACAAACAAACGTTCTATTGTAGGGTCAGAAGCTCTGGTCTCGAAAGCACCATACAGAGCACACAAAGCGTCCCATAAAGCCCAAATACTGGCAAAAGACATAAAGTTTACTATTTCCATTACTGTCATCGTATGGTGCCTAAACTATCATATATAAAACCACAAATATTATTTCAAAAGCCTTGATATAGTTGTCTTTATATACAAGGTAACCCCTTGTCTATTGTACCTTATACCTCACGAGCAGATAGTAAATTACTTACTTGCAAATCATTTGATACCTAAAGTAGAATATCAGCAACATTGATGTAGACGCCAACCCCATCATGGTTATGTTCATTACGCTAAGAAAGTAAATCCAATTTAAGCCTAAATGTCGTAAAGGTGTATATGTGAACATGACCGCATAACCTTGCGTATACTTGGCTTCTTGTTGTGAAATAAACATAAAGAAAGTGAACATGAGATCATTGATGCAAACAGTAACTATCATACGCCGATAACCCCTCAATATAGTATTCCTTTCTTTTAGTGATATCACCAACAGAGTTATGTTAGCAGCTACAGATATAATGGCACAGACAGTACTGTTGGCCACGTGGAAGGTGTAGTTGTTCATTATAGCCGCTTTGTTACTATGCTGAGAAATGGAATTCACTGTATTATATACTGTAATACAGAACAGGCTTTAAACAAACAACGAACCGTGTACTACCTTACTGACATAATATCATGGTAAGGGTACCTATGTACATTAAAATTAAATAAAAGTCAGTTTCATTAAAAAAGGGTGTCACTAGCAGTTACTTAAAGGTATGTCACCAAAGTCACACGAATAACAACGTCGTGCACATACTATTGAATATTCATTTCTCTCAGGAATGGACATACGGTAAACATTAACTCGGAAATCACATAAAAACTAATGGAACACGGTTCTTAGGTATACCCAGAAAACACACATATTTTACAGAGTTGGTTCCGTATCTCAATAAACATCGACTCTGTTTATTCACATACAATTGTTGTTTGCTGTAGACACAATAACTACAAGTTACAATGTGACAAAACCCCTTAAATTTGAATATACTTCAACTACTACATTACATTGATATAGTATAAATACGTACAACGTAATACAAAAATATTTTGTACATGTAAACTTCACACGTTAATGTCAACACAACATATTATCTATGTGACAACAAGTCATATCGATAACGTGTTTTGAGCACTATAAACATAGTCCCATGTACTACATATACCTATGCTTTTATAAACAGTAGCTTCTGTAGCAGCCAATAATAATCAATTTTCTTTTATTATCGTACACTTTAGTATCATAAAACATAGTTCTATCTACAACCTACAGTCACATCCCCCAGATATGACATGGTTTTCGCCAGTAACGTGCCTCGCCTCGTCTGAAGCCAAATAACAAACAGCTGCGGCCGTTTCCTCAGGCTGTCCCATTCGGTGAATCGCCCAGAAAGTGGGACCTTTCACGTCCACAAGGTGGTGCAGTTTGTGGTTTGGATCAAACATCTATAGTTATGTGTAAAGCATTTTTGTACTGTAGTATATGTATACAATTAATTTTCAGTATTTTTCTTGCATTTTTCTTTGTCTACTGTAGTAAACTTACAATTCGCCCCATTCTAGTTTGTATCAGTCCAGGATGAACACTGTTGATCCTAATATTGTATGGTCCTAATTCGTGTGCCAAAGCCTGTGTGATACCAACTAGTGCTGTCTTCAAAACATTGTAAGCTCTAACTCCACGTAGAGATCGAAACGCTCCAAAAGTCCCATTAAAGATTACCACTCCACCTCTAAACAATACACATTAACGGAACAAACCCTAGCATACCCTGTCTCTTTCATGTGTTGAGCCACAATCTTTGTCATTAAGAACGTAGCCTTGATGTTGACATCGTACATCTTGTCGTACTGTGATGGTGTCACCTCCAGCATCGTACCAATCGCTGGGTTAATACCTGCATTGTTGAATAAAATGTCAATCTTTCCAAACGTCTTGGTGGCAAAGTCCAGTAAATTTTGACGATGTTCAGGGTTTCCGACGTGACATACCGTGCCAGCAATGTTCTTTGGATTTATTCCACTGTCAATCAGATCTTGAACTGCTCGTTTGACATTGACTTCGTTCCGAGAAGATATGATTACTTTGGCACCTTCATGAGCTAGTCTGTCAGCTGTGGCTAGACCAATACTAAAGTGCAAAATTTCACACAGTCATCATTTTAGCCATAAATGAGGTAGAATCTAAAATAATTTTAAAAAACCTTACCCTTCTGTTGCAGCTGTAAGCAGTGCCACTTTGCCTTCAAACCTTCGACAATCGTACTTGTGGTCCTTGGTGTTGTAGGCCATCTTCACAAACCACAATAACTCTGTAACGTTACTAAAGGTCTCGTAGTAGAGTCATTAAGCAGGTTAACAATCAAAAGTCACTCAACTGTGACAATTTGTTTCATCTTGATTTGTGATTATTTTGACTTTAAATTTACATTACAATCAATTTTAACTTAACTATAGAGCTATGCGGAATCGAATACAAGGCTAAATTAACGAAACCTTAAAAAATAATGTTTTACATCAAATTTTGTTTTTAACTCAACTTATTATGCTTTTTAACATAACGTTGTCTCAATTCTAAGTTAATAACCCCAATTTTTTTTTGTAAATGTCTCAAGTTTAACATAAAATATTCCAAACACAAGTACAAACAAATTCATATTTATTAAATCAAACATTTACAATCTACATTCGGCCCCTCCTGTCGCTAGATGAGATTCTCCTGTGACAAAGCTGGCGTCATCTGAAGCCAAGTACGCTACAACCGCTGCCATCTCTTCCGGTTGCCCCAATCTCTTCATGGCCCAAATTGGCTCATCGATCTTTACCAACTTGTTTTTCGGGTTTTTGGGATCAAACATCTGTAATTTAAGCACTGTTGGATAGTAAGATATTATTGTGACTAATATTACTAATTTCATCCTGTCACATTAACAGCAACAATAAGTAATACTGTTCAAGTTAAATATTCTTAAAAATACAAATACAACATTAAGATAATATAAGCTTACAACATTGCCCATTCTCGTCTCTATCAGACCAGGGCTAACTGTGTTAACTCTGATCCCATAAGGACCGAGCTCATGAGCCAAAGATTGTGTTATTGACACTAACGCTGTCTTCAACAATCCGTACGCTCTAACACCTTTCAATGGTTGATAAGCTCCAAAAGTAGCGTTGAAAATAATCACACCACTTCTAAAACAATAAAAAATATGTAAATTTTTCCAAAATTGTAATTTAAAACGTTTTTTCAGTGTAAACTATTAAAAATGACCAATTGAGAAATACTATAGCACCAGTACTAAACCTTAACTCTCACCCATTTCGTTTCATGTGTTCAGCGACAATCTTACTCATCAAGAAGGTCGCCTTTACATTGACATCATATATTTTATCAAACTGCGAAGTGGTGACATCAGTAATATTACCCACCGCAGGATTGATGCCAGCATTATTGAACAGAACATCCACCTTTCCAAACTTCTCAATAGCGAAGTCGAGAAGATGTTGTCTATGTTCAGGCTTACCCACATGACAAACGGTACCAGCTATGTTCGAAGGGTGAATACCACTATCAATAAGGTCCTTGATAGCTCGTTTTACGTTGGCTTCATTACGCGATGAAATCACGACTTTGGCACCTTCATGTGCTAGTCTATCAGCTGTGGCTAGGCCAATACTAAAAATTACTTTGTAATAAACCTGCATCATACTGTGATAAATCATGTACGCTCCCATTAACCTTTCTTAGTGTATTTTTAAATATTGTAGGAAAAAAATAGCAAACGTAGAAATACTTTTTGATGACTTACCCTTCAGTAGAAGCTGTAAGTAATGCCACTTTACCTTCGAATCGTCGACAATTGTATTTTAAGTTCGTAGATACCACCATTTTAAAAATAATTAACAAAACAGGTCTGCAACAACAATGTTGGGTAAATTATCATAATATATTTACTTAAAATGTTACACGCGACGGTTAACATAAAAAAATAAAAAAACATTGATAATCTCTGAACAAGGTTCTTTAATTGCATTAAGCATAGCTTGAACATTATTGTAAAAAACTCGAATTTAAGCGAACTTTTTGATTCTGAGGTCAAGGCGGAGATTGTAATATAACTTAATTGGGTTTACTGATTCTAAATAGTTTCCCCATGATTCAGAGATCAACTCGTACATTATTATCACGAATTGGTAAACTTTGGGCAAAGATAGGCCTAATTTAAAGAAAAATAAGTATAACTCCAAAAAAAAGTAGTTTTTCTGTGATGTTCGTAGTTGAAAACATTGAAAATAATTTTTATTAAGAACACTATTATCAATTGTAAAAACTTGGTCTGTAACCTACGGTGGCAGTTTTAATTTGAACCCAAAGAAACCAAGAATTGTCAGAACTTTGATGTTACTTTTAAACCGATCGAAGCGAGTAATTTGGGGAAATATAATCGCTTTAGACTTTTTGAATACGAAAAAACTTAAATATTGTCTACAACAATAAAACTTGTAGTTGAATCAGCCCAGCTTCAAGGAGACGATCAACTTGGGTGGCTAAAACAACATTGTAATAAGCATTTGCACTTTTAAACTACAACGTCATTTTGAAAAGTACATTACAACAGTAGTATACAGATCACTTTCAATTATTTGTAGCAAAAAGCATTAACATTAAAGCAATGATACGGTGGAAACAAAATTTTGTCGAGAAGATACAAAATTGACAAAACAACGAAGTGTCACTATTGATTCCTCGGATTGTCGGAATGATACTCGTATTTTGGTACCTACATTTGAAGACAAATGTATTTTTGATATCTAAAACGTATATTTTTATAGGAAAATTAGTAAGAAAGTTAATCATAGTTTTAATCTCAATATCGTTTATGATGGCGACATGCGCAACTCTTGATTCTCATTTTATGGAAGATGAAGTTAAAGTCCAGGTATGTTTGTTATTTTTGTGTTTCTTTTGACCATGTTGGACACTGAGAGGTTGTTTAATACATTCTGGAACTAGTTAAAACATTAATTTTAAATAAATTGATTCAAAGCAGTCATTTGAGCAAGCAGGTAACAATTTTCGCTGAATTTCAAAAATTTTGATTGAGTTTCAGCTCTAAAGTTGGATAAATTTGACGTTAATAGTGTATTACACAATATATTTTAGTTTTGTTTTGATGAAGTTAGTGTTTTATGCTTAAAACAATGGTATACTTTCTTAAAATGGCTTTTAGGTAACAGCCGATTCTGATTTTGTCAATTCTGACAGTTTCTCCCATTGTTCCTCGGATGAAGATGTGAAGGAACATACAGAAGCCTCGTCGTCTGGTTTCTTTGAAGTTTGTGATGCTATTGACAAATTCAACGAAAGTCAATTGCGAAGATCGCAAAGGCCAAGGAAGAAGAAGATTATTGATGAAGAGGAGCCATTGAGTGAAGTAGAATCTTCCGATGGAGATTTTAATGTTAGTGAGAAGCTGAAGAACTTGGATTTGTGGAGGTTTAATCGATCCAAGAAGACCGAAGTTTACAGAGTAAGATTTTATTGTATTTTTGTTGATTTAGGTAAAGGATACGAAATCTGCGAAAAAAGTATTTCAGTTTGTAGGTTATTGTAAAGTAGACAAAAACGACTTTTTTATAGTTGCTTTTTTGCATTTGTCGGGTTTATTACTTAAAATAAACGGCAAGTTTAGGTATCGTCTGGTTTGCAATTTGAGGAGACTTCTGACACCGAAGACGCTGAGCTAACTCAATTTCTACGCACTGGGGTTTTCAAAAAGTGTTATGAATCGAGTCCGAAAGACCTGTTTGATGTAAAGAAAGTTCCTGGAACGACATTGAACACAACCATAAATGACGTCATAAAGAAGAGCTGGCTGGATGATGGGGTCAAGGAGGTGATGAAGGAGGTTGTGAACAATGTTTTGTCACATAACATGAGTGTGAAGAGAGCTGTCAAACAGTACAATCTTGACTGGATGGAGTTGGATTCTGTTTTGAGTGCTATCTATGAGGTCTTTGGGTATGACGAATATGGCTTCAAGTCAAAGGAGATACGGTAATATAACTTACTTTGTTTTAGGCTATACCTACATTGGTGAAGTTGTTTTGGTAAGACGTTAACGATTTTTCTTTTAGATTACCCGATACTAATGTCGATTTTGGAGGACTGATCAAACCATTGAGGAAGAAGGTACCTAAAAAGAATGTCACTTCGACGCCAAAGAAGTTTATGGACTTTGATGGCGTAGAGGAGGTATCAAAGGAAGCAGAAAGCAAGATGTTCGGTAATAGCAAGAGGAAGTCGGTGAACAACTTTTCGATTCTGGGCAAACAAGCCAATGGAAGAAAGTACGCCAGGTACGGTATCTACATACCTAAACATTGGAAGAAACATAAAGAAGGTAAGATTAAGCAATGTCATACATATTCTTTGAAGTTTACCATATTGTTTTACTTTTTGTTTTTATAAAGTAGGTAAAAAAATTGTACCCATAGTGTATGCAAGGTGCTTCGTTTTTTTAGATTCACTTTTCAAGGGCTGACGTAATATATTTATTAACCTATTTGGTTTGTTTTCAGCAATTAAAGCCGGGATTTGTCGCTCATTGGAGTTTCACAACTACAGAAGTCACAAGATGGCCGAGAGGAAAGTGAAGGTTGAGGACAAGTACCTGGCCATAGAAGATATCCTTCTGAACGGTGGTAGTGTTAAGCAGAATTCTGTCAAATACGATGTGAGTTGTGGACTATTGTTTTTACATTGAGCACAATTTTTTAATTTTACTTTTTAGTGAATTTCTTGATTAACCTTGTTTTAGATCAACTACTCGACCTTGCAAAACTTTTCGCATCGAGCGATCTACGTGGTCTCAAAAGTTTTAGGAGAGACGGCGATGCTATCGAGTACGATAAGAAGAAGAGAAGAAGGCTGGTCTTGGGAGGAGATCTTCCGCGAATCAGTGAAGGATGCCCCCAGTTGTTGTGTTAGAGTGTTCTTCGACAGACACTAGGGTCGAATTTACTTGTTATTTCCTATGTTATTATCCTTAATATTAGAGTTCGGGTTGCTTTTGGTAAGAAGATCTCAGTTGTTTCCTATCGCAGTTTTACTACACTTGTCACATTCCTAGTTTCGCAGTTATATTGTTTTAGTTTCTTTCATTTTCTATAGTTAATTAATCTTTTGTTATAATAAAGTGTTTTACGTTTTGATTGGGTTTGTTTTATATTACAGTAGGGTTACTGTTGCTAATACTTATTATTTATATACTTATACGAAGTAAACCTACTATCGTGCAGTTTGAATCGTTGAAACTTGATTTTAAAAACGTTTTTTAAAAATCGCAACAAGTTCTTGTGCATTACACTGCCACTTATCCCACCTTAATAACGAATTCATTGTACCGAGACATGACATAGGTGGTAAGTGCCTTTACTTTGTTACTGTTATTGAGTTACTCTGTTAAAGTATTCGAATATTGGACTTTTGTCGGGTTTTAACGAGGCGGTGGCATGGAAATGGAATACAAACTTACCTTCAGATTTCGACTTGCTAATTACCTGTTTGTTGGTTTATTTATCGCGGTAATCTTTTTGAATTTACTGTGTCAACTTTTTTGACTTATCGACAAGTACGTTGTTGAAAAATAGGGCAACTTTATTGTCACAAACTTGTAAAAACAATGGCACAATTGGGTTCTTTGCCCTTAATTTCTATGGGCTTAGCTGTTTTTAATAAGTTTACGGCTTAAAAGTTCATGTTTGAGGTTGTGTTGAGGTTAATACTATAGGTTATTACACTATTGATGTTTCATGTGTTTTACAGGCTAATCTTGTCATAAAAAAAGTAAATATTTAGGTTACAAGGCTTGATTATAACATTAGATTTTAACTAATTTGCTGATAACGCGGTTTTACTGTCTGTTGTAATGTTTTCTACATTATGTTGTAGTAGTATTTTACTTTTTACTGCAAGGTATGGTTGACAGGTGTATGTTTAATTAGCTTATACATTTGTACGGTTCATAATTACATTCTACTTTGTTTGATGTTTAAAATTTTAATCAAAATTTGAAAATGGTAAAGTAGTAGTTTGGCACGTAACAGATATTACAGTTATATCACCCATTCACATGCTATGTTCAGAAGGTTCGCGATGTACATGTACGTAATAGCATGCACATACAATGTTTGTAACACTAAATTTTGACATTAAGAGTTTTTTGTTGGTTAAAAATTATGCTTTAGGGGTTTTTTTACAAAAAACATTATTGTAAGCCACATACTTTTTTATCTTTTAGTATTTTTAAATAGAAGATTACTGTAATATGTATTGAATTATAAAAAAGGAACTTAAACTGACCTACCACTTTTTATCAGATACCTAAAAAAAAACTGACTTAATGGTGCATTCAGAAGTAATAAAACCTAAATTAAATCGTTGTAAAGTTAATTTACTGCGCTGTAGGATGTAACTAACTGAAGCAGACAACATATCATTACATCTCTTCTAAATACAACTCTGCTTTTCTTCTCTATCTACCATATCATTGTGCTTTTGTACATGCAATACGAAATGTGTTTTTGCCTGAATTTGAATTTAAAAAGTGTAAAAACATAACTTATGTTATGTTTACAACTTGGAGCGGTTTCATTACACATTTACATTTTAATTAATTTACTTTTCAAATTTAAAGTAACATACGATCATTTAAATTAAGGTTAACACAGTAGGCTTACTTTTCTCGGAATTACTTTTTGACTTCTAAGTGTGTACGACATGTATAACGGAGGTTGTAACTTATAGTATACGGTTAGTGTGGCTACACAATGTACAATAATCTTTTTAGTTGCGTAATATATTCACTGTGGTTTTGTCACAGTAAAAGATATTATAACTTTTGCGTATATACTTGCTGTGATATGCAAATTAACTGCAAATTAGATGCTGATTCTACAAATGAAGCAAACCTCACTCCGAAAACAATACTTTTTAACGTTTTGACACTTAATTACGCAATTTTATTTACATTTACGACAGCCGGCTGGCAGGAATGTGGTAAGGTGCGGCACGACAGCCAACTCGCTTTCGACGCGATTATGTTGTTATTCTTGAACGAGTTACTCAAATTTGTAGGGTTGAGATGGCAATAATGGCAGAGTCAGTCGGAAATATTGTCTTTGGCCAAATAATAATGTACTATTATATTATACTGCACGTGCTTCTTTTCTGAATTTGGGCAAAACCTGTTTACAGCACAAGTAGAGGTCTTAGCTTATATTTATGTCTTCATGTACTTATAGATTGATGTAATTTTGAAAGAAAATTAAAATTTTGAAATTTAAGTTTCTAGGGCGCAGCTGAAAGCTTAGCTTGGCGTATTGGATAAGTTTATTCAAAAGGACAGTTTTTTAAATATTATACTTAATTAAGTCTACAAAAAGTTTTATTTTGTAGTCGCGGACGGTGATACAAATTTCATTCGAGGGATTCTGGTAAAAGGAAATGTTTTGTTTACATAAAGTAAAGCAACAGCTACCTGTATGTAAGCTCATTTTTTAAAATTTTTTACTACAGTCAAACCTCTTTAGTATGACACACAAAGGACTGGTCCGAACCTGTATTTTTAACCAGGGTGTTACACTACTCAGTTCTGTTATAATAGGTCTTCTTCATTACGAAAGGCGGTCAAAAGCTGTCGTTTTACCACACTATATCTATCCACGTTTCACTGTAGTTCAATGTTGTAGCATCAGATTTGAGGAAGGGATACCTACAAGCTTTAAATCTGTCCTTTTCATGCCAGTAGAGATCACAACATATTGTAAGAAGTTGCCTGTGCTCTTTTGCCTTTGTAGGCTGGTTTATGACATCTAATGCTGTAATTACTTACATTAAAATTATATTTAGACGTTGATTTTAAACCGAATCTTGTCTTTTATCTACCCAATCTTTAATTGTATATAATTATCGCCAGATACCAAGCAAGAACTTCTATGTACGATTGTCTCTGCATCTTGCACTCAAACGTTATGCGTACTCGTTTAAAGAGGCAGTTATAGTTAGAGACTTTTACTCAAAGCTATGCTATGGAGTAAGCTTTTACATTTTGTAGTAAAAGTCAAGTAAAGGTAAAATAACATAAGTTACATAATTCCTGTTTAAAAAATAAATTTTATATAAGCTAAAATAACTTATAGTAAGTACCTATAAAGATTATATAAACCTAGATAACGTAGTTGTAGTTATAGGTAATATAGATATATATCTATATTATAGTAAACGTGATTAACGGTTTGTTTTGGCTTGAATTAGCGTGCAAAGTGTAAATGGCTAAATAAAATTTTGTAGTAGGGGATATGACATTTTAGTATACTTATGCTGTCACGGGATATTATTCTGCGTATCTCTGCGATATTACACTTACTCTGTAGGAAATACGTGGTAGAGGGGGTTTACCTTGCATGTCTTATGTGTTTTTTGATTGTGTTCATGTTATTTCCCGTAATATACATGCAAATGCACAACTTCATGAATTGATTTAATCTGTTACAGTAAATACACCTTTATATTTGAAACTATTTTTATATCGCGCTTATTTTTATGCTCATGTACATCCTCTAGTTCATGTACGTATAGGATGTATATATCACGGCACTTTTTTGGATAACTATACGCAAAAGTACTGAGGATGTACTCTTGCACTGCTTATATGAAATCTTCAACACATACATATAGACTTTATGTACGGTTTTGCTGACTTACGAGGTGATGTCTATGTTCTTTTATGTGATTTTCGTATTTTACATTACTGTCCGCATATCTTTTTATCTTTATTTGTAACACGTTTTGACTATACGAGATATGTATACCAAGTTTTACGTATTTTAGAATTTATGGCAATACGATCATGTTCAAGGTAACCAACATTCACTGTGTTGTGCCCTCTCTACCTGTATATACAGCCAACTGAGATACGATGGGTAACTGCCAGCTACATCGACCAGAACCCAAGGCTGATCTGATGTCTGTGGATTCTGTTCAGAAGCAGAATGTAAGTTAATATAAGATGTGTCAGGTAAAATATCTTATTGACTTTATCAGGGAGATTATCGATTACATTATAATATTTCTTGACTAATGTAAGATAAAAAATGTTAAAGTAGATAGGCCACAGAGTAGTAAAATAAATGGGCATACTATATGTAACAATTACATATAACAATGTCACTATCTAGCACAATATAGTTTTTGTTATCTAAATGTGTTGAGAAATGTCATTTCTAGTTACAGTGTAAAGTCGTACGTTGAATACGAAAATTGTAATATATGCAGTCAGTTGTACACAAGGTTACAGTTCTTGTTACTTTTTGTTAGAGGGAGATAAGTGTAATATCAAGTTGTTTTTGTAGTTCTGAAGGCCCGTTTCTATTTTAATTTGGTTCGGAATAACGGTAACTAGCTACTACAAGATCCTCACTCGATTTTATAACTGATAAGGGAATGTTACAAACTGTCCATTCGCTTATTAAAAATGAATGGTACCATGTGAAAGAGCGTAAAAAGTTGACTAAAAATCTATTTTCACAAACTGCCAATTTCGCCTTACAAGCCCGCTAGCGAGCTTTAAAAATCATTATTATAAGGGCCTTTTATGTTCATATGCTTTATTTTCAATTTTTGTATGTTCAAAAAAATTTTTTTTTAATTGTTTTATGTTTTAATAAATATAAGAAACAATTATCAACAAAAAAATTTTAGTTCTGTTAATGAAAATTAATTTAAATTTAAAAAAAATAAACTTTACTACCCCAAAAGAGAATCGAACCGGACCCGCATGATTGCGCAATCACGGCGCCTTTAACCACTTGGCCAATCGAGCACACTTGGTTCCTCTCTTCGAAAGAATTCAAAAGAAAGCGGACGTAGAAAAACCATTTAAATAAGGAAAATTTTAAAAGCTCACTAGCGGGCTTGTAAGGCGAAGTTGGCAGTTTTTGAAAATAGATTTTTAGTCAACTTTTTACGCTCTTTCACATGGTACCATTTATTTTTAAAAAGCGAATGGACAGTTTGTAACATTCCCTTGTGAGGATAAGGTTGAAATTCAACTTTTTTGGTCAAAAAGTAGTGCCTTTCCACCAAAATGATATGGTTAGCTTGTTTCGAACAATATATATAACTGTAAGCAGGGGTATCACCAATAAAATGAGTAATATTTTACCATTTTTCTGGGAGTCTTATTAAAACACTCTCTCTATGCCAAAGACGTAGCAAGGAACTAAACCAATGTTCTGCAAACTTTTTGACCAACCATCACCTTCTAACAAGATAAGTATTGTCAGTTGAAAGCTGTTAAACTAATGTTAACTTTATTTTTAAAACTTTTTAAAATTTTATTACTGACAGCCGGCTGCACCTAAGCGTTCAAATCTGCCACAGTGTAAATGCGTTTTCGGCCGTTATGTCATTGAGCAGTATACTATAGTAATCTGTTTATTTTACATTTTATAATAACATATTTCTTTCAATATTACATATTATATCATAGTGACATATTTTTTATGTTAACAATTTTTAAAATTTAGAAATTTTGAGAACAACATTTTCTTTTATCCACAGAAATCGGCTTTAAATTTTGGCAGTTAGACGAGGAAAATGACGCAAATTGGGCCTAAATTAACTTTGTTTGGAGACTTTTGAATAAATATTGTTACTCCTTCTTCTGGCTCGCTAGACGCTTGTTAGGGCAAAGGCTAGACACGTAGGACAATCTGTCCTTGTTTTGGCTAAGAAAGTGCTGTTCTGGATATAAAGTTAGTACTATCTAGACTTGATCTTGGCTAAACCCTAGAAAAATGTCATTCCGAACCATGTGGAAGTCCAAGAAGAAAAATGTAGGTTTAGAGGTCTCGTTCGATATTGTTTTCAATCAAAATTGTTTTAGGTACGAGTGTGATTTTAAAGTTTTTTTTATGACAAAGGAATAGGTTTTGCTTCATATAAATTTTTAACTTCAGCTTCGCTCAGCAGTCGCCCGTAGCGCGTCGATAGCTCAAGCCGTAACCCCAATGTCGACGATGAACGGAGAAGAAGCCGCTCCCTACATTGATGCCAAATCAGAAGCCGCCGTGCCTAAAACGAAAGCAGTCGAGATCAGTAAGAAGATCGACGACCAGCTGATGAAGGACTACGTTGCCATGGAGAAGGTGATCAAGCTGCTCCTACTAGGACCTTCTGAATCAGGGAAGAGCACGATCCTCAAACAGATGCGGATTCTATATTGTCACGGCTTCTCGACTGACGAGCTATGGGCACGACGACCGCTGATCTTCTACAATGTGCTACAGTCAATGGCACAGCTGATTCACGGTGTGGAACGGTTAGGGATGCTACTGTCGAAAGAGCTACAAAGAGATGCCGATCTGATATTGAACACGTTGACAGATGAGAAGCACGTTGAGAATCAGATCCCCAAGAATGTCTACTACGCTATAAAGAGGCTGTGGACAGATGCTACCGTGCAAGAAGCCTACAATCGGAGGAGCGAGTACCATGTGATAGACTGTGCTAAATAGTACGTTACTTTTATATTCTTAAATAGGATTTTATTTTTTTAATTAATTTTTTTTAAGATTTTGGTTTAAATTTATTAAAATTTTAGTTTTCTGGACGACATTGACCGCCTTCAAAGCAATACCTACATCCCCACAGTAAACGATGTTCTCCACGCGCGACAAGAGACCATTGGAGTGACAGAGATTGGCTATGCCTATAAGGAAATGGAGTTCAGGTAGGTGAACTATAATACAATTAAGAGCATTTCCTTGTAAACTTGTTGTAGTTCTGAGGTAAAAGATTATTATATTATTCTGCTATTGTAACATAAATATCAGTGAGGTCATTACTGAAATATAGATATCAATGATATTACTACAACAATATAGATGCTATTTTGTTGTAGGATATTTGACGTAGGAGGACAGAAAACAGAGCGTCGGAAGTGGATCCACTTGTTTGACAATGTTAATGCCATCTTCTTCTTGGCCGCCATCTCGGAATACGATCAGAAGATGCGAGAGAGCGCGGACACGGTAATAATTGTCATCGTTTTACAATATTAACGTCTTATGAATTAAATGTATAAAATTTCAAAAAAAATTGAAAAACCTTTTTTAAAAACGTTACGGTTTACAGAATCGGTTACAAGACGCGATAGAACTGTTCAAATGGATCGCCAACAACCGAGCCTTCACTCGAGTACAACTGATATTGTTCTTGAACAAAAAGGACCTTTTCGAGGACAAAATCAACAAAGTACCTTTAGATGACTTCTTCCCGTCATTTAATGGTAAGCTATGTTAAAGTACTTATGAATAGGAGATGTAATTTTAAATTTAGAACCTTAAATCATACATTTTTAGCGTACCGATTAAAATACAAAGCCAGGCATCCTTTACATGGTAAGTGACTTATTTTCAAAATTTTAAAAAATTTCAAACGCAGAGAATAATATTAAAATCCTATGGCGATTTGTTACACATGACTTCTACTGTAATACTGTTGGTGACCGACTAGTACCTCTCACTTTTTAATAATACCTTCCTTACAGAAGAACTAGACGTTGCCTACAATTACATTGGAAGTAAATTCAAGAAAACCCTGGAGGACAAGACCAAAACCGTCTACACTCATCTGACATGTGCTACTGACACTACGCATCTGACATTCTTGATGAACAGTCTCATCGACTACATAATCTCGGAAAACTTTAAACAAACTGGAGTGTTATAACAGTAATACAAAGTTTAAAAGGTAACAAAAAAGGTAATACAAGCTTTAGAAGTAACAGCAGAGTACTACAAGGTAAAGTTGAAACAGTTACACAGGTCTTTCTTCAAGCTTATATTTTACAGTAACATTGTTATAGTACTGTCGTCATAAATTTTACTTTCAAAATATAATAATAGTATCTTGTGTCCAGCTATTGCATTTTTGTTACCTGCAATAACATCGTCAATGTAAATAAGGCTTTATTATGTTGATTTGTTTAATATATATTTGCTTACGTAACATATACATAATTATTGTTATAATTATTAATAAAATCATTGTCTTGAGCTCAGATACGTAAATAACTACTGAATTCTTTTAATGTAAAGTATGTATTCCAAAGCTGCATTTTACTCTTAATAACTTTTAGAACATAAATTGAAATCTACTTTACCTAAAATTCAATCAAAAACATCAAAACCTTACCATGTACCATGTAAACTGTCAAAATTGTTTTAGGTACGAGTGTAAATTGTAATATTGTTTGGAGTTGCTTATATCATTGTTTCCAGTGTTTTGCCCGGTCCGGCCCGGCGATTTTTTGGGTCCGGTCCGCATATTAAAAAAAACAAAAACGCCTTAACTGGTTTCTTTTTGACTAAAAACTCCTACAAATATATTTTATTTGCAATTTTGCAAACAGTTTATCAAAATTAAAAAAAAATTTGGACCGGTCCGGAGCTTTTTTTTTGGTCCGGGTCCGCAGGTTTTTGGGTCAGGTCCGGTTCGCAAATGGCACAGCTTATTCACGGTGTGGTTGGGGATGCTACTGTCGAAAGAGCTACAAAGAGATGCCGATCTGATATTGAACACGTTGACAGGTGAGAAGCACGTTGAAAATCAGATCCCCAAGAATGTCTACTACGCTATAAAAAGGCTGTGGACAGATGCTACCGTGCAAGAAGCCTACAATCGGAGGAGCGAGTACCATGTGATAGACTGTGCTAAATAGTACGTTACTTTTATATTCTTAAATAGGATTTTATTTTTTTAATTAATTTTTTTTAAGATTTTGGTTTAAATTTATTAATATTTTAGTTTTCTGGACGACATTAAGCCATGTCAGAAGAGCGCGTAAGTCAAAACCCTTTATATGGTTTAAACCATTATCCTGAGCTTTAAAACTTATACATTAAGACAATTTTAAAGTTATGAAATTAAACTAACAAGTTTGGTTACTATGTTAATTATATTGTGTCGCATATTTCCAACATTTTGATTTTTTAAGACTTTGCCAGAGTTGTAGTTTATGACATCAACACAATGGAACGTATATTTATAAACACAAAAAGCCTGTGGCTTTATGGAAATATAAAACTGGACGGCATGCAATTTAGAGATGGAGCATATGGTGGTGATGTAAGTATATTTAAAACTGAGCTAGGTGCAAGGGTAAAGGCAGGGTAATGTAAAGGTGTGGGTAGAAGTAAGGCTAAAAATAAAGCTAGGGGTAGGAATGGAGATGAATTCAAAGCTAGGAGTAAAGCTAGAGGTAGGGGTAGAAGTAGAGGTAAGGCTAGAGATAGAGGCAGGGACAGGGTCTTAGCAAAACCCCGTTGGGTGAAGGAAAGTTTCACAAAAATGTTGATATTGCAACGACGTCGCGAGTCCAAAGTGAATTGTTAATAATTTTTTTTCAGTTTGTTGCTTACAATCGAAGGACGAAAAGATATGAGATTATGGGTCAAGATGATTTAAACTTCACGAAAAGCACGTTTTATGAACATATACATCTCCCTATGACAACCATATTTTTAAAATCCCAAAAATTTGACAAATTTATGTTGACACATGTGGACTGGTCCAAAGGTAAACGGCTTTTACGTTTTCTTTCAAGTTTAAAACTCTGTGTTTTCATGCGCTTGATAACTAAAGATGGCTAGACCAATAGCCACACCCAAGGCCGGGCGGGGACTTTTGGTCTGGGGGCGGGGGTCCAAAAAATTCACAGGGGGGACCACGTTCAACTTTTTTCAAAAATTTTTTTTCTGGGGGGATTCCCCCTCCGTCTACCCCCTCCCCCCCCTTCCCCCCAGCGTCCGGCCCTGGCCACATCTACTCTTTCCAAAATATATCTTCTTCCCCGTCTTGAACTTTCCTCAACCTTAGTGGTAAAGTTTAAAAATAAAAGTAAATCAAATTATTATTTATTTGATTTCTTCTAAAATCTCTTTACTAAACTCTATAATACAAAATATAATTTTGTCCACTGCTTGTCTCCTATATTTCGACCTTAATTAATCAAAGACATAGTCAGTTTTTTGCTCACACCAGTCTAGAACGAAATTTTTTACTAAAAAGCCCGAAGCGCTTAAACTGGTTTGTTTTTGACTAAAAACTCCTACAAATATATTTTATTTGCAATTTTACAAACAGTTTTATCAACAATAAAAAAAATTGGATAGGTCCGGAGCTTTTTCTTTGGTCCGGGTCCGCAGGTTAACACGGTTAAAATTAGAATCGCTTGATATACTGTGAAGCCGACATTAAACTCTTTAGCAGAATTACTACGGCTCCCAGTATAGTTCCAAATTAAATTCAGCCAAAATTTGATAAGTCTCGTACTACAATAGGCGGGATCCGCTTTGAGCGGCTTCTATTTACTATGGGCGTTCCGTATTATGTTAAAAATTAATTATACCTACCCCTATCATGCTTTACTCTTACAATAGTATGCCCTTACCGTACCATACTAGTGCCATATTCTACTATAACATACCCTACTATAAAATACCCTACTACAACATACCACACTGTAACATACTCTACTATAACAAACCACGCCCTAAATTACTACAATATACCATGTCTTACTCTACTATAATTTACCAAACGAATTGTGAAGTAGGTTGTGCTTGGGCAAGTTATATATAGTAGAGTAGATTACGGAAGGGTATAATATGGTACGGTATAGTAGGGTATTTTATAGTAAAATACGGTATAGTGAAGGTAAGGTAGAGTAGGGTAGACGCAAGATACAAATATAAAAATTTGTTTGTATGACACGAGAACCGCTCATGATGGAATCCGCCCATAATAATATTTTCATATTATGATGTTTCGTATTGCTCGTACGTCTGGTTACTTCAGGAATCTGCCTTAAGTGACTTCTAGGTTTCTAAATTTCTATTATTCATATTCATGGTATTATTAAAAGTTGCCAAGCAAAGAAACGTAAATAAAATAACCAGTAATACCAAGAAAAATTCAAGTAATTCCATTTTAGGTCGTGTGGTTACAAAATTGTTTGAAACAGATGGTACCTTAACAAAAAACGTTGTAACTACGTTTGTATATTTCAAACTCTTTGCCATCAAACTGCGTAAACAATATGTTAAAGTAGATACAGCGCTCCCTGCCAGAAAGAAATTTGAAGAGATTCTTAATCACTTATCAAACTTGCATTCTTCAAACGTAACATTAGCTCAAATTAATTCAACAACCCAGATACGCAGCTGGGAAAGTTTATATAAGAACTTTGTCGTTGTTAATAACTTTTGAGTGATTGAAATAAATTGAAACTTTTTTAAAAATTATTTTGCGACCACAAGTAGTCCTAAAAACTAGTAATTCGAAAATGCAAAAAAAATTTATATTTTGGGTACTGTAGGTGTACTAAAAAAAAGTTCATTTAACTTTTTAAATAATTGACAGAATTTCATCGGGCTTTTTTTTAAATGATAGAACACGTCGAACTAAATAATGACCAGATCAACAGAGGCCCCCCGGGCCTCCTATAAATCTGGACATTGCAATTTCATTTTCATTGAATTTCAATACAATTTATTTGTAACATGCAAATGGGCTCGCGCCTCAAATCGACCAGAATAGGTAACAAAAAAAGATGAATTGGTCAGGAAACCTGATTATGACATTGAGACAACTGGTAAGAGCTGATTCGATGGCTACTGGATTCTTGAATATGTAGTGGGAGTACGGTAAGTGGATGATACGGTTGAAGATATTTTTTCACAATTTTTGGCCTAGTCTACTCTCAATGTTGATACATATTTTGTCATGAACATACATAAGCCGGTAATGACGAAAACTTATAAACCGTAAACAAAGGTTAATTTTTTAAGAGTACGGACTCTAATCTGCACTGTTGTACCTACGGATAAGTTTACAGATAAGATGTCATTTGTAAGCACGCCCCAGATACCCAAAGACAAGTCTAGACCTTCGTTCAAAGTATTCTCGCTTGGACGGTAGCAAATGTAGCGTCTTTCCACGTAGTTTAAGTATCATTTCAACTACAAATACACAAGTAGAAATAACACATAAGGCTAGCCATACATACATTAATCCACGGTACGGTCTTTCAGCTAAAATCGAACTTTCACTAAAATAATAAACCAACCCATATCCATCTATTATTTATACGCATTAAGATATGCTACCTTCAATTAACACATATTACACTTCAATTACCATTTCAAATACCTTGTTTTCAAAACCAAATAAACCTACTATTTGGCAGCTTCTGATCACACTTTCCCCTCCGCTTGATCAGCTGACTCTTGTACTTGTTGTAAATGAGAGCGAGGGACGGAACGTGATGTGCGATAAAGTTGTTCATGTCGATAAGCAGTCGGTCAGCTCTATTTTTCCTTACCATAAAGCGGCGGTCGATTCCTTCAATTGCACCGTTCAGTTTCTGTAGATTACACAAACCAACTACTTTCTGAAACACTTGAGAGTCGTCTGGAAGCAAAGCTACACCGTCCCCATTATTCAAATGATTGAAGCCCTCGTCTATTGATACACGGTGAATCGGGTTGTCTGTAACATGAAAATAAATCATATTTTATCATTAAAACCTAATCAATAATGAGATCAAAAAGTAATACATAAGTACTGAAGTAATGAGTAAGAATATACAGTAATAATAAGAAACCATTGATATCTCAACTTACTGTAAAGTGTTTTTCGAATAAAATAGAAGGGATACACGTGACTCGTCTCTAACTCTTCAAAAAACCAGTCCGCACTCCCAGTGTACTGTATCAGATACTTCCGGTTACTTGCCAACGCATCTATCAGGTCGTCGTATGTTGATATAGCACCATCTTCAGTAGCTGTAAGCCTGTTTGAGACAATCCACGTAGAATACAATCCCATTAATATTGGAGTATTTATAAAGGAGAACATCAAACGATTAAAGTTGACAGCTCTCGTGATTCTTTTGGTTTTCAAGGCTTGGCCAAGTTGTAGCGAAAAGGCCGACCATACTGACTAAAACATACTGTATTTTACGTAGAAAAGGTCTGACATAACTTCTTCACAAAATATTTCAAAGAACTTTTTAAACTATCCTCATTTCAAATTCAACGTTTTGTATAGTAACTTACATCCACAACGGTGTTGTAGGTAACATCCTTATAACACTCGATCAAAACAGAATGCAGCCAGTAGAACACTATCTGCAAAAATATGATACCAAGTAATGCCATTACCACATCAAACCCATAAATTGTAAAGAAAGCAAAAGTGGTTTCGGAATCTCCATATGACTTCCGATGCACAGCGTATATTGGTGACTAAAATTACAGTTTTACTCAAATATCAGTCTTACTATTACAGGTATCATGATAGTAAAAGTTAGATTTTAGTTTTCTGTGTAAAGGTAGAGAACGTTTTAATTTACGTTATATCATACTCATATTATATAATATGTTATAATTTACGTTTTCTACTGTAACCTGCTAATGCAAGAAATTGAAATAAACTCAAAAATCCACCGCCATCTTACATTGTAAAGTACATCAGAAAAGTCATAATCCACCAATCGTGCATTCGTCCTCATGAGACCATACGCAAGTGTATCAATAGTACCATTTCTGAGCATTTCGTATATTTCAGTCCAATCTCCTTTTTCCTAAAATATTTTTAAAAAAACTTTGTAAAAAACAAAACTTGTCAAATCATTCAAATTGTTTAAACTTGAGTTAAATATTAAACATCTTTTACTTCAGGTTTTCCATCGTAGTAGTTAATTAGCCAATCACTTACGTTCACATTGTAATCTACTGCCGGGTTCGTATACTCGATGGTTTTGTACTTTGCATGATTGCTGAACAGTTGAATGTACTGAAAAGCATTGCTATATTCCCTACTTCATTGTAATCAACTAACACCTTTTATTTTACACAAAAATAAATAACGGCCATTTAACTAATAATGATTATACTAAATATCAGTAATATACCTCGACAAACAGACCAGGCCAAGGACATCTTCTGGTTACGCGATGGTTAGAACACTCAGGATTAACAGCTGGGAAAGAATTAGGATAGTACACAACCAACGTTCTGTTATGTTGCATGAAAACAGGAAGAGTATGTTCTCAACCCCCATAAGATACAAAGTCATCCCAATATGTACATATTCCCACAGTGTCACACGCACGAAGCATAATAACATACGAAACAAAAGTAAACACAAACTGCATCGTATATGAACTCTGAAGATCCTGGATTCAGAAAGAACAAATCATTACAAAAGTTAATAATAGCTTCGGATATCATTTCAGATACTATACTAAATACGGAAGGGAGGGTACACAGAAGATATGCAATTAAAAGGTATGTTTGCACTGTTTATGACAATATCTCTGCACAACAATAACTGTTCGACTGTGCAAACATCCAACAGACGACACCAGCAGAATATGTTCATCAAGTTCGTAGCTCTTCACTATATTATACATCACGGATGTCGTGCTTCCGGTTAATCATCTTTGCACTATTCTCTTTCTGTAATGTAAACGTAAGTTTACATAAGTTTAGAAGTATAATAATTTTTGCAACCTCGTTGTAGCACATTTCAATAGCTATAAAAGTAAAAATGTCATTTTGTTACAGATAAGTATAAAATTAGAGAACGAATCAGAAGATGACCGGAACCAAGTCCGATCAATCATGAATCGACTCCGAGCTCAAGAAGAAGGTAAACATCCATCCAGTGTAAGTCTCACAGTAAAAATAGTTTTTAATGCCTTCAAAACTACAGATATCTCGTAAATAATACTTTGTTTACAACACATTTAACTACTAAAAAGATTGAAAACCAACACTTTTAGACCTACAACAAAATCAAGTCCTTAATAAAGCAATCTCAAGACATTACTGCCGACTCCGAAGACTTGTTCGAAGGAGATATTATTCTGTCACTGCCACAAGCCCAGAAGCTCATATCCAATGTAGAGAAGAAAAGAAACAAAAGACAAATTCTAGTAGACCCATCTCTGAAGTGGAATAAGACAATACCTTTCGAGATAGTCGATGGTCAGTTTATCACAAACGTTTAGTTATAAAAGTTTAAAACATATAGTATATTGTACTAACAAACTCTGAGGTAATTACTGTTGTTTTTGATAAGTATACAGTAAATTATAAAAAAAATTTAAAAACGTGAACAGATTTCAGAAGACGCCCGAGGATTAGCTGAAGATTCAATAACTGTCATAGAAGGCATGACCTGCTTAACTTTCACAAAGAGAACTGACGAAGAAGACTATATACGGTTTGTCCACATTAGTGGATGTTTCTCCGCTGTCGGGAAAGTTGGCGGAGGTCAGCCCATATCCATGGGAAACGGGTGTTCAGTAAGTCTACTTTTAAACTTCGATTTCTATGCCAAAAGTTTTCAAAACGCGGAAACAATATCTGATCATTTTACAAGAAACTTCAAAGCATGTTGTTGTATTAAAAATAACATCTAATGCATAACCTATATCGTTGCAGCTAGGAGCAGCCGTCCACGAAGTTCTACATGCCCTAGGATTGTGGCATGAGCAAGCTAGAACAGATCGTGACAAGTTTGTGAACATTTTGTACCAGAATATTCAAGAAAATCGCAAAGACAACTTTATAAAACGAGAATCAGACGAAAGCGACAACGACGGAGAACGATACGACTACGGCTCTTTAATGCATTACGGCCCCGGCAGTTTCACTGTAGGAGGAGACACTTTAGAAGCTGTGGACAAGAGATATCAACACACTATAGGACAAAGAAGCGACATATCTTTCAAAGACACCAAATTGATCAACATGAGGTATTGCAAAGGTAGGTTAACATAAGGTATTGAAAGAGATGTGATGATTAAATTGTAGTTTCGCTGTGTAACCATAAATCTTATGCCACAGTGAGAAAAACAAAAAATTTAGATGTTTGCCCAACACCGTTACCTTGCAAATATGGAGGATACACAGACCCAAACGACTGTAGCCAATGTAGATGCCCAGACGGATTGGCTGGCACATTGTGTGAAGATGTCAAAGAATCAAGTAAAGATTAGTTTAATTCTTCACATTTTCTTATACATGACTTCAAAGTTATTACAATATATTAAGCTAAACCTAGCACCTAATATTATGATTCAGCCTTCCCTGACTGTGGTAAAGGAGAATGGGCAGCAACAGAAAACCCAAAAGTACTATGGATACCAGATACTAGAGACGCCGGAGACTGTATTTATAGAATTCGAGCTCCAGAAGGTCTTCATGTCAAACTAGAGCTTCAAGAGCAACAATTCGAATGCTACACAACTTGCTCCAGCTATGTCGAAGTAAAATATCTAAACGACAAAAGCACGACAGGCTTCAGAATGTGCTGCGACGAAGCTAAAGGGTACAACATTGCATCGCAAAACAACGAAATGATTGTGATCGTGCACCATGAACAAGAATCCAAACGATTCCAAACTAAACTCGTATATTATCATGTAGACAAGCACATACCGTCAGGAATAGAAGACCATTCACAAGAAGAGAAAGCTGAACAATCAGAAGAGGAGAAGCCAGGAAGTTCAGGAGTTGAAACGGAAAACGAATAAACTTAAATAAACTTGTTATATAACCATAAAAGCGTGTTATCCTTCAAGATATATTACACAGATTAATCAAATAATACCTACAGCAGCTACTTACCTCTATATGAACTTTCTTTTAGCTTGTTCAAGCTATTCCTCACGAATTCAACAAGTTTTTGTTCAAAACTCCAGCAAATAAAGAAAAGTTTATAAAATCAGTCACGATGACGGAATTTTTAGACTAGAAATCAAAGCAAAGTTCATTTTTGCCTTTTTTCAGGGAATCTCATGCTTTGCTTGCAAGCTTGTTAAACCTTGTTTGTTTTTTGTTTTTACATTTATTTCGCGTTGTAAAGTGTATAATTGTTGTGTTGTACATGTTTTAGCATAGTAATATTGTGTTTTAGTGAAGTTTCGAGTTTTTTTCGGATTTCAATCCGGCTCGAAATGAGCGAAGACTTATCTGAGAATCTATCGTTTTTCTTGAACAATTTGACCGAAGATAATGTGGAACAAACAGTAAGTTTGAAGTTGGTTTATTTATAGTGTTTTTTGGATATTGATATCTATGTTGGTTCAGTATTGATATTTGATTTGAACCTTGTTAAATTTACTAGTTTTACCATTATCTTACTCATGACAAAATGTCTTTTCAGGCCGAGTATTTGAAAGAACTGTCTGCTACTTTCAACGAAGAGACCGAGAAATGGTTAGCCTTGTTTTTGATCCGCCGAAGAGTTGCTGCTGAAGCCAATCATGTAGGGTTGTACGTGAGATTGTCTCGTCTCATCGAATCTCTCACATTCCAAGCCAGTTTGCTAACCGTCACTGTCAAGTATGCTAAACAATTAATGGATGGGGCTCCCACCGCTGCTAACCAGAAGCCTCGAGATATACTCCGTAACTTGGGCACCTTCTTGGGGATGTTAACATGGGGAAATGACATTGACATACCTGAAAGTCTGTTGGATCTTCACGAGCTACTTAAGGATGCTGAACGGGAAGGGCAGGAGAAGATTGAGAAGGTGTTGCCTTTTGTTGTCAACGTTCTTAAATCATGTAAAACCAGCAAGGTACGTTTTTATATTGTTTTAAAATGCAAAAACCCATAAACAACATGGATGTTAATCTTTTTACATTTTTTTTATAATTTTTACTATATATGACACGTGCGTTAGTCTTGTGATTGCCTAGTCAGTCAAAAACAGCAAATTCTTGTCTAAAAGGCATTTAGACAAGAATTTCGAATTTCTTGTCTGAAAAGATAGAAGAGACCATGCTGTCTCGCCGCGAAGAGAACAACGTCTTTTTTTTCTCTGCACCCTTTCAGACAAGAATTCGCTGTTTTTGGCTGACTAGCCAATCACAAAACTAATGCACGTGTCATATATCTTTATTATTAAACTATTTATTTTGTTATAAGTTTTAGGTGTTTAAACCAAATCACAAGCGGATAGCGCCGATATTCGTCACCTTGAAGGGTATCCACGCGTTGGATGACATGAAGATGACATTGTGTTTTGAGATTGAGAGCCTGTTCGAAGAGTTACGAGCTCCAACACCACCACCTTCCACTCCCAACAGTAGTTCTACGACTAGCCCAGAACATATCCGAGATATGACTGGAATGGCTGACGTCTCTCACCAGAACTTCTTTAATCAAGGTCTTTATCAACAGGCTCCGCCACTTTTCGCTCAGTTTCAGCAACAAGTTATGGAGAATCCAATGGTATGTTGTGATAAAAAAGATAAGCGATATTGCATGTTTTTTTCTGATAAAAGTAGCCCTTGCTTTAAGTTTTGTCATTATTAAAAATTATTTTTAGGTTCTTCAAGCTTTGATGAATCCAGCATATCTACAACAAACACAGATGCAATCAGAGCTATTCAAAAACCTTCACATCCCTGGTGGACTACCCAAGCAAGGAATGATGCCATCAATTCCAGAACATCAACTTCCAATTTCTCAACCTCAATATCAACACTCGCATTACCAAGTAGAACATCCCCCAATGTTCAAGGGCAGTATGGATGTGTCCTCGATTGAGAATGGATCTTTTAACAGCTCAAAGGCTACTGACGACTACGAAGCCTTCAGAAACAACGAAGAAATGAAGATCTGGGATCCGAATCCAACTATGTTTCAAGAAGCCAGTGAGTTAGATTATTTTGTAAAGTTCTAGTTATTAAGGAACTTCTATGTTAATATTGATGTTTAATGCGTCAAGTTTGATCTCATTATTTTTAGACGCATTTGTGGCCAAGGATAACAAGTTGGTTTGGCAATTGTTGGATGCCATAGACTTTACATGTTCACCAGTTTTCCAATTGTATAATACGGCGAAGGGGAGGGTGATCGAGTCGATATATGGTTACCTGACTGATGTTGAGAGTAAGCTTGTATTTTTGTCTCAATTCAATGATTTTAATTTTCGTTTTGTATAAAAACATACATTTGAAGCAATATTGTTATTTTAGAAATGCTCGCCCCAATTTTGAAGAGGCTTTGTGAATCGCTTACCTTCAGTGCCGCATCTATAATGCACCGTGACTTTGCTTTCGATTCTCTGAATGACATTGCTACACTAAAGAGTATAAACCGGTCGGTGTACAAGGCTTTGCTCTTTGCTTTGTATTATCGTAAGAACTCGAACGATGAAGCGTACAGTCACTTAAGGAGGACGATGGAGCACGCTATTGGACGTGCTATGGAAGAGTCTGCTATCGTCCAACGTGCAGCACCAAACGAGTTAAAGTGGACTATGGAGATGTCAGCACGTCAGTTTGCTCACGCAAACAGCAGAGTTGTGGGCACATTCATTTGTGAAGTATTGGAACGGTTCAGCCAGGAACTCGGAGATCTACAGTTCTCACAGTACGTTGAAGAACGGAAGAACAATCCGAACAGAGTTGGACTGGGCAGGTTCGCCTACAACCCGACTACGAAGGCAGATGTCGACAGTAAATTGCCAGAATCTCTTCGATTTAACAACAAGGAAGACTACTCCAAGGTGTTTGCTGAATTCGAGGCGCTATCAGCAACATTAAAGGCCAATTTGATGAATTCTCTGAAGAATATGGATTCTAAAGTATTCAACGATGTTCAGAAGGAAGATGTTATGGTAGGGTTTGGTTTTGAATTAATTCGCAGGTTTTTGACTTAAAATTAATTTTGTTAATATTTTATTCTTTCTTATTATTTGTAGCATTCTTGATATTGTAGCAGTCTTGATATTGTTGACATATTTTTAAGGGTACAAAAGTCGCACCTCGACCATCGTCCTTCTCCAGATCCGGCTACGTTCCAGTTCAAGAACATTCAGATTTAAAGTTTGACAAGAAGCCAGTTGATGCTTTTAGAGTAAGTTTGGTTTTTAAAACTATTATAAACAGGAAAACCTGTTGCAATTTATATTGTTTTAGAGTGAGGTTCTAGTCATTTTCCGTGAATGGTGTGTGTCTTCGAAGTCGGCTGAACCTGCGAGGAAAGACTGTTTCCACAAGATCGTGGAGTACGTCTACTCGATGAATCTGTTGACAAACATGAACGATATTGGTCGATTCTTTGAGATATGCCTGGTAGTGTGTATAGACTTGAGCGAACATTTGGAAAACGAAGTACAATCGAAGGTAATATCCGAAAATATTATTGTTCACAGTTTAAACTGAAACTTGTAAATATAATTTGGAATATTTTTGAATATTCTTTTACTTCTTTTAGTAAGAATTATGTATAACAAATGATACGTTATTGTTAATCTTTGCATATTATTTTAGGAAAGGCCCGAAAGACAGCTTCAGTTGAACCGACAACTCTACAATCATGTGAAGGCGTTGGTACTTCTTGTTGATGCTTTAGCTGAAGAACAAGAACGTCGTGATCACACCAGAACTCGATTTGTCGCACAGTTTATTAACGTTGTGATAAAGTCGCATGTGAAGAAGTTTGCTGAATGGCAGAATCCGTCCAAGTTGAGGAATGCTGTCTTCTACCACACCTACTACTGGTTGGTGACAACACAAACCATGCCTCACGCTCAGAAACACCTCAGGGACTTTGTGGACATTTTTGTGTGAGTGTTGCAACTGTAATTTGTTTATGTTAACAGAGCTCAACACTTATCTTATTCTACCCTATTTTATTGATTTTTTTTTCAGAACTGCTATCCAATCGATCTCTCCTCTAAATCTCCCAGCTTTTGTATATTCTTATCTCTCTATCATTGCTCATCCTCAACTAATGAGGACCATCCTTAAGTCGACCGAACTCGACGATGCCAAGTCTGCCAACTTCTACATGATGTTGTTGAAGCCTTTGCTGGAGCATCACAAGAAGCTGTTCGAGTCGATGGACGACATTTGTCAACCGGCTGTTCACCATCTGAACAAGGGTCTGTCTCGACTGTTTGTATACCTACAACACGATTTTCCACGATTCTTTTCGAGGAAGTTCAACGTCATTGTCAAGACGATTCCATTGTTGTGTATCCATTTGAGGAACCTGGTGCTAGGTGCTTCTCCTGTCGATGTAACTGGCGTCGAGTCTAACATTGGATTTGAACGAGTAAGTGGATGAGTATTGTAGAGGTTATTAAAATATGGTTTGTTTAAAGATTATAAGATTGATTACATGCTACTATCTTCTATTTTTGACATATCTCTCTTGAATCAAATTTTTATTATTTAGTGTTGTATGAAGAACAGTGAGATGAATGACCTACCAGATATCCACAGCGAACTGTTACACATGGCTCCAGAAGACGTCAAAAAGCTGATAGCTGCCGCAGTAACTGAGAAGAACAATCCTCAGTTTGTGGCATTGTTTATGGACGCATTCAAAGACGGCACGACGAATGGAAGAATGTACAACTACAGTAAACTCATCGACTTCTTGACTTGTTTTGGTGCTGTAAGTGTAGAGGAAGCCAAGTACGCCAAGGTAGGAATATCATTGATGATCGTCAGCAACAACAAGATGGTCAAGATACTACAGCAAGTCTTGAACTTGATGGACAATGAAGGTACGAGTTAAGGTTTAGATGATTATATTGTGCTTATAGGTATCCACGCCTTCTTGAATGCAACCTTCGACCAATTGAGGTATCCAAATGCTCACACTGCCTTCTTCTGCGGCTTCTTGTTGGTGTTGTTTGAAACTGGCAAAGAAAACGTTAAGGAAATCATGGCCAGGTTTGTTACCTTTCTTTTTCTTAAATTATTCTTTGTCAGGGCCAGGGACGTCGTTTGGGGGAGGGGGTAGGGGGGAGGTAACCCCCTAAAAACGAAAAAATTTTTTTTCGACCTCCCCCCCTTCTCTCAGAGAAAATCCGTAGCGACATCCCTGGTTAGGGTCTTTATCTGAAATCATTAGCTTACTTTTTATTTTCATGATTGTTGTAGGATAATGTTTGAACGAATCCTGACCTTCCCACCCTATCCATTTGGACTGAAGTTGTTGTTGTCCGAACTGTTCACCAACGAGTCCTACGGCTTCTTCGCCAACAAATTCATCCACTCATCGCCGATGATCGAAAAACTCTGCCTCGAGGCGGCTTCTCTGGTTGAGGTTGGACCAAGTGAACTCACACAAACTCCTAGTTATCCATGCTACGTAGAATCTCCACAGTACAACTTTTTTGAGTAATCAAAGTAAAACTATATTTCGGCAAACATGTAAAATGGCTAATAAACTGCAACTATTTTACTGAGAATTTTATTTTTTTCAATGTTTCATTCTTCTTACTTGTTTATGCGTTACGTATGTTTAACTTTATTAAAAATATTAATTGATGTTTTATTAAAATATTCAAAACTGACACTGAAGTTGTGGAATGTAAAATAAAGTTTGTTAAGAAAGACTAGATCGTTATACCCTTAGTTGCGTTTTAAATTAGTTAACCGTTCTTTGAAGTAAATGAGATCAGAAATTCGATAGGAATGACAATATTAAAACGTTGTCAAGTTGCGACAAATCCCGCAACCCAACGAGAATTCTTCGCCGGTTGGCGGATGTTTGACCCGTAAAGGACAACCGTCCTGGTTTTCTAAAGCTGTGGCACGTGGACCGACAGGACATTGAGGAAGAAGGTTAGTGGGTGTCGCTATTAATCGTTGGAAATCACTGTGACATATCGAACAGAAATGCGAATTTCCAAAACTGAAATTTGTGGACTGAACTCGTCTTTAAGGTAACATTCTAAAAATATTTTTACGATGTGAGTCTTTGCGTTTGCGCCTTACCTTTTACGCTGAATATGAAAAGTTTTTAACTTACCAGAAGTATACGGCCACAGAACAACAGAAGCGGCATTTGTACTCCAGGAACTCGGTACCATGACGTCCGCAGACTGGTGCACCAGAGATGTCAGAACAACCTCCACAAATCAATTCCTCGGGTTTGTACGATGAAGAATCTAGAGCTTGTTGACATCTGCTTTCTCCACCAAAGTAAGCCTTTTTACATTTACTGCAGAGTACGTATACGTAGCGTTGAAGAGCGTAACCTATGGGATCGTTGAAGAATTCGCTTTCTTCTGACGTGATAGCGTTCACTTTCAGAAGACCGTCGTATTCCAGACGTAGAAGAGACTTGCTTTTGACATCTTCGTATAGAGCTCTCAATGGCTCGAGGAGGAACTCTAAGGCTGGATGATCGATCTAAAATTAAGTATGGCGAGGTTTTAAGCAGGTTCCTGTCATTTTAACTTATATTTACATTTTGTGCATTAACTTACATTACTTTTGCACAAAGGACATTGCATGAATCGGAAAAGAATCCTCGGCCCATGCCACCGTTTCTCCAATACAGTTTTGACGCAGTGATAGTGGAAACTGTGCCCACATGACAATTTGATACAAGGAGCGCCGCCGAGACGGTCTGTGAAGCAGATCACACACAAATCATCTGCGTCTTGCTTGGATTCTGAAATTTCTCATTTTAAGTTCAGAAGTTCTAGAACATTATGAAGCGCACTTATAGTACTTACCATTGTTTGGACAAGTGAAACAAGGTAAGCATTCTTTTTCTCCGTTAATTCCAGAACACCAATGTCCGCAAGGTAAAACCTTTGTACATGCATTTCGTAGCATTTCCTGGCATTCTGTATAATTACAGGTCCCTGTTTTGACTTCGGTTGCGGACTTTAATAGATTCTGACAGAATCGACATTTTGAACTCTTCATTTCACTACCGCTTCCGGATAGCTGACCTCCGAAGTTGTACTGTAAAGCTTGAGGTGATGTAACATTCACTACTGATCCGACTTCTGCACTAATCTCCGCCATTCCGCTGAGTTTCGTACAATTGAAAAGAATCTAAAAATTGAGTATATTTTTTTCACATATGGCAGACAGAATTTCTTCGATGGTAATAGGCGATGTAAAAAACATAAGAATGACAATGAAACTTACCAAAAAGTTGTTGACCCTCAACCGTGTGCATCCTTCATGCACGTCCAGTTTAGGGCACATTAACGTAGATCCAACGAGTTTTGCCGTATGACTTTTCTTTCGCTTGTTTAGGTGCAAAACGGAGAAGCATTCGTAGCAAAGGTTCACTTCACATTCGGAACAGAAGAAGCGTGCCATTGTGACACCGTCATCGTGATTTTCACATGGCGGTTCTGGCTCTTCTGAGCGTCGTTCCTAAAACAATTGTATGATGGTAACGCTTAAAACAGTTCGGAATATGAGCCACTATACAAAGGAAATACTTCACGACACACATGTATTACCTTTAAGGTTTTCCACGTTGAAGAAAGTTCCAACCAACTTGGATCTTTAATGGCCGTCATGGCTGCGACAGCAATCCAAAACTGTGACTGTCGCAAGAACAGGTGCGCTTTTGTACCGTAAGACTCAGACGTCGAGAATGAGCTGGTGGGAAGATCTGTAGAACTAGATGACGGCAAGAATCCGGCAGCTGCCAGAATCTTGTTTATTGCCATAATGAAATTGCCAAGTTCAGCACGAATAACCTGTGACCAAGCTGGACTTATAGCATTATTGGCCAGACGTGCTAGTGTAGCTATTACCAACTGCACCACTTCATTACTAATAGATTTTTCGGCCCTCCAAATCGCTGGTATCTCTACGCAATTGATCGTTAGTGAAGCCGTCAACATTTTCCTGGCCACCCTGTCCTTTACTTGAAGGGTGATTGCTTTAGCTATCACTGCTAACATATTCTGGACGAATATGCTGACATCAAAACTGTTTGGCTTGAAGTTGCGCAGAGTCTTCTCCATCGTCTCCAGAATCTGCATTTGGACAATCTGAAGAATAAAAATTTTGATATTACCTAAACAACCATCTCCTACCTGTGGAGCAAACAGCATAAGTTCGCTGAGCATAATGGGAAGTATTCCTCGCATTGAAAACACTTCAACTCCTTTCCTGGATTCACTTATCTTGACCAACATCACCATCAGACCACACACATACGAATAGTTCTTCTTCTTTTTCTCACGCAAATTTACAATCTCTCGCTCAACGGCTGTCACAATCTGAGTACAAACGTATACTTGCAATGGCTGTAGTTGTACTCGGTTGAATAACATCTCGATGACTTGTTGCCGCAAGTGGCCGTTTTCATCTTCAGCAAACTCGTCGCTAAAGGCTTGGGCGGCAACTGCTTGGAATAGAGAGAACGCGTCGATTTGAGCTGAACTGAACGATAGTTGATGAGGAGATGTAGCTTTCAAAGATTTTGACGTGTCTGCAGTTTCTGGTACTACAACATTGGCACAAACATTGGACTGTCCTAGTACGACTATCTGTCTGAGCCGACATGACCTGCCGTTGAACTTGATTTGGATCTTTAAGGGAGACGCTGTACCTAATGTGGAACAGCGAACCCAGCCAACAAACTTCTGAAAGAAACAGAATAAAAAATAGTAACACTAAATTACAACATTGGATTTAAAGCAATAGAAAACTAGGATCCAAAAAGTAACTTACCGAAGACAAGTTAACCGAGTTCAGTGTAATGACATTTCCAGCTCCCCTGTTGGCCGATCCAGTGGTAAAGTTGACTTGACAAACACGATAGCTTGAGTCTTGGACATTATCTATGAAGACACCAATGATTGCAGGCATACAAACGTCTGCTGCCCAGCTAATGGTGAGACAACTCGTACGATTGTTGTCTTCTTCACCACTCTCCCAGAAGGTTTCGTGAGATCCGTCCAGTAGACAGTGTAGAATCTGTTTCTGAGTTGAGGAATCCAGTTTTATCAGTTGATTTAGCTGATCAAACTGTTTCACTATCGGAAGAATTTCCTGTTCTTTTTTGGACTTCTGACGGTTTCTTGGACTAGCGTCATCTTGTATTAACAATGATGTATCCGTAGAGGTATCAGACAAAACCTCCCCTACTTTACACAGTAGTTTGCATAACGTGTAAAGTAAGTCTTGTTCATGAATTGTCAGTTGAAACGTCCATGACTTGAAACACAGACATTTCAAACGAATATCTACATTATCTGCGTTCAAAATGACGTATAATGTTGCCAAGAACGAGTGCATCGCTTCGACCATTCGTTGAGTGACAAGATCTCCAGCCAAAAAACACAATCTCCATGGATGTGGAAGAAGATGGAGTTTGGTAGCAAACTTGACATCTATGGAATGCTGATAAGCTGGGCTGAACGAGAACATTGTATTCAGGTATTGCCACACTATATCCATGACTGAAGATTCTGAAGTGACCAGCTTCAGTAGCCAGTTCCACACCTTGAAGGCGTGCGACAGAATCACAGCACGTCTAATGGAATCTTCAAACTTATGAGCAATAGCAGAAAGGTCATGATTCTCTACTATGAACGACAAAACAGGATGTGTAGTAATCGTATAAGGAGATGGTACGGAGTTCGAAAAGTTGGTTACGACTTCGTTCAAGGTCGGAAGCTTAGGGACCAAGTTACTTGGCCCAGCTATGTTGGCTTCATCTTCGTCTTCTTCTGGTAAAGCGTCTATCGTACTCAAGTAGTTGGAGATGGGCTTTCTGAAGACATTCCCAGATACACTGATTGACGTCGGAACTCTGGAGGAGGCTACAAGGTCATTCTGATGCGAGATTCCTGGATCACTGGTTTGGGAGAGTTGGCGAGGCCTGTGGGACGTTGTTAAGCTCTAAAAGATAATAAATATTTTGAAATATCGATGAGTTTGAACTGTGAATTAATTAATAAAAACGGTTTTCTATTTGAAGTTTCTGTAAACATACGCTTTCGGTCATAGGTTCATCTTTGTCGTTGTCAATAATCTGGTCCAAATCTCCACATGGGTACAAGTCGATGATCCATTTTGCTTTTTCAGTTTTCTTATTCCTTTCGGCCTTTTCGAGCTCCTTTTGACCAGTAGGGCACAGCCCAAGCAAGAAAATGGAGTTCCTTCTGATAACAGCTTCTGGGGAAATCAACTGTGTAGCGTTGATTTGACGGAACTCTCTCCAACGACGGTCGGATTCCTAAATTTTTAAATCTTCATTCAAACAACACAGTTAAAGTTAGGATAAGTAGATTTAACGACCATGTAGAATGACACTTTTCAACTTACCTCCTCAACTTCACCTTTTTTGTTGGCCATGATGGCTAATCGGCAATCCGGACACAATAGATACCAAACCGCATTGCCTTTCCCTCCCTCACCACACATTCCAGTCCACCCAGTTGTGTAGTTGCCTACGCTGTTATAGCCATGCCCTAGGCACGGTCCATGACAACCAGGGTGTTTTACTCTCATATGGGCTGTCACTGGCTTTGGGAAGTTTTCTCCACAAAGTTCGCAGAGCTCTTCGACTGGAGCAGCGTTATCGTTGCTGGCATCTGTAGCTAGACGGTCAGCTGTGTTGATACGTTGACGTTGGTATGGTCGACGAAGTACTGTAGGTGATGGGACTATCAGATGTTGTCGGACAACCTGAAAGGATTCGTATTAAACGTATTACAGTATCTTAAAAGTTAAAGGTACGAACCCGCGTCGGAAATACAAAACTGAACCCACCTTATTCAACGTAGCCGATATTGTGCTCCACAAGTTGCGTGCCGACACTAAGTTCGGAGGTAGTTCAAAGTTTGGTAGCTGCATTTTCCTAAATAATTCTTTGGGATTCTCTTCAAATTCGGCTACTTTGTTGGCGCAGTCGATCAGTTGCTCTACCAATCTCTCGTGCCACACAAACGCGGCAAAGGCAGCTCTGAAGCATTCAATCGTAAGCGGCCGTAGAGGATTGTCCTCTTGGTGTTGTGGAGTACTTTCCGACGATTGGGGCTTCTGAAACAAATCAATCTTATAATTCAATCAACGACACAATTTATGACGTCATTATATGACTGATAGCTAAATAAATTTCGAAAAATCTTACATTCCACGATACTTTTCCAGTAGATCTAGTGGAAGTGGCAGTACAGCTTTCTGTATTACCATTAAACTGATGTAAAGTGAGATGTTCCGACTTCAGATGAGTGTTATACTGTAGACACCATGCCTGGTGACTGCTTTTTCGTTCACAATATAAAGCTTTCACATCATCGGAGATGCGAAGCCATAACCCATCCATATTCCTCAATGTCTCAACATACGATATCGTAGCACCTCGAGGTATGGCACCAATTTGTTTGGCATTCAATGTTGGATGACTTCGGATTCGAACACCCGCGTAGCCATTGACGGCAGGACATGTTGCCTTACACACTAGATTCACAGGGTCTACCTGTTTCGGTCGATGCCGCGGGGTAGGTGGTACATTGTGGCACGGTTCTGCCATATCTATTGTTGGCACCTTGATGTTGAAGTCGACTCGAGACTCCAGGTCGAAGCCGTCGATAGAAGCTTCAACGTGATAACGTCCTGAAGATAACGGAGTCCACTGGATTTCGTAAACTCCAGAAGAGCTACACTCGATCTTCAGAATTTCTGTAGTCGTACTTCCCAGTTCGTATGCCCATCTCAGCTCTTCGAAGGAGTAATCTGCCAGTTTAGGATTACATCCAGTAGACATAAACCTGTTGTTGTTGATGACAGTCGGTTTGAAGTGTTCGTCAATCTGTAGCTGTCGTAGCTTGTCGTAATAGCCGTCTTTAGTGTCATTAGTCTTTGCAGCCACTTGAAACATGTTGTTGAAGACTGTTAACGACCTGAAGATCTTTTTGGACACCTTGTCGTTGGTCTTCGCTGGGCTACTTTCAGTAACACCCTTCTTTACAGTAACCTGAACACTCATATCGTTCTTAAAGCACTGTTCACCGTACTGATTTACTGGTAGAACACGAAGTCTGATCGGTTGATTTGTTATGAACCCAACCAAAGGATCTATCTCTATCTTGGACATACCAATGTCAATGTAAGGTTCTACAATCAAGACTGTAGCCAACAATCCGCCAAGACTGTTAGGAGACGCCGAGATGAAGTCAGCCAGAAACTGAATGTTGTCTGACTTCCGAAGCGATGGGAAGGTATCTCTTGTCAGTTCGGCTACAGTAGGAACGTGGTCCAGGTTCAGACCCTTCTGAAGCAGAACACCGTGCTTCTGGATAACTTCGAAACAATCTTGGTTTACAGACTGTTTGATACTGGGGCTGTTAGTGGACTGTACCATGATGTTGCAGCCTTTTGAGCATAACCATGTAAACTCAGTCTCCAGATTGAATAATGTTGTTGATCCATTGGCTTTTGGGGACGATAGGCCTTCTACCGTGCAGCGAAAACCGTACTTCTGTAAATTGATTTTATTTTTCAATATTTTGACATTATTAAATTTGAAATACGAAAATTAATAGCGCTACAGTATTTTTAAGTAAAAATTACCGTGTTATGATTGTCTTCTCTTTCCGGTCCAGTCTCGAACACAAACCATACGTTATTGCCAGGAATGACAATCACACCCTCAGGCCATTCCTTATTCAAACAATATCTTCCTACAGTGTAGAGTGCAGATGTAGGTCGATCACCAGCTACACCGTATACCCACAGTGAATCACCAGAATGAGCAGTCTGACATGCTTCGTGGAATCTAACACAGACAAACTCGGTAGATGGGTCGAAAGATACGAAGTGAGTGGTGAAGTCATTGGCTTTATAAGGATGCGCACTCTCGACCACCGCCTGTACGAATCGCTTTTGTTTAGATTTGGTCGGACTAAAATAAGGCAAGGTTACATTGGAAGTGCCTAAAGTAATGTAAAAACAGCATTCTTACTGCTTTATAATCCTTTAAAGTAGACTTACTCATCACTTTCCGGTTTCACTTGGCTGAAACTGAGGCTCAGTGATCCCTTATCATCATTGAAATCAGCATTGGCAGCAGAGATAAGTGGAAGAATTTGGTCAAACGCTGCTATAACATGATATGCCTTGTGCGGATTGGCTTCCATATACACAGCAGCATATGTCACAATCTTTGAGGCCATTTTGGCTGATGGAAAACTATCTTTGACCGCTGAACTCAACTGAATACTTAACTTGGAAGCCAGTAGTCTCATGATAAGCAAAAACAGCCGGCTGGCTTCTTCCGTGATGTTGTTAGATCGTTTGTTGAAGTTTGAATCAGTATTTGTGTCGATACTGTACAAGAAGAACGGTAGTTGTCCTCGGGTTACTGTAGTGCCATTCTTGCTGAAAGATGAGGGTAAGAAAGTCATCCTACCGTGACGCTGAAGCTTGACTACAGAGATTCCGGATTCTCCAAAGAACGTCTTCCCAGCGTCGATCACAGCCTTGATAGCGTATGTTACATTCGGCTTCAGGGGAATGGCTTTGTTCAATCTTATCAACACGCACTCTGCTCCATCGCCACAACTGTCATCGTGAGCTACACCGTTGCATCGTCCCAACGAGATCCAACCGTCACGATCGGTCTCTCCCTTCGACTCCAATACCTCAATCTCGTAAGTTACTTTGCGTTGGTGCTTGGTAGAGGTAGGATACATTCCCACACCTTGTAGTTGAATGCCTGCGGTGTCTACCTTGAAGGCAATCGAATCTGGAGCATCGTTGCCTGTCTCCCAATTGGGCTGACAGACTGTTTGTCTGAAGCGACGAGGTGTCTGGTAGATGGAAACGTTTGGTTTGACATTCAGCTGTATGTTCACAAGTCTCTTTGTTATTATGACCAGCAGATTCTGGGCTACAATTTTCAGTCGTTCTTCCAGTAAATCCTGTATATAATATTATGAATTTGAATGAATTGTATTCTTATTACGTCAGCTTGTTACTGGAACAGGCTGTACCATAAAATAACCTACCCCATTTCGAATATCGACCGATGCAAATGCTAATTGGAACAAGAACGATATCACCTTATCAGGATCGACCCTTTGAAAGATCCGCCCTTCCTTCTGTGAGTAATGATCCACCAAGTTTTGGAGCAGTTCGTTTACGGTACCTTCTTGACGGTCTATCCCCAGAATCGGCAGAACAAACTAAAATGAGGTTTAATAGAGTTTTGGTAAAATACGACATTTACTATTTCTGAAACATTAAATATGTAATATAATGCAGTAGACAACAACAATGCAATAATACGTCAAAGACATCCACTCACGTCTTCCAGTTTGCAAAAAGCCTTCAGAGTCGAGAGTAACGACCAGTTGTTGGCTCCATCACTTATCATCTTCTCGATTCTTACTGATAACAGTTCAGGTGATGGCGTCAGAAGGTAGCTGCACGATACATACATATCTACCGCTTCTTCAACCACCAAGCCAGCTATGCGATCTTCCACAAACAACTTCTCATCGGCTGTTCGGAACAGTTCATCCAGAAGACCTTTGAACTCGTAAACAGCTTCAGATGATGCTACAGACTTGGCTTGAAGAGTATCACAGTCGGCACGGTATTGAGGAAATACGACGCCAAGATATATACTGTAATATTAGGACTGAGGTTCAATAAATACCTACAGAGTTATACCTACACTATTACATAAAACAAAAAGCATCACTTTACACTTTGTCAACTTGTATACCTACCGTATGATCCTCAAACAAACAATAGTGACAAACGCTGCTCTTTCCTGCTTCTGAGCAGCTACATCGTCCTGCATCTTCTCGTAATCTCGGCTTTGAAATGATCCGGCTATCCCCCACTTCAAGATACGAAACAAATATCTCATGGTATCTGGAGTTACACTAAACACAGTGTGAGCACTTAAGGCTACAGATTCAAAGATGGAAACATCTGGTTCGACGTTTGGAGAAGGATACGAGGCAGACGGCTGTCTGTAAGACTGCTGACAATCAGAAGTACGGTAGACTTTGTAGTAGATCTCAGGAATCTGACCGCCTTCTACGTCTGTGCCGTTGTTAGAGTAGCTAGAGTTACGGAATGTGAACTCCACTTCAGAATCCGTACGTACAATTTGCTGACCTTCTGCTCCACAGTCTGAACTTGGGCCTCTGAATCAGGCAAATTTTTATTTTTTTAACCAAATAGATAAATTGACATCAATTCAAAGATAGCATTAGGTCTACCATAACGTTATAAGCTACACAACTTACTGTATCTGAATCCAAGCTACGTACCAGACGTCTGCATTCACCAAAATTGGCTTTCTGAAGCCAACAAACGCTGTTTCTTTGATTGGACAATCATATAAAATCTCGTTGGTCTCGGAAATCAACTCCACATTGGCATCATCCTTGTCAGAGTTGCTCATGTTACGGTAGAGCTTAACCTTCGCGGTGTTCTCTCCATGTCCACCGTACAATCCAAACCCATACAAGTTGATGTCTCTGTTGGCTTTGAACTGAATAGCTTCAAGACAATGGACAGAGTAACCCCACCCTCCCCCCAACGCCAGAAACCTGTTCACAACATTGCAACTTGATGGATCTGGTGGAAGAAAGTTAGCGTTACCAATGTTCTTACTGATGTCATCGTGCGTGGTAGACAAGTCAGTGCTTTGTAGTATGGTAACTTGAGGAATGGCAGCCAAAGCACTTAAACTCAGCCCATAAACAGCCGACACCAGGAATACTCCAAGTTGTTCATCAGAAAACTTGGCGTTCGTATCTGTAGGTATGCACAGTTCTGTACACTGGAGAAGTTTACGTTCTTCACAAAAGAACGGTGGCTCCTTCTCAACGTTCTGAAGTTGCAACGATGGTCCGTCGGTGAATCCTTGTATACAAACTCGTTCAGCATCAAACGACCAAAGAATGTCGTACATCGGGTTGAAACACCAACTGAAAGTGAAGATTTTAGGTAACAATAAGAGAAATCTTTGCTTACAATGTATTCTTATGATTAAATGTGATGTAAATGCTATATTGCCTAAACATAGATTTAATTTTAATATTAATATTATCTCTGCAACTAACCTTAAGCTTTGATTTACATTCATTTTGAACTGGAAGAACCTGTCAATCACCCCTTTGGTGGGAATCATAACACAAAAGCTTTCCTCTTCTACTCCGCTGTTCGGAATCAATGCCAAACAACCTTTGTTCGCCGTAACTTGACACTCATCTAACTGATTCCTGGAGAATAATCTCTGATGGCTTTGGATTAGCGTCCGGTCTCCTTTGGCTGATATCCAACTAGTCGTCTTGCCAGTTTGAGGTCCGAATTCGGGCACGAACCCAGGTTTGGCAAACCAGAAGCGGTCTTCAAGATTATCACATTCTCGACCCAATTGTCCAGCACGGTACGCTCCGAACGTTATGACTTCTCCGTTCATCGTGCGTAAAACACAATGATTCGCTCCGGCTACAGCTTGAACAATTTGGACATTCAGAGGCAGTGGAACCTTGTATGGATGGGTTTGTCGGCTGGTATCGCCAGTCCCAAGCTGGCCATTGTTGTTACATCCGAACGTGTATACCTAAAATAATATTGTTACATCTTTTTCTTATTATTATTCAATTTTTTACAAATTTTTGAAAAAATAAAAAACGGAAAATAATTTCTGACCTGGTGATCTGCGCAAAGAAGGACCGTGTGGTAATTCCCGACTGACACTGATGCCACCTTGATGTCGTTGCTCTTCTTCATTAATATCACCCTTCCAGGTATCGTCATGGCCTCACTGTTGTTGACGCTGAACCTCGATGTCTTTGGTCTTTCCAATGGTAAATCGTCCAAAGTGTCCTCACCATCACTTGTACTTGGATTTGAGGTTTTAGTGTCTTCTGTTGACGGTGTTTCTGGCTTTATTGGCTTCTGTCTTCCACACGGTCGGCATATTCCGCATCTGAGACACGCTGACTCCCCAACTCCACAAACACACGGAGATCCACGAGGTATTGGGGCTCGTATTGGTGTTCCTTGGACATTGGGACTGATTAGTTTCCCACCATAAGGACAGTTCTTCCCTTGGGCAGAACAACATCCACACTTAAGGCAGATCGTAGCGACATCTTTGACGAATGTGTGAGCGTTGGGTGGACAATATTGTGAATGGGATAGGGAGTTGACGTTATTTGATGTTAAGGGTTGAGAGGTTTCAAGGTGTGAACGTAATTCCGATTGTGGAGACTGGAAATTATTATATAAATATATGATCTTTGGTATGATAATATGAGCTTTCTTTGGTACGTAAAACAGCAACGGTGTAATCTGTAATTGACATAATAACTTACCTCTGTTCTTCCACATTGATTCAAATTGTTCAAGCCACAAGTGTAAACGAGCCCTGTTTTGCTGATAACAACCAAGTGGGTCTTCCCTAGGCCAACACTGGCCACTGATACATTATCCATGCCAAAGTTGGCGTGTATTGTATCTGAATGTGCGTTGACGATGTGACGACCATGTAGAAAACATTGACCATTATCTGATGCAAACGCCATTGCACCACCACAACCGCTTATACTAACGCATCGTCTTCTGAAATTAATGATATTGTTGTAGATTTACTTTGGGAATTGATTATGATGAGAATAGTATTGTTAGTTGACTTCTCCTTCTAATATCGTAGAGGTCTTACCTGTTTGGGATTCTGATTTTTCTCACTTTCTTGGTGCTTTTATGAGGATTCGCTTCAAACATATTACTCAATGTTCCGATCGCATACAACGACCCTGATCCTGACCTCATGATCAAACAGTTGGCGTGGCTATCTAATGTAAACGATACGATGGCTTCTTCCAGTGGTACTTCTAACCATAAGTCAGGGGAATACTAAAACCGTCAATTTGATATTATTTTGATTGTTTTATCCGAATGTTCTCAATTATTAACGTTGTATGTCTTTTAACTTTTTTACTCTTTTATCACTTACTGTCAGTCCGAACGTATCCCCATGTCCACTATAATATATTTTACCATTTCTGGTCAACAGAAACCCAACATCGTTGCCCATCTGTAGATCGACAGCCGAGTTCTTTAATGATGATGTGATTGTATGTAGTAGCGTGAGTTGTTTATGGTTGAAGTCACCAATCGCTGTATATCCAATGTCCATCAAGCGACACGAGATACGTTGTGACTTGTTTGAGGATGGGGAGAAACTGTCATCCAGGGAGGTCGACTGAAATTAGGTTACAATTACTGATGAAAATAGTTTTCTATAGACAACAACTGCACTATTATATATATTCGTATATATATAACCACCAAAAGTTGAATTATATTACTGTTGAAGATGATCTGCTACGTACCACAAAATTCCATTGTGAATCCAGCACGGCGTGAAAGAATTGTCGTCCGTCAGCGAACAGAAGCCCTTCTGTGAGTGTAGCCGACAACATTATTTCTCCGATTTCGCGTAGCGTCATTCGGTCGATAACCCAGAGTCTGGTCGAATGGCCTCTTCGAAGATACAACGACTCGTTACAGTAGATTAGTGATGACCCTGGACTGTACTTCATCATGTCGTTGTGAGCCATCACTTTGCCAGCTCTGGTTTCACCCAAGCCAGTACCCATCTTGAATAACCCGTATATGGTGAGGAGGTAGACGAACGGCCCTGAAGGTGTTCGTATAATTACAGTATCTTTTATTCTTATCATTAAAAGACTGCTGATAAAAACTATAAAAGTTTAATGATACTTGAAAGCCTTACCATCAGAACATATACACCCTTGAGCTGTGTTCATATCATTACTACCAAAGTTCTCTGATGGACTGAGACATCCTGGGTATACCAGTTCGAATTCGGCGATCTGCATGTGTTCTGTCAGTGGACGAAGCCACCAATTTTGGAGGTTTGGGTTCCTAAAGTAACGACTTGTAATGCTACAATATAAAATTTTATTTATAGGAAGAAATGTCTAGTATATTCAACATATTATGTAGCTTCCATTATAAAAGTCAATTTTAAAGAACTCACATTGCAATAGCAGCTGGACCACGTTGTATAGTCCTCTGAACTGTTAGTGCTAGTCGCTGGAAGTTTTTAGGTAACAAATTCAAGGTGCAGTCGATTTCGTTGAATGCAACCGTATCTTTGTGGTCGGTCAGTAATGTTGAGATGGTTGAAAACAATAGTTCTGGGGTGCCACAAGCGATTGACAAACTCAACATACACGCATTTGCATATTCTGATACTTGTTCGTTACCTGTAATGTCATTTTAAAATGGTTATGCAACATTAAAACATACAAAAAACGCTTTTAGACGTGATCCTGTGTTTACTACAGACATAACATAACTGTATATAGGTTCAAAAAACCTTTAAAAAAACCTGCAGACTGTTTCAAGAACGAGTACTGTAATCTTACCTTTTTGTCGCAACTGTCGCAGCGAAGAATGCATTTGATGGACCATTTCCCTTGAAGTATGAGCAAAACTTTCAGGTGGTAAATGTTGCAGTACATTTAGCAATGACTGTAACGCTTTCACACACAAATCAGAATCCTTGTCGTTAAGCTCCAGAAGCACAGAGAATGTTGAACTCAAGCCTACTGTGATTAAGTCCGTTTCTTTTTTCTGAAAATTATTATTTTACTTAAGGATCATTCCTAATTTAAAAAAAATATTATCCTCGTATACCTATAGCTTTGAGCATAGTATTCTTATATAAAAAAGGACACTTAAGCCGGTAAAGTCAAACTCTGAAGATGGTTAAACAGAATCTTACGTTTACTCGCTCTCCTTCGACCCATCCTGCCACAGTCTCCAAAGCTGATACGTTTAAAGCCACGTCGATTGGATCCCTGTAGCGATTTGACGGTCCAACTATGTCTGTGTTTCCCAGTAAAAGTTCGTCTTCCAACAAGTGGATGTACCTGAAACACCAATTTGATTTTTATATTTAAGCAATGAATTGTTCAGTGGGGGTGACCTATTTCTTGGGGTGACCTATGCCCGGAAGACGGCCGTAATACAAACGATAAAGCTTACTGTAACGCAGCAGTACGTGCAATAAAATGAGCTGCATTCCCGCTTGGTGGTGCTACAAGATTAAGAGTACCAATATTGTCAAAAAAGGCCTCAACTAGATCCGGTTTTGGTGCCGTTAGTACACAATCTAAAATAACTTATGTATCAAGATTACTGTAAGGTAAATTTTTTGAACTTTTTACTATAAAAATTGTGATACAAAATTAAACGTAAGTACATATTATAGCCTATTATTTTTTATATATCATCAATGTTGCATTTACTCTCAATGTCAGCTGGATCAGAATTCCCAGTAAAAAGTACGGCCGCTCCTTTAGCGGCTACATCTGGATGGGCGGTAGCTCTGGCTAGCGAATGTTTCAGTAGTAGCTTTGTGTAGAGATCTCTGATTTGAGCGTTTCGGTTATTAAAAGCGGCAAACGAACTGTCGTAGGAATCTCTTCTCGAACTAGACTGACCAGCCCGCTCCAGAATCTCGGACTCTATAACTGGTAGATCATCGTCACGTTCACGACGTTGTAGCGACAGTTGTCGGAGAAACGTGCCCATGATACGATAGGTTTAAGGCTACTTCAACATCGTATATTGGTTTTTTTGAGATTTTTGTGGATAATATACCTGAAGATATTATGGTTAAAAACTTTTTTTTTATTTTTAAAAAAGAAAAAATTAAAATAAAAAATAACGAAAAGCTTAAAATAAAGCCCATATGCTTTACAAAAAATGAACGGCCCTTCATTTAAAAAAGTCCACCCCAAAATGCCAGAAATGGGCTTGGCAACGTGTCAAACGAACGAAAGAAAAAGGACAAACTGGACCTTTCTCTCCTTATGTGGCCAGAAGGGAAAAGGAAAAATAAAAGATGAGGGGGAAGCCACTCCGAATTGGGGAAATTCGCGCAAGGCTTTTTCCAGAAACCATCCCTCGAATTTACCCCGCCGCTCTTTGTTTGCAGCTTCATAAAGTTGGTCTTTTCAGGGAAAACGTGGAAAAGCACACGGCTTAGCGCTTTTGGAAGTAAACTGTTGTAAAAGTATGATTAATATTGTTTTGAAAATAGTTAGAGGTATATAGTTAGTAAAAAGACAGATAATTGTGTTCTTTGGACAGAAAATTGCTTTTAGACTATATTAATGTAGATTCATGTCCAAATAATAGTGAAAGACTTTGGAAATAAACAAACACGCGCAAAACCTTTTTAATTTTGTTTGTTTTGAAAAAAGGAAAGGTTATTACGATAACAAGCACCAAGAGTATTATAAAACGATATTTAACTAATTTTGCATCAAATAATTAAAATTTGAGAACCTTATTTTAAGACACTTTTGATCAACATAAAATGATATTTCAGATACTACAAATCAAAGAAAAGTAAACTTGGAGGTCTGATTTTTAAACTGTGAAAGCAATTATGAGTTTTGAGCCTAAAATAGACGGAAAAAGGGAAAACGAAGCCCAACATTCATGAGTAAAGTTATGCGAAGATAGATGCGCTTTCCGGCCTCATATTTCTTCTGAATCCCGGCTTTCGAACTCTCCGGGGATTCGGATTCGAATAAAACAGCGATCGAAAATGGCATTAATCGACTTATCCGATTAGCGATCGCTATGTAAATCAATTTCGCTTTTAAAATGCATCAAGTTTTATAAAGGCTTTATATTAAGGTTGGTCAAAAAGCAGGTAGATATAAGCATTGTTAACGGTGAATACCAAAGAGTGTCATCATGCGAAAAACAAGAGTGATAAGTTTTTACTGCTCTGTATTTTATACTTTTTTTAAACAAAAATCAAATATATAAAAATAGCCAATTGTCGCATGCCAGATAGTATGACAAAGTCAGTATAAAACAAATTTCAATTTAAACGGAACTGACATTCAGATGGCAAAAAATAACTTGCAAATTCAATTTTAATGCTGGTGCATGTTGGAACGTCAAATTGTGTTAAACATATCACAACAGCGATATATGCATGCAAAAGTCATCCTCAAATTGTTTTATGAATTTTATAGCTATTATGATGTGTGACATTGTGCACTTGTTCGGTCAAAAAATGAACAGAAAAGTTAAGAGGAAGTAGAGTTTTATTTTTTTTTATTTTTTGAAAATTTAAAACGCATTTTGATTCCCAATTTGTTAAAATCAAAAAAAAATCAGTAAAGTTTGACAAAGATAAAAAGATACCTAATCTTCGTTTCCAAATCAAATCCCACCGAATTCACTTCCACTTATTTATTGCTTAACCTTCCCGATCGGTCGGTGCGGTCTCCAAAAAAAATGTGCAAGGCCAACAAGTCATTTGTAAGTCATCTTCTAAACATAGTTAAAGTCAGCTTCTAAACATAGTCACCTATATATTGATACAGTAGGCTTACCTTATATTTCTAGAAAGAAAAGCAAATCTGTGACGAGAAGGTGATCAAATGGCTGATGGAGCGCTACCAAGCCAAGGTGGTACCGGTCGAAACGCGCCACTCATTCGAACGCTTTCATTCTCCGCGACTAACCGAAGCTGAATTCGAGGCCAAGCCAGTGATCATGCTGCTAGGACAGGTAAGCCATTCTGGTTAGTATAAAGGTCAAGTGATCTTAATGAGTATACTCAAACAAATATACTCATAATGGGTATAATCAAACCCAAGCAAAAGAGATTGATGATTATGTTACAGTACTCGACTGGAAAGACCTCCATGATCAAATACTTGTGCAACGAAGAATACCCTGGATCGTCGATTGGCCCTGAACCGACTACTGACAGTTTCAACGTCGTACATTACGCAGAAGAACCGCACATCACTGAAGGAATGTCTCTTACCGAAGACACACGATTTCCGTTTCAAGTAAGTACTTTTAGGCCATATCGCGTAACAATATTTTTTAATAAGTAGTTCATGACAATGATAGACTTACTATACATATAGTGCACGTTTTTAAATAGAATTGACAAATTACATGTGTATTTAGGGACTAAAATCATTCGGAACGACATTCTGTAGCCATCTGAGAGGCTGCGGCTTAAACGCTCCTCTTCTGAAGTACATGAGTCTACTAGATACTCCTGGGTTACTAGCTGGTGAGAAACATACGACTCATAGACAATATGACTTCAACAAAGTCATCAAGTTCCTGAGCGACAAGGTCGACCTCATCTTTCTGTTGTTTGATACCACCAAGTTGGACACGACCGAAGAACTGAAACAAGTCATCAACTGCCTGCGGGGGAACGAAGAAAAGGTACTGTAACATGATTTGTTTATATTGTTGATTAGTAAGGGGTCTTAAAAGCACGGTAACAAATTATTTATACAATGATTGCACTTTAGGTCAGAATCCTACTGAACAAGGCTGATTTGGTGGACGAAGCCGAAATGATCAGAGTCCGCGGAGCACTAATGTGGAACTTGAGCAAGATCCTGGTTGCCCCAGAAGTACCACGGGTTTACATTGGTTCGTTCACAAGAAATCCTATTGATGTAAGACTTCTTTTTTGATAAAAAATGACAAAATGATATGTGTAAAACTTATAATGACAATCACCATAGCTGACCTTTTAGCCAACTGTCATGAACACATACAAAGAGGACTACCTGGACATGTTCAGCGAGATACTGTGGTGTGTGAATCGAGCTCGGAGCCGAAAGATCAACGACCTGATCAAGAGAATCCAAGTGGTCGAGATTCATGCTGGACTGATGACATTTTTATGTGGAAGCAAGTGGGTAAGTTAACATAGTGTGATTCTTGGACAAAATGCATAATTGTCTACTAGCATTACATACTTCAAAAAATATATTAGGTATCCTAACTATAAACTTCCGCTGACTTTTACAAGTTATAACTTTTGTGAAAATTAATATTATTTGACGGGATTTGTTTTGTTTTGTAGCTTGTTTCAATGCAAATCGAACGATATATAATACTTGTATGTTTGTCTTTGTCTACTTGGAAAAATCTGGGTAAAAATTGACTAAGCTCAGTTTGGAGGTGCGATATCGCATGCAACTGTGTATTTAAACAAGGTAAAAGTGCGATTGGATGCCATCGTACGTTTGCAGAAGTTTTTGGAGAAGAAGTTATAAGTATTAGACATGTGCAGGCGTGGTTTTCAAAGTTTCATACTGTGAACCTTGACCTTGTGGACAAACAACACAAACGAGGTCATGAAGTGGCAGATGCCATCAACTGCTTGAGTTAAATACTAATTTAGCAACAGTGGAGTTGTCGCATATTCTTCCCCGTACCTCGCAAACCATCGCCAATCATCTTCACAAACTAGGAAAGCTCAACAAAAGTGGCAGGCGGGTGCTCCACGAACTCAGTGATTCCAACATGGCGCTAAGGGTCAATACTTGTGATATTTTTCGCTTGTCCAAAACCCGAGCTTTTTTTCAACCAATTATTACTTCGGATGAAAGATGGATACTGTACGATATAAAGAAGGTCAAAAGACAATAGATTGATATTGGTTCAAAAGCTATACCTACTTCGAAACCTGACCTTTGGTAAACAAAACCTTCCGTTGCGTATGGTGGTCTACCACGGGAATAGTGTACAACGGGTTTCTGAAACCTGGATAAATAATTACGGCAGATGTCTACAATGAACAATTGAAACGAATCAACCATGCTCTCTACTTTCTGGGTATTGATATTTCCACTGTGAAACTTTGGCAAGATGCCGCTCGAACTCACAGTGCAAAGATGACGTCATAAGTTCTTGGTGAATTGAGCTGGACTGTAATGCCTATACCGCCCTACAGTCCCGACATTGCTCCTTCTGATTATCATGTATTCAGAAGGCTGAAAGGTCGCATTGCATTTCAAAAATGGCGCTGAAGTCATGTTATAGGGTGAAGATTTCTTTATGACACAGCTGAGGTAGTTCCACAGTTCTGGCATTCACGTTTTGAAGGAACGTTGTAGAGAAGGCATAGACAATGTTAGAGTATGTATCTCAGAATAATTAGTTTTGTTTCGATTGTTATAATAAAAATAAGTTTGTTAAAAAATGGAAGTTTATAGTTAGGATACCTAATAACTGTTAAAACTTTTTGAATAAATAAATTTCAGAAGTTCCCAAACAGTCCTCACGGCATGGCCAAGATGCTGAACGAGGGCAGAATCAGGCAAAAGTTCATGGAATACAGAATCATCAGACGCAAAATGCTACAAGACTTACCGGACAAAGACGTAATAAAGTTTTTAAATTAATATACTGTATTAATAATCAATGTCTGGTCTTTCAGTACGGTAATGTTCCTTTTACCGTAATAATTTAGCAATTCCGAAAAATCGCGGTGGAAACCAATCGGAAGGATTGGGTGAAAGAGGACCCGAGACTGATGAAGCAACTGCACGACTTCCTCGAAACTGACATTCCAGCGTGAGTTTATCTCTTAGATGTAACAATCCAGAGCAAAACTTTAATCAAAACACTTGAAATGTTAATTTAGTGCCCTGGTAACTATGGAGTACGATGAAAACCCCTCTGCGGAACTGCAGTTCGTGTTCAAGGACCTGATCGACGCCATCGAAAAGGCCCCACCTATACCACCTACATCGCGATTGGATGACGATGACAAAGTCACTGCTGAAACCACTACTCATGGAGGTAACACCAGGACTGTCGAAGTTCCTAGCCAAGCTGGTGGAGTCATCACGGCCGTTGGGGCTGGTCCACCTCAAGCTGGCGGAGACCCCACTGCTCAAGGTGCCAATACCCAGACTGGAGCACCTAAAACCAAAGTCGGAATCTCGGACCCGCCAATTCATGTTTACAAAAAGGCTACCACGCCCCCTGTTGTCCCCTCTCAAGCTTAAATTTTTAGGAGTAAACTTTTCGACCATACCTAAGATGATATTTAATTGGGTTACTATGCCTACGGTAATATTTTATTAAATAATTTGTTTCATATTGTATTTACATCACAGAGTTTAGAATGTGCAAGGATAATGGTATGTTAACATAGAGGGAACCATATATTTGTGTCTCAAGAGAAATACCTTATACTTAATTGATATAACTATCCTTTTTACCAGACTTACACAGTTAAATAAGAGAAGATTAAACCGCATTACACTTCAAATTAGTTGAGAAGTAACTTACAGTTAGCGTTATTACTTTGACACAATATGTACAGTATTCAGATCATTTTGAGAAAATGTCATAACTCATTTACAATCTACTTCTTCTGTAAAGTTAATAATAATTATTGTATGTCGTTGCCAAAGAATCCCTCAGGAAAACTCGGCGACGGATTTGATGTGAAATTTGGGAAATTTAGAGATTGTTGAGGTATGGTAATCTGAGGTGCTTGATTTGTGGGTATCTGTGGCTGATATTGGTTACTGAACGGTTGGAACATGTTGTTGTTTGGTTGAAAGAACGGTGAGAACGATGTTTGATATCCGGTGTCAAACATATTGTTACCGAATCCTTGGAATGTAGGCGTCGTTATTTGTTCAGGCAATGCTTCTGAAGCCTTCACTTCAGACACTTCTGTAGGTTCAGTAACCGTCTTGGCGTCTTCGGCCGCTTTGAGTTCGGCTTCTTTCTCGGCCTTTGTCTTTCTTCCTCTCTTTTTAGGTTCCTTCGGTTCTTCTGTAGCTGGTACCGGCTTTGGATCGGCTCTTCGTTTCTTGACGTGAGCTTGTGGAAGATCAGAGATGTCCAATAACATAGCTCCACCTTCTCGTTTTGCCACTGTCCGTTGAAACTTCTTGGGTTCGTTGCTGAATCCCGCTGATAACTTTGCTGGGTTCACTGACTTGATGCCTCTCATCGGTACTACAACAGTCTTGACTTTAAAAAATAGTAAACTTACAACTAACGTCCATTTTCCTCTGATTATTCCGCATTCTGATTGGCAGACTCGAAACATAACTGGTAACTGGAGCTTTCTTGTGCGTACTTGGATCACGTAAAGCATCAGCGGCTGAAAATATACAAACATACTTAAAAAGAATACAAATCCTTACTTTTCAAAGCTTCCTCCATCAATAACTTAGACCTCGGTGCCTTCCTTAACTTAAAATGTTGTTTAGGTTCGTCTCCAGTATACCCATACATCATTTTTGTTGTCTGCGGAGTTGCTATCACAAAGTTTTCTGGCACTATCTTATTGTTTAGAGAAGATACTGCAGTAGATACTAAAATTAAAGAATTTCAAAACTGTAAACAAATATTTAAATATGAATTTCGTCCTAAACAATTAATTAAAATCAGTAAAACTATCAAAAAATAAACAATTCAGGACTACGCAAAATAACTTACAAGAAGAAGCCAGTTCTTGCACTGTCTGTGTAAAGTTATCTCTAGGGCTTCCAGATGAATGCTTGAGATATTTTCTTGCTGGATAACACGAATATAACTCTGCCATTACCCGTACCCATTCACTAGTATCTTGTTGAGCAATGTGCAATATGTTTTCCAACGGCTCTCTCCACTAAAAGTCAAAGAAACTAACAAACTCGTGAGGTCTTACCATTTCCAGCAGCTTCGGAGACAAATAAAGAATCGACTGAACCAACTTCAGCTTGGCATGCATGTCAAGAGCATTGAAACAAGAAGATAACTCTACTATAACATCTTTAGATAAAACACCAGCGGCTTGTCTACTGCACCAATGCGACTGTGGATCTCCTAATTTTGTATTCAACCATTTCACAAGATCCATTCCTTTTAAGTTTGCTGCGGGGTGTGCCATCTTGACTCTAAAAAATTATAAAATGTAAAATCATAGTATACAATCAATAATATTTCAAATGACAATCCAAGTTATGCCATTTTAAATCAATTATATCGTTAACGCAAAGTTCAACAAAATTTCGACAAAAAATAAATAGTGCGACAAAATGCCACACGTATCTTTCTTTGGTTAGCATTCTTTGTTTTCGTGGTGAAACGAAAAATAACGGCCCATTTTGTTTTTTTTCTGAAAAATTGGCCTTGAATCGAAAAAACGGCCAAACCAGTGGATGGATAGCCTTGACCCTGAAGCTAACGGGACGGTTAAGATGTTTTTGTCTGATAAAGAATGTATATTTTATTTTTTTAATTGTTTTTGGGGCAAAATTGCTGGGAATGTTGGAGGAACGTGCATTTCGCGTCGTTTTGTGGCTGAGCTCGGCGTCATTTGAGGTTTATATTCCAGTAAATCTGTTGTCCCTCTAATTGTAACTAAAGTTTGTATAATTTACTAACTGCTTTGACGTTGTAAATGAGAGGGTAAGTTGCTTTTGAAAGGTGTTCGTTTTTTCCATCAGTTAGATTTTTCTATTTTTGAGAATAGAATTATAATATTTGGTATTAGAGCATCATGTTTCCTCATTAGACATAAGCATATTGTTTACAAGAATAGGTAGAGTGCACGTGAAAGCTTCTGCAAGCGATTCTTTTGATGGAAACGCTTTGAAACGGTCGTTTACTGAAAATACCATTCGATCTGCAAACTTATTTGTTGCCCTATCAAATAACTTCATTATCAGTTCATTCGTCGAGCAGTGATGCTTAGTTTGGATGTTTTAAAATAGCAATTCATTAATATTTTTGACAGAATTTAAAGTTCTAGGTATTCTTTTTAGTAATGCTTTAGTTTTAGGTAATTTTATGTAAATTTTACGAAAAATATTTTTGTTTAGGTTTTCAGAAACATTTTGCAGATGATATTCTAAATAACTTTATTTTAATACCTTATAATTTAATTATTTTTACAATATAAAACTTGATTTTAATTTCTCTGTTCAGACATATGTTGTTGTTACTTTTCAAACCCTGGGGACGTCTAAACTTTTTGAGAAATAAACCTGGCCGGCTTAAAGAGAAGGCGTTCGGAGCAGACTAGGTGCTATTTCCTCTTGCTTCACGTTGTCTTCACATGCGTCACGAATAGTTTTGTTCCTAAAATTTGGCGAAATCGAGTGCAGTTTAAAGTTAAGATCAGTTTTCAGGGTTAATAAAATGTGTTGTCATTTGTTTTTGGTATCTATGGCCTGATAAAAGAGGGAAGATTATTTTTGTGGATGGCGGGCAGGTTAAATTTTTGTTTACGGAGGTGGTAGATCTTTTTATTTGAAAACTGGTCTTTTAAATATTTTTTTTGCAAACTGAAAATAAGATTTTTGAATAATTTTGAAATTTATTTCAGAATTTTTTACCTAATTTTATTCAAAAACTATTAAACAAATTTGTAAAATAGGAAATAGAATTTAGAATGTTTTTGTTTTGTCATCGGACCGTCACAGTCCACTTATGTCATTAAAGGCGATATTCAACAGCCCTCTTGATCTTTCATCAAAGCTATGATCTCATTTTCTTCCATTTTGAAACTAAAAAACTCCGGCGAGAAGGTTGGAAAACGGCCGTGAAAAGGTCTAGAACACAACAAAAACGCGCTGATAAGTGACCTGTAACGACCTGCTTTATATTATAGTAGTTTGTTACATTATCGCTTTATTTAGCGCTTAACTATTACTAGTCATTTTATTTTCATTATTTGTCTAGTCATTATTGGGTGGATTAACTACCGCATATGTAAAAGTTTTAACTTTGTTACCTAAAATAGGTTCTATTTTGGTATCTAAAAATATATTTGTTCTACCCATTCTATTTTATTTTCTAACAATAATATTATTCCATAATTATTGATAATATATCCTTATTATATTACTGTTGAAAGCGTTTTGATTGGAAACTTGTTAAAACATTGTAAATGGCATCTTATTGTAGATTCCCACCGAAGACGTCAACGGAAAGCATGTCCAAGTTGTCAGCTCGTTCGTTGCGGAGTCTGCAACTTCTCCGACAACCGGCTTCGGCCCTCTCTGTTGCTCACTTCAGTCAAGTTGCTACGTAAGTTTTTTAATATTATTATTGATGTTTTTAGGTTGAATCTTAGATGGTGCTAGATATATTATTCTTTTCATTTTTAAAACGCATAGTAAGTGTTATTTAAAAAAGGTTAACTTGGGGTCAAAGTATTATTTTATTTCTCAAAAAGAAACCTTTTTTATCAGAAAAGACGTTTTTATACGTTTGATGTTGTGTAATGTAATTTTAATGAGAAAAACGAATGAGAAAGGAAATTGTATAACAATTTAAGAACAATTGTATGATAATGTAAGAGAAACTGGATGGAAGGTGTTATGTTTGATGTGTAAAACCCTAGAGTACACTTGTTGAACGTGACTACAAACTGATTTGTATAAAAGTATGCAAAGTAATAGTAAAGGTTTATAAATCATCACGTGAATTATCAAAGTACTTGATAAGGCTGTTTACATTAACTGTTTTATATGGTTTAGCATGACTAGTTAATATTTATATGTGTTACACAACAATTTGCAATAAAAATAAATTACAACAGTAGATGATATACAAAATAACAGACGAAATTTGTAGAAAGAACATCTACAAGTTCAAGCCATTGACGACAAACAGTGTCAATGTTCTGTTCAACGGGAAATGGGTTCGTTTCTACAGCAGTAAGTTTATTTTTACAGATATTGTAGCAGTTTGGATTAGGTCGCGCTGTTTTGAAATGCTTGAATTTATTGAAATAGTTTTTGTTTTCATTCGAAATGATCGAGTTTCCACGTTAAATAGACTTTTCCTCAGGGCAAATGTGAATATTTATTTATGTTTTTACTTTGTGGTGCAGATCTTCAGCACGTTCACCATGACGGTAAAGCGTTATTATGTGAGATTTAAAACATAATTTTTAATTTAAAACAAGAATAGTTTATGTTAATTTAGCTTATTATCAGTAACTTGTTAAATTCACAATGTTTTGCCAATCATTAATTTTTTGTTTTCAGCCGACCTACCAGAACATGTTAAAGTAACACTACCAGCACTGTCGCCTACAATGGAGATGGGAACGATCGTATCTTGGGCTAAAAAGGAAGGTGAACAAATTCAGGAGGGAGATTTGTTGTGTGAAATTGAAACCGACAAGGCCACGATGGGCTTCGAGACGCCAGAAGAAGGTTATCTGGCCAAGATTCTGTTGCCAGAAGGAAGCAAGGATGTACCTATTGGAAAGGTAAGTCTCTCCTGGTTAACTTTAATGTCATATCTAATTTTTAGCTTTTGTGTATCATCGTCGAGAATGAAGCTGATGTAGCTCCATTCAAAGACTTTAGTGCTTCTGATTCAGCTGCTCCAGCTGCACCAAAACCATCAGCCCCAGCTCCAGCTGCTGCTCCAACACCAGCTCCATCTACCCCTTCATTTACCCCACCCACAGCTGCCGTATCACCAACTTCAGCTGCCTCAGCTCCTCCAGCTAGCGGTGATCGCGTCAAAGCATCGCCTTATGCAAAGAAACTGGCAGCCGAACACGGTGTACCTCTAAGTCAGCTTAGTGGTTCTGGTCCAGGTGGAAGACTGATCGCTAGTGACATTTTAAATGCTGCTCAATCTGGAGGTCCTGCTCCGCCAGCTCACGGTGAGTTCTATTAAAGACTAAGCAATCGGGGTACTTCTTAAAAACTTGTTTTTAAGCAAAAAATGTTGCATTTAGGTCATTTAAAGGATTAGGTACTGATTTAGTAATATCATGACATTGTATTTTAGCTGCTGCCTCAATCTCGCCAGCGTCTAGTCCGAGTGCAGCCACTGGTGGTGCTCCTCAACATGCTTCATACCAAGACATTCCTTTGTCGAATATGAGAAAGACTATTGCCAAACGGCTGTCAGAGTCTAAGTCTACAATCCCCCACTACTACTTGACCAGCGAGATTGTAGTAGACGATTTGCTCAAGATCAGGGAGAAACTGAACCAGATCGTCGCCGCCGAGTCAGGAAAGGACGAAAAGCCGCACAAAATCTCGATCAACGACTTCATAATCAAGGCCTCTGCCTTGGCCTGTTTGCGTGTCCCTGAAGCCAACAGCTTCTTTATGGACTCCTTCATCAGACAGAACAACCAGGTGGATGTGAGTGTAGCTGTGTCCACTGATAAGGGTCTTCTCACACCGATTGTCTTTGATGCTGATTCCAAGGGAATTCTGCAGATCAGCAAAGAAGTGCAGGCATTGGCTGCCAAAGCTAGGGACGGCAAGTTGCAACCTCAGGAATTCCAGGTAAGATATACTTTTTAAGTGAACATTGTCATACGAAATTTGTACATTTTATAGGCTTTAGTCATATTATTTTTGTTGTATTACTATGTGATTTTATAAATATTGTTTTAGGGAGGTACATTCAGTGTGTCTAACTTGGGTATGTTTGGAAGTGTAGACCATTTCTCTGCCATTATTAACCCTCCACAGAGCTGTATCTTGGCCATCGGCGGAGCTTCGAAGAAATTGTTGCCAAGTGAAGATGGGTAAGTCATAAATATGTTTTTTAATTAAAAATTTTTGAGTTTTGTGTTATGATGTACAATGACATTTAATTTTTGACCAAAGTTTCAATTTTTTCAGACACCGACAAGTAACAACGGTAAAAGTGACTCTCAGCTGCGACCACCGTGTTGTTGATGGTGCTATTGGTGCAGTCTGGCTGAAACACTTCAAGAGCTTTTTGGAGAAACCTCACACAATGCTCCTCTAAGCCCGTTGGTCGACCAATTTAGTATCTATTAAACTTATATTGTTAATTGAACATGTGGCTAGAGGGTGGTCTAGTATACTTAGTGGATATTAATGTAGTTCCAAGCTTTGTAGACTAGTAAATGTTTGTAATTATGCAAAAGGCTATCTTGTTGTGTAGCTTATTAGGTATTTACAATAAGATTAGCCTAATTTAGGGTGTTAGCAACTGTTTCTGCTGTTTTAAGTTGTAATAACTGTAGTAAGGTAGCTAAAAAATAAGTTGGTGACATAGCTAAAGTAAAGTCCACATGTTCAGAATTGGTCGGTTAATGACATAGGACCTTACACTTGTTTGTTCTTGTTTATCTATTGGTCTAATAAAACAACTAGGTATTTTCTATTCCCCGTGATAGTTGGTTATTTTGGTTGTATTTTATATAGCAATAAAATTTTAAAATCATACGATCGTATCTTGTTTGCGTAATCTGTAAAAAGTAGTTTGTGGCTTGTGTTTTAGTAGTGCACGATCCTTATTAATGATATTATATTACCTAATGTAGTACGTATGGTTCTAAATCCTCCATTACCATGGAATAAATATTTATTATAACAGTAACAAGGCATGTAGCTTGTATAAATAACTTGAGATCATTTGTAACAACCAGTATACTGTAACCGAACATATTTACATTACATCCACGTTAATAGTAAAGTAAAGTCGTCAGATAGCGCTGTAATGTTATGAGGTATGGTTATATTTTGGATATGTTGTGGACTTACCCTCTGACGCTACTGTGACTGACTTGTAGCCACACAGCTACCACGGTGAAGACGATGGATACCATCTAAAACATAATATAGGTATAGGTTTTCCAAGTTTGTAAATGTTAAAAAATCGGTAAATACGTCATTTTATACATAATATTTACTACAGTAGAATTGTTGTAACTTACAGTTAAGAGCGCAGATCTGTCCATATGAATGAACTTCCCCATGGTTAATCCCCAGTTATTGTCATTGAACTTTTGAATCAGCTGATCTTTCTGAAATAACTTTTTAAAACTGTTCAAAATGACCTAAAACAATCAAACGTGGCAGTAACTTCGAATTATAATCTACATCAACATACCACGTTTTTGGCGTCATCTGGAGCCAGCTTGTTCAGAATCAGAGGCTGCGCTTCTCGCGACTTCTCGTTACAGTAGATCAGTGACAGTATGAACATGATGGTCCACACAAACCTCATCAGCCATCCGATCAGAAGCAGCGAGAACTCCAGAAGTTCCCAGAACTCATCGTTCCACCGTTCCGTCTTCGTTTCTCCGATCACGAGCTTGGCGACATCAGCTTCTTTTGTATAAGGACTGGTACAGTATCGCATCAGAATGTACCATCTCAACGTGATTTCTGCCAGTTTTGAAGCCAATATCACGAAGACGGTTTTGTTATAGGTACGCTCGGTTTGAGCTTGAATTCGCTCGACACGGCGGAACTCCTGAAAACTTGAAGTTACAAGATGTACTACAATAGCATAGTACTTTAATGTTGTGGTATTTTTTGTGTGCATAAAGTCAATATACAAGTATAATATTCAATAAACAAAATAAGATAAAAATGACATTAAAGGCTAGTAAAAGGGACTGCTGCTTACCTCAAAGAACTTTGTCAGTCGGTCCCTAGTTAGTTTCTTTCGACCGATGACACGTTGAGCTTCAGCAAACATCAACCCATTTTCGATAGCTATCATCATTATCATCACCTGAGGCACTTTCATCACAATGAAAGCCATCAGATTGTAATATCTTCTGTCAATCTCTAAGAGCAACTAAAATTTTAAATTTTATATGAATTTTTCTTTTTTATATAGTAATTTTGAACAGTAAATAAATTACTGTGATATAAAATTGGGAAGTTATTGAAATGATGAAGTATTATATACATTACAATACAACGAACACATTTAACAAACTTATGTAAATTTTAGGCATCGAAATAGTCATTAAACCTACATGAGTAACGAAATCCTTGACCTCACCATCAAGAAACAGGAAGTCGTTGTCCAGAACGTTGGTGCGGGCAAAGTTGTAGTGAATAAAGTCGAGAGTGAGCACTTGGCCAAAGTGAACTAGCATAACTAACCCAAAGGAAATGTTCAATATGTACATGATGGAGGACCACTTTCGTATCCTCTGGTGGTTGTTCGAGTCGATGATGTCTTGTTTCTTGTTACTCATCAGATACAGCAGTCTGTCAGTGCCCGGAGAGTTCAAGGCTGTGGCTATTATCACCATCAGTGGAGCTACTGATCTGAAACGACATTACCTTAAGTCTGAGTTACTCTATAAGTCTGAGATAAAATAGGTATTTACCAATATTTAAATATTTATTTTAAAATTTCGAATTTAAATTTAATTTTTTAATAAAAATTTGAACTTACGTCACTAAGGTTTGAAGCCATTTAGCTTTGTCCTTACTACTCCATAGACCTTTTGAGTTCGCTGAGAATATTCTGATGTATATGTGATTCACACATACGAAGATGTTGAATATGCAAATGATCAGGTCGATCACGTTGATTCTGTCTCGAAATCTAAAAATAAAAATCTATCACAAATTTAACCACCCTTTTTTCCACTTTTCCCTAGTGCTAACTGGATGTATTATATACCACTACCAATGCATACCTCTCCTCCTTTTAAACTGTCTCCATTTTCAACTTCTTATCCAGACCATAATAAACATTAAAACCAGGTCTACAAGTAGACTTACCTCAACTTTTTACACTCAGTAGTACTACAGTAATAGGGGGCCTTTACTGGGTGTATCCCACATAACCTTCCGACGTATATCACGAATGCTCCCATGATACGACGCTGTGTCTTCTTGATCTGTTCCTGATTGACCACCTGTTCGTTGGTGGGTCCATCTGATGATGACATGGATTCTTCTGTCTCTTCTGTATCTGCATCAGCGTCATCTTCCGCTTCTGTCAGCCAAACTCGCTCCTGAGCATCTATCGACACTTTTTTCATCATCTAAACGTCATGATGTTATTAAAAGTTGTAAAAATAAGTCTCACATCAAAAAATATGTTATAATATAACAATAGTAAATTGGATATAAACTTATAAATAGTAAATGAAAGTTGAGTTATCAATATAAGGGGTCTGTTGCACTTTGAAACAGTATAAACACAAGGTATAGATATAGTACAATATGAAGTAATATGACTGATACAAAGTAAAAATTGTTCTATTAAAAGTAAATTACATTACAATGAAATTATTCAATTGTTACACCCCAACTTTTAAATGTAATTGTACTTTGTTATCGTTCTATCGATGAACTATATATCAAAGACTAAAGTATAATATACAAAATTTATAAGTTACAAATGACAACATTTGCTGTATACCTTATACAAGTATTTACAAAAAGAAGTTATATAAACCCATTTAAAACACGTTTTTTGTAAGGGCCGAGAACCCGACTCGACAGGAAAAAAAGTCAATGTCTCAGAAATGCCTAAAAATTGAATATATGTTTCGTTAAATAGCTAGAAATTTAAAAATACAAAAAAAAATTTTCGAAGTTACAGTATCATGGAGTACTGTAGCTTGACCTCATTTTTCATAACTCAAGAACAAAACGTCATACAGACATGCGGTTTTCACCATAGTGTTTGTCGTTGTCGAAAACGTATTTTTTATTATTACATCAAGTTTCTATCATTGCGGGAAAGTGTTGAAAAATTTGCATATTTACGCGCGGTTACAGTAATCTTTTAGTTTCTCAAAAACGGTCCACAGTGCCATTATTTTTTATTTCACATTCTTCAAGTACGTTTTCTTGCGGTTCTAACGATACCATCCGCTTGTTCCAACACCGGTGCGAATGTGTTCAAAATTTGAGTTAAAGGTACCCCCTTAGGGTAAATATGCCTTTTTTTATATAATAACTCATGTTTTTTAATGTATATGTTTGTTTTTTGTTTTAAATTCATTTACAAAACTTTTATTAGTATGCTTGGTACTTTTGGCGACACAAATTTGCATAAAAAATAAAGTTGCATATTTCAGGAAATACAGTAACCCTACTACTTCTTTTAAAATTTCCACTGTGCCATTATTTTTTATTTTGCTTGTTTAAAGCACATTTTTTTGCGGTTCTAACGCGCCTATAGACTTGATCCAAAACCGTGGACAACTATCTTAAAATTTGTGTTTAACCTAACATGTTAGGGCAGTTTTGCCTGTTTAGAATGTTTTCAACGTTTTTTGTTGAAAGATCATCTTGGATGTTGATGACAATACATAGTTGCATTATAAAATACATCTAAAAATTTAAAAATACAAAGTACAGTAATCCTTTACTTCTTTCTTTACATTGTTCATACCGAAAGTACAGTATTTAAAGGGACATTCAAAGGTAATTACATTTTTTCATGTTTCGAACGTGTCCATCTTCGTGTTTAAGGATCGGGATTGTTGAAGTATAAAATTATGATTTAACTTACTTATGAGCCAATTTATGAAAACGAATTTGAAGAAATTGTTGACGACATTATAAACAACGATGACACAAAAGATTTGATTGCTTTCATAAATAACATCATGTAATTTTTAACAAACTATTTCACACTGAAAAAAAAAATATTGTATTTTTAAATTTCTAGCTATTTAACGAAACATATATTCAATTTTTAGGCATTTCTGAGACATTGACTTTTTTCCTGTCGAGTCAGGCATTCAATTTGCTCAATTCTTAGAAAAAACGTGTTTTAACGGTATAAATACCCATTTAACTGTTTGTAAAGCACATAAAATAGCAGCACATTGTAGCTATACATACCTTATAGTTGCTGTTCATGTTAGTATCACAATGTAGCACCCACTTCTCAATACAATATTGAACTTTACAATACTCGACCTAATACTGCTCTCTCCTATCACAATATGGCCACCCCGATAGTAATCTCTTAGCCGCAGGCCTAATGTGCTTTCAAAACACGATGATGTTTTAGTAGACTCGACCAGTTGAGAAAAACGGTCGAATTAGAATATCTATTAGAGTATTAATCGTATAAACGTTCTCAACATGCCACTTCGAATTATTTTGAAATTTTGCCTCGAGGCCGGAATTAAACCGGTCGATTCGGAATACCTCGTGGCTAGGAAAAAGGTCGATGTCACAGAAGAGGAATGTTATGTTAGGAGAGTCGGAAAACAAACCAGAGCATAATTGGCATAGTAATGTCAGTTACAAGAACAAAATAAAGTTGGTCTACTAAAGAGACTCAGACGGCTGGCTACACTTGGTATCATAAATAAAGATAGGCAGACTACGCTTGCCATCTCAAATAGATATATAATATGTGCAAAGAACAAAATTTTATATGATTGACGTGTAAGTTATAGCAAAGTAATCGATGCTTTAGACGCATTATAGCCATTATATAAAATGGCATGCTTTAGACTTTCTTCGCTTTGCTAAAAACATCCAAATTTACAAAAAAAAATTTTAAATTTTACTAAGATAAAGGTATTTATACGACAACTATTATTGCCATACCCGAAAATGTCGCCTTACTTTCTCCCCCTCACCCTGCTACTCCCACACTAACTCAACAAAAGTTACGCTCTTGACAAAAAAATAACACGGTAGGTCCTAGTTACATACCTACCTAACATAATCTACCCTAACCATAAATTAAATGTTATATGACTTGTGACATACGTTAAGATTTTTGCCCAAATTTCATAATTTATATCGTAATAATAAAGTCCATGTGCTTGACACAAGGTGGAACCAAATTGCAATTTAACGGTTTAAAGAACGAGTAATGAGATTGAGCTAAACTGTACAATATAGTGGCATTTCATCACCGTAATCAAATTACAATTGTAATCAAAATTTAATAAATAGCAAAATCTTTACACTTTTAATTGTATGTAACGAATACACGGTCATACAATCGATTATTATATTTACAGAACATAAAGTAAAGAATATTATAGTCTTTATACAGTAATTTTCTACTCCACATTATTAGAAAACCTCACTCCCCTTAGACCTAGCAGTCTAGGCCTAGCTAGCACCAAAAGCTATGCTACAACATTACACAATCTCCAAAACTACAGTAACATAACCTAATAAAAATCACGTCGCCTTACGGCACTGCTCCAAATGCAAATACGTTTCAAATCCAAACTCGAGTTTAATTTAAATGCTTAATTGGCAAAAAATTTCAAAAATAATTAACTCATTGGGTTAAGAGGTCAAACTGGGATAATTTTCAGTGCCAGACTGAAACAAAAAACCTCAAAATTAAATTATATAAAAGACATCAAAGTATCTTACTACAGTGTTCGAACTTGCACTATATTTTGCAAAATAAAGTTTCTAGTTAATTAAAAACATTATTTTGCAAAAGTTTTAAAAGTTAAATTTAAAATAAATTGTTCATCAACTTCGCTCTCTTACTTTACATTTTCCAAATCTACTACAATGTAAAATATGTCAAAAGTTGCTTTCTTCAAAAGTACACAAAAGAGTCTAGACAAGTTGTTACTCCGTCATGTCGTATAATAATGAAAAACATGTTCACGTACGTAGATGTACGCCTGAGTAACAATAAAATAAATTAAGAAACAAAAAAACATTTGGTCAGTGATATCTGAAGTAATACTAAGAAAGACATTGTCAGGAGATGGAAGTTAAGATAGCACCTCAAAGTTCGTAAACAATCAACTGCTTGTGTCAAATCTAACATATCCTGAGCCGGGCGTGGAAAACACAAAAGCAGAAGACACCCCCCTAAATTTCAAAATTTTTAACGGAAGGTAAGGGAGAGGAGATGGAGAATTACGTTACAGTAAAGTATATTTACAAAACAAAACCTTCTGGAGCATCACATGGCTAACACAAGTAAAATATTTACAACTGTAATTACATTACCTCAAGACAAAAAACTTCTCAGAATATTTAGAAACAGACCTCCTATGTTCGTCTACGTATGTTGCTTATGACATCGTAGTAAACTTTAAAACCATGAGCCACAACAAACGTTATAAGCTTCAGATTTGGCTGCTAATATAGTGTTATTACCAAAAATAATTTCCAATTTTTAATTATTTACAGTATATAGGGTATGATTTGGAAACTACTAGAAGGTTATGTTATGAAAAGCGTGGTTGTATGTTTGATTACCCAGTTTACATAACATATAAGTTAAACAGCATTTGGTATTATCTCTATTCGTCTAATTAATGCCAAATTTACAGTTGATTGACTTTGTCACAACGTACTTCCTGGTACATATTATCTTAACGAAAAATCCTACGAATTTTAGATGTAGAGTTGTATAATACGTTGTCGAGATATATATAAGACCTTAAAAATCTATTAAGAAATCTTGAAAAGCTATTATACTTGTTATTCCCTTACAGTAAGCCCATAAACAACCCTCAAATGCCCTCAAACCTATATAACATACCCGCTTATATAGCACTATATATAACTGCTCGGTACACATATGCTTTCCAAACGTTTACAATATGCTTAATATTATATAACACACGAACAAACAATTCCTGGAAGTTTTGTTATTTTAATTTTGAGATTTTAAAACTTTGAAACGACGCCCTGAGGCTAATTCTGTTTCCACCACAGATGAGTACGATGCTGGCTAATTGCTTGAGAAAGACAAACATCAGGAATGGACTGACAAATAAACGTAGCAGTAATAAAAGTGTAATAAGACAAAGATTACTGATTGAGTTACCATGATAACTATATATAATGTGATTATATGTGGTACGTTTGTTATAGTAGATTTGTATTCTCAGAAAACTGTTCTGACGAAGTTGTCATAAAAACGTCTTTCTAACAGCGTTTCTAATGAAAAAATGGAAAAACATCCATTTAATATAATGCCATATCAAACTATAACAATATAAAGCCTAAAAATAGAAAGAAACAGTAAAAAGGTCTACAGTTTTACTAACTTCTTTTATCTAGCAAATGAAGAAACATTGGCAATAAGGCTCCGATCTCAATTAAACCTCCCAAGGCAAACAGGAAGGAAACGTGCACAAGATAATTTTTATTTGACTAGAAACAACTGCAGAGTCATGATGACCAAACAAAAGTGTCGCAATTCTAATATTATAAGGAATCCGCCAACTTCCGACGCCAAAAATAAATATTTTTATCGAAATTTTATTTTTAAAACATATGGATTTTGTCCGCCCTATAATAACTGAAAATATAAATTTATAAAAAAATGCTAAAAATTAAAATTTTTCACTGATTCACAAAAACATGCTTTTGGTCACGATTCCTTTCTTACTGTATTTTTTATAAGCGGCTGTTTCGAGAACGGTTGTGTTACATCCATCTTCGATTCGGTACGATTATGGAGCGCAACTTTCAGATTCAAGTACAGCCGAAAGACAGAGTAAGTACTGTAATATCAACTAAAAATATATTTTATTTTTTTGCATAAAATTTTTGTGTGTTGTATGACTTTTTTTGATTGCCTTTTCCAGAAATGGTTATTTTGTTTTAAAACTTTGAAACAGTAAGTTTTTAAAGCAATTTGTAACTACGAATTTTTAGGTAACATTCTCTGGAGATTTGAGTACCGAAGTAGTTGCCAGTCTCCGTCTGACCAACAAAAGTGATTCTCGACAAGCCTTCAAAGTCAAATGTTCTCGGAATGACCTGTTCAGAATCCGACCGGCTACTGGAATCTTAGACTTTGGACAAACTATGGATATCAAGATAACCTTCAAGTCAGTATTTTCTTTACAAAAAAACCAACAAATCCATTTTTTGGTTCAAATATTGAGTTTTCTATGATTTGTGCAACATCACGCCGGCAGCTAGCCAGCCACGTTCTAAAACTTCTGTTTTTCTCGACGTTTAAAATAACTTACCACTTTTAGACCAAAGCCCGACTATACTCCAATATCTGAGAAGCACCACGTTGGAATATACCACATTCCAGCGCCAGAAGGATCGACTTGTACTGGAGCTTGGGCCGAACACTATGGACCGCCTCAGGGCGAAGCTCGTTTTAAGGTTTACTTCGACAAATAAACGTTCTTTGATCGAATAAACGATTTACTGCATACAATAGAATAACTTTCTTACTATCTTATCCGTCGTTAAAATAAAAATAAATAGTTGTAAATAATATAAAATAAAAAAATTCTAAACTAAAAAATCAATTCGCAATCCGTTGGTAAAAATATTGTAAAAGCTCCAACATTTGTGAGTAGCAACTAAAAAGATGATTTTAATTTTTTTATTATGTATATATTATTGCAGCTGTATAACTACACAAACAAAGGTTCATAAAGCTTCCACTACTTCCACAGATCGAGTACTACTCTTCCAGTAATTTTGTTGGAGTGCATCTTCTCAAACACGTTACTCAGCTCTTCCAATGGTAACACTTGTACTGGTATGTTGACCAGGCCTCGTTGTAAGAACTTAAGAGCTTCGTCTGTGTCTTGTCTACTTCCTACGTAACTTCCTTTTACCGTGATCGCTCGTACCACTGTCCAAAACACATCGACTGGCACTTTGGCTTCTCTAGGTAGTGCTACTAGTACTACCGTTCCACGAGTACGAACATAGTGAGTAGAGTCCTCCATTGGCTTAACTGCCGTAGCGATGTTGATTACACCATGTGGTCCGCCTTCTGTCATCATCTGAATGTCTGATACAAGGTTGGGAGTGTCAAATGGGTCAATAAACATGTCAGCTCCAAAATGGCGACAATGGTCTTCCTTCTCTCCCACGTCGATGGCCAGTACTTGTAACCCCATGGCTTTGGCATACTGTATACACAACGATCCCAATCCTCCGCCAGCTCCAGTAATCGCTAGAGTCTGACCCGCTTTAACGTTGGACTCTTTGATGGCTTTGTATACGGTAACTCCAGCACACAAGATTGGAGACACGTTGACTAGATCGATTCCGTCGTGGATCTTTGCAGCTTCTGTAGCTTTGACAGCAGCGTACTGTTGAAAGGATCCGTCACGGTGGAAGCCGCTTAACACAACGTCGTTACAGTTGGGCTCATTTCCTTGTTTACATTGTTCACAGGTCAAACACGAACCATTGACCCACTGAAACCAACAATATAATATTCACATGTGACTACATAGAATTGTAAACATAAAAAAGCTATCAATAATCAGAAAATGTTGAATAAGAAAGATACCTCACCTTGATTCCAGCTCTGTCTCCGACCTTAAAGTTGGTGACGTTTGACCCGACTTTGACCACGATTCCAGCTCCTTCGTGACCTCCAACAATTGGCATTTCCTTCGCTTCCAAAGGAAAGTCTCCCAACCAAACGTGCAAGTCAGTATGACAAACTCCAGAGTAGATAACCTTCACTAAAACATCATCTGGTCCAATTTCTGGAATCGGAATCTCTTCCAATCTATATTGTCCTCCAAACTCATAGAATACAGCAGCTCTTTGTGTTGAGGGAATTGGCTGGGCCAGTACGCGATCCTCTTCAATGCTCCTGAATCTGGCTTCTTCGTGAGTGTACAATGCAGCGACTTCTGGTTGAAGCAATGAAGCAGAGAAGGTCCTGGCATTCTGAATAAACTTCTGAGACTTCGGCTGATGTTGAAATGACTTGGAATTGTGATTACAGCATGATGACGATGCACGGATACTGTTTAATCCAATTTTGTAGAGATTAAAGTTGGCCTGTGATGCCAATTGACGATGGTTGGCAACAAGCAGAGTTGTCAAACGGTGAAGGCGCATACTAACCATGATAATATTACAATCTAGAATAAAAATCGTTATCAATGTTCAACAAAATACGCTTATTAAAAACCATCACGTTGCAACATATCATCTAAATTAAACAAAAGTCACTCTAGTTATAGTAACACAATTCTAACTTAATATAATGTACACCTCATACCCTAGACAATATAAATTCAATTTAACCATGCCAATCAAAACTCAAGCTCGGCTATAAAGATCAAACAGATCTAAATTGAATGGCGGAACCGTTTCACACCTTCCGTGATTCAAAAACTACTAGAAAAGAGGCGGAGAAACAGAATTCACGTACTTTGAACAACGTGGCAGCCTTGTGCTGATCATAGCAGTTTTTTATTGAATACAAGGTCAGAAAAATAAATTTAGATACCCTATAATTAGAAAACTTTATAATAAGAACTGTTAAAACAGTCGTCTTAGATAGTATGACAATAAAACTATTAAAAATATAACCAGTGATAAAAACGTTCTAGCTATCAACAACAATGCTACGATACTTTATATCATTATTTTCTAAAAACTATAAGTAAATAAACCATGTTCACCTTTTTTTATTATACATGATTCGGCAACAAGATAAACTCAACGATAAACTAGCCACGCGGATTTCCTTATATATGGTTTAAAATGGTTCTCGAAGGTGCATTTTGCGTGCATTTTTTATTATTTTAGCGCATTTAATCTCCAGTGATTGCGCGAAAGTTCAAGAATAATCTGAGGTCAAAAAAAGTTGCTGTCACAAATAAATCTAGAATAGTCTTTTTTATCTAAATATATCCATTTTTACAAAAGTTTCTATTTGTAAATTAGAAAAAATTAAAACATTAAAACGAAGAACATCGCAATTAAACTATCTTGTAAAAATATCGTCCTACTACAATAAGACCTTGTTTTTAATACCTTCCGATAAGACCAACGGCTCGTTATCGAAGGATACTTTGAAACACTGTTTTAGTAAACAAAATCAGTCTGTTTTATAGTTGTAGTCGGGATTAGAGAACAGACTTCTTTATACTACGTTTTTCAACTTCCTAATGCCTTGAACAAGCTCGAACTCCAAGATCATTTGTTCATTTGTCAAGGTTCATGTACGATTTGAATGAATGGTACTTTGAACGAGCCTCACGGAAGTGTTTGTTAACTCAAAAACCTCAGACAAAACATAAAAATCGGAAAAAAGTTTAAGAATAGCACGACAGTTCATCTCAAAGTTCAGGTGGAAACCAAAACTTTCTCAAAGCTTAGCTTGATCTAACTTATACTCCAAAAACACCCCCTGAACCATCAATTTCCTTTACCCAAAGGTACGATCCTTTTAAGCAGACTATAAACTCGATATCATCATCAGAACTCTCAGCATGCACGGCAAATTGAAAGTCCGATTGAACATGAAAAATATATGAATTGAACTGTACTTTGTGTGGTGAACGCGTTTTCTGAACGCGATTGAAAAATTAAGATTAAAAATCAAAATTTTCTAGTTTTTCAGCCACGTGGGCTGATGAGAAACTCTCGCGATCCAGTCCACTAGAAGTTTCTCACAAGTACAACAAAACACTTATTGTGACAAAATAAGTAAACCAAATAATCAACAACATTGCTAAATTCTTCTGGCTCCCAAATTCAATGTAAGGTTGCTTATTAATACAATGAAAATAGTATTATCAACTACGGCATCAACTACAAGATTTATAAAAAAAAGGTTTTTTTTACCTTGCATTATAAATCACTCAATGAATTAGAATATCAAAGACTGTTCATTATAAACTAAACGCCGACATGAAAAATTTGTAGCAACTTCCCTGATGTCCCCTGAAGTTTCCGAATGATCTGCCTCGCCAATCACAAATTTTGCCACGGCTTGTAACAGCACCTTTTTCCTTTTTCGTAACAACACAATATATCACACAATTGTTTACAAATTTCGAGTACATGCTACAACAAACAAGAAAAAAGTTCTGAAATTCAAATTCAGCCTTCATACCATGATTAATATTACTGATTCTGTTTTCATATTGCTTCACACTATTAATATATCATTAAAACCGCATTCACACATTTTCTTCGTATATAATCGAAGGAAGTGCTGTCAATATTTTGTTGGTTACATTACTCATAAACATGTTTACCTAATCCTGAAATAACAATATTTTAAAGTTTTTTCTGAAAACATACCCTAGCCTACTTGAAATATAACCTCTCGTGTCAATTGTGCTAATTTTCACCCTAACGTGATAGTGCAGTTTTGAACATTTTTAATGACAAACTTTATCATGTTTTAAAGCCGTGAGACTTTAGTTTGACAGCTGTAGCACTAAATACGCCACTTAACAAGCGTTAATCATCCAAAATGTCATAAAATGCTTGTATCTGATTTTAAGTAACCTTTTCCTCACAAAAGTGTCAAGAAAACAACTGACTGCATTTTGAGGTTAAAGATGGCACAAAAAAGAACAACGGCCGAATTTTGATGAAACAGGTTAGAAGGGAGGATTTTATGCAACCCCGGCTGACAAATCCGTTCCAGGCTGATTAATCTGTTTTTAGGGGTTAAGCTGGTCAAGCATGCCAGCAAAAAACCGTTGGAACTCATATTCGAACGTTTTATTTTGGGTATCTACTAAAAATAGTATTTTTTTCGCGTTCTTTGGCATTTTAAACGATATATTTGGTAACATTAGACCTTGTGATCAAGTTTTACTTGATAATTATTGTTTCCAACCTAGTTTATTTTAATTTCGTCTTCAAAACTAATTCAAAACCTCCACTTTTTTCAAATTTCAGTAAAGATTGTGAAACTAATATAAATTAAGGTAACAAACGACTAATTTTTCTTCAAATTTAAAACCCGCTGCTAAACCTAAGCCACATTTTTTAAATTCAAAACTCTAGGTAACAATTAAAACCCTCAAGGTATTCGAAATTAGTCACAGTGTCCATTTTACGACCATCTGTTGTCAATCCGAAACACAAACAAATATTGTCGTTAATCTTTTCTCATGAAACAAGTTCTTGATAACTGTTTCTACTCTCCAAAGTACAACAAAGTAAAATATCACCGTTGTTTTTTACAAAAACATCTCAAGCATATCCATCTAGATTCAGCGACAAACGTTCGCTTTTATTGTTTGCGCAGTATGGAGGTCTTGCTCAACAAGGTCTTAGGATTTAAAAGACTAGGTGTTCCAAAGCTAAATAGGTAACAAAATTGACTATATTTAATAAGAAAATAGATTTTAAAAGGGTGTTGAATGTTTAGACAACTAGTTTTATTTTATGGTAATTTGGTCAAGAAATAAATAGATAAATGAACAGAGGGAAACAAGTTAAAAATAGGAAGTAGTTCTACGTACTTTTCAACCAATATAATCAAAAAAACCCGTGAATTGTTAAATAAATCATAAAAAAAGCAATACGTGCTAAAGATTACTTTTTTCCTAATGTACAGATTTTTGTTTGGCCAAGTTTTGTTCTGTCGAGTCAAGTCTCTTTCTTTTATGAAATTTTGTCTGGAAAATACGTCATTATGATAGATAGTATTTTTTGCGAAATCTACTAAAAACTACTTTTATGTATATGCTTACAACTATAACACTTTAGAATTCAATAATTTTAAATTATTAATTATTTTTTAATATTTTTGTTAGTTTTGTTACATTTTTAATAATATTATTCATATTATCTTTAGTGTTTTGGCTATACACCAATCTTATAAAATATAGAAAATTCTATTGTTCTTTGTTTCTACTTTCAATTTCGTCTTGTGTTTACCATCAGAGAGAGGATCAAGAGTCGCGAGTGGGAATAATATTATTTTAGATCCCTCTGGTCACTTTTCGAATGATTCAATCGCTTTCTTAATTCAAATGCGCAATCAGATGTTAATTCCGAGCTTAATTGGGATTCAGACGGGTTTCTCTAATTGTTACCATTTCTTGTTAATGTTGTGTTACATTGATCTTGATATCTTTTGTTATATATTGTTGTAATCGGTTTTCCTGCGCGAGATTTGAATGGCATGAAGTATTGAAAGCATGTAAAATATTCTTTTATATGTTTATACCATTTTTTATGTCGTTTTTTAAATGTTTTGATTTTTCAAGTTTTAATTCGTGATACCTAATATTATAGTTATCTAAAAATCTACAAAACTTAAGACTAACGTTTTAGACATGGTAGAATATTTCTCACGGAGCTACCACACTCCGAATGATCGTTATAAACCGAATAACAATGCAGTAAATGGAGCAGTAACTAACAATATCAGATATTACACTGAAGATGAGCTCAATATTCCCATGCCAAATTCTTTTTTTCCTACTTTGTACAATGGAGAATTGACTTACAATTACTATCCCATGAGCAGTAGTACCAGCTCATCCAGTTATCAGCCGAGTTCTGATTATGTTCAACAAGAAGAAGAGTGGGACAGAGATGCATTACTTGATCCTTTGTGGGAACAGCAGCAGAAAAAGGTAAGAGTTTTTCAATTTTAATTCTAACTTGATAATAGTGTTTTTATTGACATATAATGTTAGTTTAGAGAGGAAAACGTTGGGAAACAGGTATAAGACAAGAAAAACAGTATTAGGTAACAACATTTAAAAATTTGTGAGTCAAAAATTTTTAAAACGGCTTTTTTGTAGTTTAGGTAATACCAATATATTTTCAGACGTTTACTGCATGGATTAATAGCCATTTACGGAAAGCTGGAACTAAGATCGATTCTCTGGAACACGACTTCCAGAACGGGTTGAAGTTAATGTTATTACTGGAGGTAATTTCTGGTCAGACTTTGCCAAAACCTGATAAAGGAAGGACAAGGTTTCACAAGATAGCTAATGTTAGTAAAGCTTTGCAGTATATTCAGTCCAGAGGCGTTAAATTGGTTTCTGTTGGTCCTGAAGGTAATTTTTACTATGTTAGACATTAATTTTAAAGGAATATAACAGTTTGTATAAGAGTTCTTGATTTTTTAAATTATAATTGATTTTTTGTCATCAATAATGACTTTTTTAGAAGTTGTTGATGGTAACGTCAAGCTCACACTTGGATTGATTTGGACCATTATCTTGAGATTTGCGATTCAAGAGATTAGCGTCGGAGGTAATGAATTAAAAGATCTTGAGGTCTTAAAACAGACTATTTATTGTCTAAAACATTGACTTCAATCTAATTTTGATTGTATGAGAGTCTAAATTTAAAAAAAATCTCATTGTGTAATTTTCAGCACATTCTGCTCGAGATGGCCTATTACTCTGGTGCCAACGGAAGACAGAGCCTTATGATGATGTAGATATCCAGAACTTCAGTACCAGCTGGAAGGATGGATTGGCATTTTGTGCTTTGATTCATAGACACAGACCTGATCTACTAGACTATCCTGGGTTGAATCCAAGAGAGCATCTGACGAACCTGAAGACGGCGTTTGACGTTGCTGAGAAGGAACTTGACATACCTAAAATGTTGGAGCCTGAAGGTAAGTTACAGTAAAATACAGAATGGGTGTTATGACAGCACCAGTTATTTACAGAATTAGCTGTATAATTTAAAATTAAGTAGCTGTTACATAAAATATTTAAAAATTCTTCACGTTTTGAAGTAACTCTCTATCTGCTTCTTCAGCTGTCGCTTTACCTTTGGCACCAGACCAAAAGTCTATCATAACTTATGTTTCCTGCTTCTACCACACTTTCGAAAGACCAAAACGGGTGTTGTTTAGTTCAGATAAGCCTACGAGTAACTTTAATAAGACAGTAAGAGGTCACTCCTTGCCTAAAGATACAGTATACCGGGTACAACCTCCTCACAAGACTACCTCTTTACGTCAAGTATTACCTACAAAGCAACCGTTTACTGATAATAGCATCAAACCACAACCTAAAACATTTTTATTACCTAAAAGTGTGGCTAAATATATCAGTAAGACATTGCCAAAGGGTACTTTAACCAGTAACGAAAAACTAAATGCTAATGGCAGTAATGGCACTCAAAATAGTACTATTAATCAACCTGTCAGTCCATTGTTGAGTAGTCCACCTCTTCACGAAGCTACAGTAGTCAGACTGCCGGATGTGGATAGGAATAGTAGGAGGCCTCGACCACGGTCAGATATCTTTGAGTGTAAGACTAATTTGTTACCGAAAAGAGAGATATTAGAGTATATATCAACCGGGTATCGACAGATTGTGTCTGCACAGAAGGTTGAGTTACAACAGGAGAGGGTAGTACATCCTTCGATTGTTAGAGTTGATCCTAAAAGAGTAAGGGGTGTAATATATGTTTAGAGTGGCACTATTTGCATTGCTTTAACTTGATTTGTACAGGAGTGATATATGTTGTTCGATTGTTGTGTGTAACATATTTTGTAGTTAATATTTTAAGTTTAGACTGAGTGTGGGAAACTTTTCTTACGATTGTTTATGTCATTTTTATGTTAAATGGTACAATAACTTGTTTCAGTGCTTGTCAATTCGTCCGTTCCTGATGAAAAGGCTGTGATGACATATGTTTCGTCTTTTTATCACAAATTTACCGGAAAAAACAAGGTAACCCTTTTTGTGTTTTATTTTTTATGTTGTTTTAATTGTGCGTTTTGTTTGCTTAAATTCTAGTACTAAAGTAATATTGTTTTAGTTAGAAAAAGCGGCCAATCGAATTGGTCGAGTGTTGACACAAAACAGAGAGAATGTCAAGATGGCAGATGACTATGAGTTGTTGGCTGATGATCTTCTAACCTGGATTGACACTTGGATGCCAGTAGTTTCGAACCGCAACGAAGAGACGGATTCAGAAGCCTTGAAGCGAAGAATGAGTAAATTCAGACATTATCGACAGAATGAGAAGCCACCAAGGATTGAGGAAAAGAGTCAGTTGGAGACATTATTCAACACACTACAGAATCGACTGAGATTGGCTAATCGACCAGCTTTTCAGCCGAGGGATGGACAGAGCATCAGGGTTTGTTATATTTTAGTTTTGGATAGAATTGCGATTAATCTTTTTTCATATAACAATATAATTTTTGAAGGTTTGGTATTCTTTGCTACACTTATGATTTATTCTAATATTTGTGGAACAATTATGTTTTCAGGAAATCAACATGGCATGGAATAACTTAGAACAATCGGAGAAAGGCTACGAGGAATGGCTACTATCAGAAGTTATGCGTCTGCAAAGACTTGAGAGGCTGGCTGAGAAGTTTTATCGTAAATGTGCAGCTCATAATCAATGGTGTTTGGGCAAAGAAGAAAAGTTGAAGTCAAATGACTATAAATCAGCAGATTGCTACAATATAAAGGCCATCAGAAAGAGACACGAAGCCATTGAAAGTGACATGGAAGGTCATCAAGAAAGGATTGGTCAGATCGTGCAAATTGCAAAGGAATTGACCAGATTACAGTACGCCAAAGCACTAGAAGTTGCTGAAAAGTGTGAAGATGTTGTTGTAGAGTGGGAAACCCTGGGGCAGTTGGCTAAAAGTAGAAGAAGTAAGATAACAGAGGCTGAGAAGATAGTGAAAGAGTTGGATGAGATACATCTTAAGTTGGCGAAACAGCTGGGACCATTTCACTCGTGGTTGGATTCTGTCAAGGAAGACCTGAATGATATTGTCATTGTGAATCAGATGGACGAGGTCGAGAGTTTACTGGAAGATCATAGGCTGTTCAATAAGACACTGCCTGAGGCTGAAAGTACTTTGAATAAGATCAGAGAGTTACATAAGAGGACAGAAGACATTGTGAGGACAAATAAGTTGGATTCTAGTCTGTTGAGGAATCCATACACTGACTTTTCGGTCGATAAAATTGAGAAAATGTGGAGGGAAATGGAGGATTTGTTACCTAAAAGGGAGTCACAGCTGAAACAGGAGAAGAACAGGCAACAAAGTAAGTTTTTAAGTTGTTTTTGGTTTAAATGCTATTTTTGGCTATATTTCTGAGAGTTTAAGATAAATTTTAAAATATTTTAGAAAGCCAACAATTACAATCAGAGTTTGCGGAGAAAGCAAACATTGTTGGACCATGGCTAGAAGACTTGCTCGAACAAGTCCTAACAACAAGGTCCACTCCTAACACAACATTAGAATCTACGTTGGCAGATCTTAAAGTAATCAAAGATGATGTAAGTGTTTGTTATCTTTACATCAAAGTTTAGTTTTTTGGAATTTTGAGACAAACTTTTTAAACTTTGACTTACAGGCATTTGCTAACAAACACGAGCTGACAGAATTGGAAAAGATCAATCACAATATGCATGAGAACATGATTTTCGAAGCTCCAACTTCCAAGTACACGATGGAATCGCTTAGAGTGGGATGGGAGTCTCTAATGACAGCCTTAAATAAGGTCTCGAATGAAGTTGAGAACCAGATTCTGTTGAGAGACAGTAAAGGATTGACTAACGACCAGCTGAAGGAATATCGCCGAGCTTTTGTCCATTTTGATATCGATTCGAAGGGATTGAATGAAGAACAATTAAAGGCCTTCTTGATATCGATTGGAAATGAACATGGAGATGTTCACGAGCTGTTTAAGCAACTGGATGTAAATAATTTGGGTTATGTTGGGTTTGAAGCTGTGATAGACTATTTGACAAAGGAAAATACTGATCAAGATAAGGCTGAGCAGATGATCGAAGCCTTTAGGCTGTTGGCCAATGGACGGTCAGCTGTTACTGAGGATGAGGTACGGTGTTTTTTATATCTGTAGAATTTGTAGGTAATTGTATTTAACCTGTAAAACCCTTGGTCTAGAAAAAAGATACGAAACTGTACCTGACTTGTCATACATTATTTATAGTCAGTAACCTTGGTGATAGACATAATATCTTTAAAAGTGTAAAACACAAATGATAATAATTGCAGATTCGAAAGGAATTACCGCCAAAACTGGCATCGTACTGTATAAAACAACTGAAACATTACCACGATCCCTCTGATAGAGGATACGATTACGAGACATTCTGCAGGAACATATTTATTCACTAATGTATCTATAATAACATATTTTGTTCGTTTATTTAATAAATTGTAGCTGACAATATTATTATCATTTGTTATGGTTTTGAGGTTTACATGCGGTATTAGCCGACAATTAGGCCATTTTAGACTTATTTATTGTATTTATTGAGTTATGATGTTTAAAGTCTTGTTAATGTAAAAAACTGTACTTTTAAAATTCACAACCTTTAGTCATGTAAATAGAAACACCTGTTTGCATGACTAATGTCCTTATCTTTTTGTTGTGAAACTTGTGTCCATTTGTGTTCTTTTCTCATAATTTCCTCTGATTTCACAATTCCCCACATTCGAGAGAGCAAAATCTCCTCGCCGTTCCGTTCCGTGAGTCAGCGGGGGAGAGCCGTGAACCGCCCATTTCGAAACTCCTTTATAAACCCAGCCGGAGGGGAGGATTTCGAGCGAAACCCGAGACATATCTTGCCATGATTTCTCTGTTGATCTTCGTCTTTCTGATCTCATTACTGCTTTTAATACCTAAATTAGGGCTGAACAACAAAGTATTGGCTAGATATTTGGACAAATGGAACCAATTCGTAAGTTTTGTTTAAAGTTTTTGTTAAAAATTCTTTAACCTTGTTTTGAAAGTGTTTGTTTTCTAGTTTCAAATGCTCATGAAAGCTTTTATGATTCATTTTAATTTGTTGTTTTCGTCAAAAAGTGCATAGAATCATCTTTATATCTAATACAATAAATTATCATGGCTTTTGTCTTTGCATTTTTTGATCATATGATTATGCTTAAATTTAAGTTTAAACTTTACAATTACAGGATTCAGAATTCACAAGAAGAAAACTAAAACTGCTTTGTTGGGAAGCATGGCCAAACGATCCAAATGTACGATTGAAGTTGATACTGAGGTTCTTCTTAATGGTCGCAAACAGATTTGTCAACTTTTTGATTCCATTTTTGGGAAAACAAATGGGTAATTTCTACATTTTTTAATAATTAAATTATAGTATGTTTTGGTAATAAAAATTACTGTGCTATATTTTTATACAAGAAGAACGTGTAAAATCCGATTTAAAAGGGTTTGAGCATGGACAATTTTATGTTTTCAGTTGATGAACTCACAGGAAAAAACGACAATTTGTATCGAAATGTGTTGTCGATGTCATTCGGGTACCTTTGTATGCAAGGTGGAGGGTGTAAGTTTGTACTTGTTGCGTAAAGATTCTAAAGTGAAAATTAGATGGTTTAATACCGTACATAACTCTAAACTTACCCATCTTCAGATGTCAACCAATTCATCAGCAGCGTAGAACAAGCTGTTGATACTTCTATCGATGACTACAAGCGTCTGACATTGGAATCCAAGATCTTCAACCGTATCATCCACTTACCGTACTCCTACTACATCTCCAAGAATCCAGACGCAATCGAAACGGCCCTTACCTGCTGTCCCAATGTCATCATCAGATTCCCGGACTACTTTATCTTCTCTTTGTTACCTATTCTAGTCGACTTGAGTACGGTATTCTTCTTGTTCTCCGGCTCTATTGACATTACCTTTGTCGGTATGATGTTGGGAGTGGTACTGCTGGAAATGGGCTTGACTAAAATGTTGGATAATATTTTTTTGAATTTCTACGATGCAATCAATTACGACGACTCGTACCACAATAGAAGTATGTATGTCGGAGTCTTGGAGGAGTTCGAGACTATCAAGTATTACTGTAACGAGGAGGTCGAGCTCAACAATTACATTGGAAAGATCAAGAGGTAGGGGCTTTATAATGATGTAAATGATTATATTAATATTGGCCAAGGTGTACCGAGTAATGTATCCATGTAAGTTTAGTGAACAAAAGAGAAACAATCAGAGCTCTAGAATCTCACGATGCCAAAACTTCATCAGAACCATCATCAACGACTCGATCATGATTCTTGGCAGCTTCCTGATGGCCTACCAGAAGACCATCACCAACTCTGGACTATCGACCGGTGACTACATCATGTTCTCTCACTATCTAAACAAGTTCCAGGAACCCCTCTACACCGTGTATGGGATTCACAAAACAATAAAAGGATTCTTCGAGGATATTCAGCCTTTGTACAATCTCATGGAGGCACCAACAGAACTACCTACTGGGAACACAATTGACGTCGAGATCACTGGAGGTATCAAGGTCGAGAACGTCAGCTACTGGTACGACAAGGATTCTAAAGTCTTGGACAACGTATCCTTCGAGGTTCCAGAAGGTCAGACGTTAGCTTTGGTAGGGCCTTCCGGAAGTGGAAAGTCCACGCTGATTAGACTTCTCTACAAACTTCTTGACCCGAAAACAGGTTGCATCAAGATCAATGATACCGACATCAGAGATGTTAACGTCTACAAGTATCGTAGAGAGTTCAGTATTGTGCCACAAGAATGTGTTCTACTGAATACCACGGTAAAACACAATATTCACTACGGTAAGCTGTCGGCTTCAGATGAAGAGATCGAGAAGGCTTGTAAAGTCGCCAGGATTCAGAAGTTGTTTAAGAGAGAAGAGAACGAGAAGCGAAAGGCCAAGGAAGAAGAGGAGAGAGCAAAGAAGGAAGGCTACAACTACTACGGTCCTAATGGTGAGGAAGAATACAACTACCTCCAGATGAGCGGCGGAGAGAAGCAGAGAGTAGGTATAGCCAGAGCTGTCCTCAAAGGCCCCAAGTATCTTCTGATGGACGAAGCCACATCGTCGCTGGATTCCTTAACCGAACGACAGATCCAAATCGCTTTGATGGATATGGCCAAGGATAAGACTTGTGTTATTGTAGCTCACAGACTGTCTACCATCGCGCACGCTGACAAGATCATCGTGCTGAAGGAGGGGAAGATCGTCGAAGATGGAAAGTAAGTAGTTACGAGTCTTGTTTTACTGATAATATAATCAGTCTAGTTTTATGGAGTAGACTGATCAATTCATAATGATGAGGTGAATAGCATGCCTAATTCTACCTTTTTCAGCCACACATCCCTTCTGGAAAAGGGTGGTTTATATGCCCAAATGTGGAAACTGCAGCTTGGAGGTGAGCTAGACATGGAGCAATGGGACTAGTGGCCTCAAATCTAAAAAACTAACCAAAAACTGTTAAGAATGGGTGATTAGACTATTTTCCAACAGTTGTGATTCAAAAAGAATGACGTGATGATCCATATACTGCATATGTTAACTCAGAGTGGTACTACATGATCTAAACACGCTATTTCTATGACCAATTACATTTACTGATGTATAAGGTCAAGCTGTATATTGTTGTACATTTTTGTTGATTTACTACTAGCGTTCTCAACATACTGAAGTTCTAAAAGCTTATGTTATTAAAAATTATTATCAAAAACTGCCTAAAGCTTCAGATTTGTGAGTGTCTAGTGATTTTGTTACCTATTCTTGTTATTTATTGTTAAATTTGTTATTGAATAAAGAAATTTGTTCAAAATGTGAGGTTTTGCATACGAAACGGGTTATGAACCACATTGTTTATGTTAATTCACAATGTTCACAGTTTACATTACCGCAAAAAACTATGGGATTGTAAGTAAAGTTAGTTTTTAGCAAAATTTAATTCAGAAGATTAGTTTGAATTTTTAAAAGAAGCAGACTAACCCTTTTTAATTCCTAATTTAGAATAGTTATTACCTAAAAAATGAACTTTGACAAGTGAAATATAGGCGCTAGGACAAATGCGGTTTTTGGACATTTGCGGATCTGCGGTTTTTAGACACTTGCGGATCTTCGGTTTTTGGACACTTGCGGATTTTTGGACATCTGCGGATTTTTTTAAAGGTTTTTTTTAAAATTTTTTAGTTAATTTATTTGTAGTATGGTAATAAATTGTACGAAAGTTTAAATTGGTGCGGTTTTTAACATAACAGTACCTTTTTTGGGCTTTTAGTACCATTCAGTACCAAAAAATATAAAACAGTACCAATTTAAAATTTAGTACTATTTAGCACTAAAACCTATTAAAACAGTACCAATTTAAACTTTAGTATCATTTAGTACCATACTACAAATAAATTAACTAAAAAAGAAAAAAAACCCCTTTAAAAAATCCGCAAATGTCCAAAAACCGAAGATCCGCAAGTGTCTAAAAACCGCAGATCCGCAAATGTCCAAAAACCGCATTTGTCCTAGCGCCGAAATATAAGCCTTGAATGGAATTTCCCGCGAAAAACAAGAATTTGGGCCATTTTATACGATCAAACATTTTTAGAGCTGCAAACTTTATAAATTTGATCAGACAGTTAATGTTATTTTTGTCTGGATGACTCTGTTGTCACTAATAATATTTTTTTTATAATTTATTTTTTAAAAGCATGATTTTTCAAATTAAAAAAAAGAAATTAAACTTATTATGCCTGAAGCGATAATTTCGGAGTTTCAAGCGAGACTGATCATATAATAAAATTCTGTTCTCCCCACGTGGTGACTGATAAGATGACAGAGGAGAAACAGTCAGATTACAACACAAACAGCCCAATTTTACATAAAAACCGGCTTATCAGCTGTGATTTGAGGGTCACGAGATCGCCTCCGGCAATATTTCGATTTTAGTTCGGTTTTTGAAACTTTGTTGACATTTTGTAAAATATTGAGAAGAAATGTTATTGGAGCACGGTATTACTTTTTTTAGAAAGATAAGGTGATGCCAGCTATATTGTACTTGTTATATGATTGCTTAGGCTATAAGTAAGCCTTTATTTCAGTTTTACTGAATTGTTGATAAACGTATCTTCACTTTGGGTATGTGTATAACACTCACGTTTGTCATATGTATAACACTTGGGGTAAACATTAAAACTGTTTCCTATACATTCATATACAGACATGTACTTGTATATTAAAGCAGACTATTTGAATTCGAAGGTCTTGTGATAGATGTTATACTGTTTTACATCGTATATGTTTGCTATTCACATTGTTTTGTTAGTTTTTTATGTTTACACTTTTTACGACTTTCAATGTTTATAGTATGTCTGTCCTACATGTAGTATCTTCTTGTTGACATATCTTTACAATTACAGTATATTATATGTATTTTTATAGTAAGCCAGTTTAAAACGTAGTATTTAGATGTTGACACATCTTTGGTATTTTAATATGTTTTCACTACAGCATCTGAATGTTATAAATGCCATTTCTCAACAGTTTTTATCTAATGTGGCAGTTGTGCAAAATATAGATTTCACAAGCTTTATCAACCGAGCGGAGTAAACAGCCTACTTGACCGTTATCGTATAGCTCGATGACCAAAAAGCTGCCTCAGGCTGTGTTGACCTGTATTACGTATGCACTTGGGCGGCCGAAGCGAAGTGGTCTTTAAAACTTTATCTTCAAGTTGTACGATTCACTATTTTTAGGGATTCTGGCTTCAGAAGGAAAGATTTTGTAACTCTTTAAAGCTTAGCAACTATTATTTTAACTTTTCTTAACGTATTTAGTACACTTTGGCAACGAAAGAGTAAAAAAAGTTATTTTGCACTTTTAAGGCGTTTTACAAGCTTACTGTACCATTACTGTAACATTTTATAGTATCGACTGTATAAAATCAAGTCAATATCACTTTGTTCTACACGATCTCTGACTAACTTCTGTATTTTAGTGTGAATCAGTTTTGTTTACCGTAATCTGTGTTTCCATGACGCCACTCCTTATCATTAACGTCTTCAGCACGTTGTTAGTGCAACCTTAACATTCAAAACAGTTTGGCATATCAAACATTGCTTCAGGTTTATCAATTTATATTTGAACCTATCTCAATATTATTCTTGTTGATATTTAAGTTAGGCTAACGTACATTATTTTTCAGTTTTACTACTAGGCATATCAATATTGAGGTTTTACTGTTAAGTTTAACTTTATTGTCAGGGCACTTATACGTATCGAGCTGTTAGGCTTATCACTAGGTTAGGCTTATCATATTAGGGTACTAAAAATTTTTGGCATATCACTAAACTAAACGATCAAATAAAGTGGTGTTTAATGCCTAAATTGAAGCCGTGGCTGATGCCAACTCTATTAAAAGTATCAAAAACTAAACCTTCGGATCGGGAATTTGCATACGATCAGATTATTGTGGTGGAATCACGTTTTCGGAACGATTCACAGTCAGCAACCAGCTCTGTTGAATGTGTTATTATTGTTTGGGGGGAATTAAGTGTCAGATTCATAGACTTAAAACGTGGTCTGGGGGCCAGCGATCTCAGAATATTATAGTAGGTTTAGTGGGGCAGTTCATCAGTTGAGGTTTTATTTAAATTTTATGGTTATTTTTAGAACTAGCTTTAAGCATGGTATAATAATATGGATTTGTACAAGAGTTTTAATATGAATCATGCTTGGTTAATGTTTAATAATATAAAGTATGTTTATGATAAAGTATGTAGTATGTACAATATGTTTTAAGTCTGTTGTTTTATTGTAAATTATTGTTGATGGGCTATGGTTCAACTGCAAACTAATTTTTGGTTTTGTTTGCTTTTGGTATCTTGAATAATTGAAAATGAGAAGTTTGAGAAATGTGTTTACCCAAACTTTGAACTTTCTAAAATTACCCTTCCATCTATTTTTATTTCTCGGTTTTTAAAGCACCAAATTTGGGTTTGATTACTCATTTTGAACCGTTTTGTATTAGTATAGTTTTACTTGTTTATAAAAAACTAGATGTAGGTTACTTCAAAATGCTTCATAAGGCTGAACAGAATATGGTTTAAGTTTTGGGAGAGGTAGACCAACAAAAAAAGTATTTCAGTTACCTTTTTATAAATGGGAAAGAGGGTAAAAACTTTAAAACCGGCTTTTGTTTCATGACGGTTGGGCTAAACAGATAAAAATGTATATAGCTAGTCTTACACTGTAAACTAAATATCTGATTTCATTTTTAAAACTTATTTTTTCCTAAAAAGCTTTTAAATACTTCAAAATCGACAAAACATAGTAAAAACTGAAGCCCCATTCACCGTCTGTCCTCAGTGTCACCTTTCGTTGTTAGTCTGGCTCACCTCGTGTCTGTGTTGACACGACTTAATTGAACCAAATCCCTAAAAAATCCCGTTTAATAACAATAACAATGAGCGTGTGATGGTTAACATAAAGGAGGTAAATTCATTTCGTTTTTTACAGTAAAAGTAACACAAAGGGAATTATTATAACTCTACTCTTGCACAATTTTTAAATTTTTTAAATGAATAAATTTTGAATTTTAAGAAATTTCGATTTTTAAAGAAATTTCATTTTTTAAGTTTTGTGAAGCTGACTTCTGATCTTATACTTGTAGTTTTCTGATATTATACTTGTGGTTGTTAGCCCTTATTCACATTTTAGCTGTTTTCTGAATATCAGAACAATACTTTATGTTAAAAAGACTATTTTAGGTACAAAACACGCGAATTCAATTCAAATCAAGTTCGCTGACTTTGGTTTTGCATTTTAATGTTTCAGCAATTTAAAGCATTTATCAGTTTCTTGAGGTCAAATTTGATAATTTTAATAACTTTGTCCTTCTTTTTGCAAAAAGTTTCTTATTGGCTTTTCTAAACGTATTTTACAGTTCTTTTTTGCTTTAACTTTTGGTAAAAAAAACGAAAATTCATTATGAGTAGAAAAGGATATTTAATTTTTCGTGGTGGGACCTAAGTCTTAATTTTATTATTTTTAAACAAATTTAAGTTTATGTAAAATGAATGTTAAGCTGTGCCATCTAATATGGTTTTGACTTTGTTGATGTTATCGTGATTACTAGTGTTAATACCTATTTTCAACTGTTTTTTCAACAATTTTGAAACAGAATTCGTGTTTTTGTTATTAAATTGATGATAATTTTTTAAAATACGTTAATTTTCAACTTTTCAGTTACTATATAAACTCAAAACTTACTATAATATCGTCATTGTCCTACAGAATTATTTGAAAGAGTAGATTTTGCATTACTGTAACAGCTATTAAAGCTTAAAATTATTTTCTACAGGACTATTTACTATTGAAAATAGTATCTTCTACAATTAAAGCCTCAAAGTAGTACTATTACTACTGCCAGCAACGAGATACGATATATA